CTGCCACACTGATCCGAGTATCGGTTTTTAGCAGACTGGGGAGCTCCATAGTATAGATGTTGAACAGTAATGGAGAAAGAGCACTTCCTTGGGGTACACCCGAAGGAGAGGATCTTTCTACCGAGCTTTGATCTTGGAAAAGGACCGTAAAGCCTCTATCCGTAAGGTATGATTCAAACCAGTTCAACAAATTACTTGTGATCCCAATACTCTCAAGTTTAGCAAGAAGCAAAGGGTGATTGACAGAGTCGAATGCCTTAGAGAAATGAAATATACCACCTCAACTGACTTGTCATTACTCAATGCGTCGATCCATTCTTGACAGCATTTTGTTAACTGAGTTGTAGTCGAAGAGCCAGTGATAAACCCATGCTGCTCCGGAGGAAAGCAATCTAGGTTGAGGCACCAATTTATAAATGTCTGGCCAGGATTTCTTTCATTATTTTGCAGGGGGTCGGTAGGATGCTAATGGGTCTGAATTCAGTAACTTTAGTAGCACCCGTACGCTTGGGTATTGGGACTACCATAGCTTGTTTCCAAAGCTTTGGGATAGTGCCGGTCATCAAAGAAATATTAAAAATGTGGGACAGAGGGGTACTCAACGCTTTGGCACATCTTATATATAAAGCTGAATGTCTGTTTGTCTGTCTGTATGTATGTATGTATGTATGTATGTATGTATGTATGTATGTATGTATGTATGTATGTATGTATGTATGTATGTATGTATGTCTGTACGTATGTTCCGAATAGAAAATTCCATTTCTGAACCGATCCGGACCAAACTTGGCACACATACACTTCGGGCCCCGGCGGGTGTCATAGGCTACTTTTCGTCATCGATCGATATCGATTTTATCGATTTTTTACAAAATTTGAGCTACGGGGCTGGGAGTTGGCACAGGGGGGTAATCGAGCATGCTAATCACCCCTGTGGGGGTGATCAGCATGCTCGATTACACCCCTCTGCCAAATTTCAGCCCCCTAGCTCAAATTTTGCAAAAAATCGATAAAATCGACATCGATCGATGACGAAAAGTAGCCTATGACACCCGCCGGGGCCCGAAGTGTATGTGTGCCAAGTTTGGTCCGGATCGGTTCAGAAATAATATTTTCTATTCGGAACATACGGCGGAGCCGGGTAAGCCAGCTAGTCTCTTATAGAAAAAGGCTGGAATTTTTTCTGATGTAACAGACATGGAAGCTTTGGTCGTCTTTAAGCGCTTATATACTTCACAAATCGTGATTACTGGTATAGATAAATCTTTAAGGGATAGTACCTCTAGCGAAGGACAGCATAATTCAACATCGGCGAAAGATTTTGCAATATTGCGAATTATTGCGATAAAGAATTAGCTTTATCATGAGCGGAAAAGAGAATCTGGTCATTTTCGTCCTCCTATTTTCAACTTATCACTTATATATGAGTTTCCGTGACAAAATCTAATGACTTCAAAGTTAAAGTCGTCCTTTTATTATATTATTCGGTAACTATAACGTTATTTATAATTTTGATGTTAAGATCAAGGAAATTACATTCATAGGGTGTATTATTTGTGATTTCCATTTTCAAAATGTTATTGTAGGCTGTGTTCAAAATATCTACAATGGTTTTGTTGTCCTTATCATGAATAACTGAAATATCATCCATGTATCCATATGCTTCAAAAATGATTAGTTTTGGTGTATGTGTATTTATATTCTAGGTATGATGGCGTGAGATCAGCAATGATAGGACTAGCATTACCTCCTTGTGGTACTTCAGTGATTTGAAAAAAAATCGAGTGTCCAACTTTACAATAGCTATCTTATATATAAAGCTGAATGTCTGTTTGTCTGTCTGTCTGTATGTCTGTCTGTCTGTCTGTCTGTACGTATGTTCCGAATAGAAACCATTTCTGAACCGATCCGGACCAAACTTGGCACACATACACTTCGGGCCCCGGCGGGTGTCATAGGCTACTTTTCGTCATCGATCGATATCGATTTTATCGATTTTTTGCAAAATTTGAGCTACGGGGCTGGGAGTTGGCACAGGGGGGTAATCGAGCATGCTGATTACGAATATAATAATGACAGGGCCGGGCGGAGCCGGGTAACTCAACTAGTTATTTATAATAAAATGTAGTCTAGCAGATAAAGTATATCTTCTATTCTTGTTTATGCAAGCAGGTTAGCCAGTATAATTGTGACGATCAGACTTCTCAGTTTCTCACAAGTAGAAGAAGGTTTGCAGTACATGATAGATGTTCAAAAATAGCTTTCTGTGAACTAACCATTGACAACAAAACTTTTGAAATGGTGTTTCATATTTCGTGATTACGTATAGTACCAGAAAATTGCGAAGGGGCTAGCTAGCCCAAGAATCTGAAAAAATTTCAGATTCTTGGGCTAGCAGTAGCAATAGTTCTTACAGCGGCACGCTCTAATCTTGGGAAACACAAAAACGGAAAATACGTAAAAATTTCATTTTACAGGGAAGTATCCTTTGTCGCTGCAACCTTCCAAAGCATGACAGAACCGAAATTTGACCATTTATTCATCTGCGACCCTGGGCATACTTCATGCGATTTCAATCGTGACGCGAGTTGGCAATACCTCAATATTTCATAACTCATCGAAATGGGCTTCTGAATGTATGGAAAATGGGGTATTTTATCAACCTACGAAAGTTATACATGCTGTACATTTGGGGCCTTCCAGTATTGTCTTTGAAGACATCTGGCAAATTGCCAGATCGAGTGGAGACTTTTTTACGTGAGGTATGCCCAAGGCCCAAAACACTGTAGCATTTCCTCGCTCTACAAGCGGCGTTTTTGTTGAAAAAAGTGACAGATGGATACTTCCTGTAACATGCCATTCCTCGCAAACTTTTTGTTTTCGCATCCAGGCTAGATTGAAACCTGGCTTTTCAAAATTTCAAATATCTTAGGGCTAAGAAGGTCGTACTTTTCCGCAATTTTGTGGCACCAAGCTCGAGGTCGCAAAAACTACAATTATGAAGGCATCATTCTCGATGGCTAGCTCGAAGAGAAGTACCGTAAACATCTCTTAAAGAACAAACCTATCATTTTTAAGAAACAAAATGTTGGATTTTGATTCAGGATATGAAGAATTGCCATCGAATTTCTTTCAAATTACGCTAAAGCTTTTGTTCCAATCTGATAAACAGAGTCGCCCAAGAAATGTCCCTATTTTTCAATCGTTAAAACTCTCCTTCTTCAGAATTTTTCTTCACTCTTGAGGTATCGTCTTTATAGAGGTGTCTTTAATTCAAATTAACAGGTCATCTTTTGCTTTTGAAAGAATAAACAAACAAATCAGGAACTTATACGCTATCCTAATCAGAGTTGCTCCTACAAACATAGAGTTCGCACTTTATCCACCGTAATGCTTCTTTGCAAGCTACGCCTGGTGTACCGTATCAATCGTTTTCAATGTTCCTCAGAAAATGTGATCTTACTACTAAAACGGCTTGAAATATTTGTGAAGAATTGTTTCGTGAAACATGCGTGAGATTTTGCTACGCACCTTTTCCAAAATTGTAAGTTGTTTCCTACAAACGGCTCATTTCCTAATGCTGTATGGCAGAAGTCCCTACCGTAACCCTACAGTAATGAAAATGGAAGTGGATTCGATCCATACTACAGAACTAAGTTTGAGACCAGCGATCTGAGTTTAGTATCTTCACTTTCGTTCTGTCAACATTCTGGTACAAGCTGTACAAGGGCGAAATACTTAATAAATAATAAAAGTATTTGCTAGAAGGTAGATAAACAAACGACTCCATAAGATTTGAATAGAACTTCTCTCGGGCTATTATATGACACCTACGTAGCCACACCTTCAGCTTCACTTGGAAAGCAAATTTTCATAACTAAGGACATAATGGGTTGTTGCAAAAACTTGTAGGGGTACTACTTCGAGTTGAGTTGATTAAATTTTCCTGAGATTTCGTAGACTTCTGCAATGACGCTGATGTCTTAAACAACATATTCATAGTACTTTTTTATTGTGCTTCAAAAAGGTGAAAAGGTCGCGTGACCATAGCCATGACTGTTTTGAAACACTTGAGTTAAATGGTCCTGAACTTTTGGGAGCAGAATTATGAATTCATTGCTATAAAGGGATAAAAGTACGTGTAAATATCTTTTGTCCCGCAAATTCGGTAAGACACGAAGGTTTACTTACACTCTCGCCTATATCTTGATACAAAGTATTGCGCAGGTTTGCGTAATGGGTGTCACGTGGTCGCATAAATATAATAAAATAAATTTTTTTACTTTTTATAAGTCGCCTGCAACTGGTGAGTTTGTCTTCTTGGCTCCTATTCCAAAAACAGTACTCCTTGTATTGATTGTGACTAGTGAAGATTGCCATAACAGCCACTGTCTCTAAAAGTACCAGCTAATTATTATACAAATATGAGTTTCTAAACCACCTAAAAATTTGAATAACGGTATTTCTGCGCTATTCACGTGAAATTATCAATGATTTCACCACATAGTTTTTTGTAATGAAGAAAATTATCATGACTTCGTTTTTGGGATCATGCATCTGTCTAGCCAAGTAGCCCTGATTAATTGTTTGATTAATACTCCAATATTCAACTTGTATTTCGGTAGTGTAATTCCATGGATGAGAGCATATGTTATTAAATTGTCTCCTAATTTTTCGCCTTTTTACTGCAACCATCGTCTTTTTGTATCTCTTCTTGAGGCTTGGAGTGACATTTGACGGAGCAAAGCAAGCTCTACAAGATGGGTTTCAAGAGTCTGCCTAACTAGTATTTCAGGTGAAGTTTGACGCCGAAATCTGATAGTGATTAAAAGAGTACTTTACCGTCAAAAATCGTATCTCGGTCTTAAAAAACCCAAAAAATTCCGCATTTATTCTGGCATATGCTTAAGACATCGTTCCAACTGTACACTTTCAGAATTTTTTATGGGCTAGAGATGAAGAAAAAGATGATTGGAGTAAAACGGCAAACTTTGCCCCAGATGTCCTGGGTCCCTCCCACACATATGTCATATCTTATATATAAAGCTGAATGTCTGTTTGTATGTCTGTATGTCTGTCTGTCTGTATGTCTGTATGTACGTATGTTCCGAATAGAAAATTCCATTTCTGAACCGATCGGGACCAAACTTGGCACACATACACTTTGGGCCCCGGCGAGTGTCATAGGCTACTTTTCGTCATCGATCGATATCGATTTTATCGATTTTTATCGATTTTTTTGCTGAGTTCACCTACGGGGCTGGGAGTTGGCACAGGGGGGTAATCGAGCATGGGGATTCCGAATACAATATTGGTTTTCAGGATTATCGATTACTTTTATCGATTTTATCGATTTTTTTGCAAAGTTTGAGCTACGGGGGTGGGAGTTGGCACAGGGGGGTAATCGAGCATGGGGATTCCGAATACAATATTGGTTTTCAGGATTATCGATTACTTTTATCGATTTTATCGATTTTTTTGCAAAGTTTGAGCTACGGGGCTGAGAGTTCGCACAGGGGGGTAGTCGAGCATGGGGATTCCGAATACAATATTGGTTTTCGGGATTATCGGTTACTTTTATCGATTTTATCGATTTTTTTGCAAAGTTTGAGCTAGGGGGCTGGGAGTTGGCGCAGGGGGGTAATCGAGCATGCTGATCATCCCCAAGGGGGGTGATCAGCATGCTCGATTACACCCCTGTGCCAAATTCCAGCCCCCTAGCTCAAATTTTCAAAAAATCGATAAAATCGATAAAAGTAATGGACGATCTTGAAAACTAATATTGTATTCGTAATCTGCATGCTCGATTACTCCCCTGTGCAAACTCCCAGCCCCGCAGGTCAAACTTTACAAAAAAATCGATAAAATCGATAAAAGTAATGGACGATCCTGAAAACTAATATTGTGTTCGTAATCAGCATGCTCGATTACCCCCCTGTGCAAACTCCCAGCCCCGCAGGTCAAAATTTACAAAAAAATCGATAAAATCAATAAAAGTAATCGATAATTCTGAAAACTAATATTGTGTTCGGAATCCCCATGCTCACTTCCCCCCTGTGCCAACTCCTAGCCCTGTAGGTGAACTCTGCAAAAAAGATCGATAAAAATCGGTATAATCGACATCGATCGATAACGAAAAGTGGACTGTGACACCCGCCGGGGCCCGAAGTGTATGTGTGCAAAGTTTGGTCCGGATCGGTTCAGAAATGGAATTTTCTATTTGGAACATACGTACACGGGTCTAGCTGGCAGGCCGGCGGAGCCGGGCAAGCCAGCTAGTACCTTATACATACAGAAGTACGATTATGTATTTGTACCCTTTGTAAGTACCCACACTTCTCGAGAAATGCTGATGTTTAGATTGAAAACGGTACAAAATTATGAGACACCTGATAATAAACTTATTGCTTATGTTTTGCTAAAACGAAACAAGAAACTGCTCTACATACAATACCACCCGTAATTTGTGAAAAAAAAAATGGCGGCGGCACTTAACTTACGCGGCGCCGCCATTTTTTTTTCACAAATTACGGGTGGTATTGTAGCTTACTTTTTAGCCGATGCTGGCGTCATAAACTGCTGCAAAACAGACAGGAGGCCGAGCCATTTCACAAAATAAGCAGCAACAAAAACTAGCGGGACGAGAGTCTATAAGCATATCGCCTTCAGAAGAAATAACTTTTCAGGGGAACAATACATAGCCAAAATTTCATTGAAAAATTACTACTTTGTGATTACACCGTTGTTGTGATGGTGCTGGCTAATTTGTTCCAAGTTCACATTTTGGCAGTCAAATGCCTTAAGACCATACTCAAGTTTCCTGCTGAATCCCGCAATTTTGAACAATACTATTTGATTTTGACGGCGATTGTACATAGTCAACAAAGAAAGCCAAAGAACCACCAACTCTAAAGTTTTCGGTTATTATCTATACGCTACACTATAATACCTTGACTGCGTGACTATTCACACTTGAACGCATGTGCATTACTAACCCTCAATTTCGGAGTAGAAAAAAGTAGGGTATAGTTAGCAGAGCTCATAACGCAAAGATTACTAGTACAAAACATCAACATTCGAGCAAAAAAAATGTCAAAAAAGAAAACTGCAGCTTTGAGAATCATCGGAAACAACTACTTAATGTACTGCTTAGGTTTACTTCTCCTCTAATCTTCTTACGGCTTCAACTTCCTCAGCATTTTCATTCAAGGAAAAACCATGTAAGGGAATTTTTAAATGAGCCATGAACGTAACATCATTTGAGACTACATTAAGAAAAGCGTAATTTTTTTACGGAACTGAAAAAACATTAGCTTTCTCGCTGCGTTTTTCTTCAACAGCATGAATTTTCGTAATCTTCTTCTTTTTGCCACCGGATCTTCCAGATGGGTTCGGGCAATGGCAAGCAATACATTACTAACGCAAAAGGGAAGAAAATTAATCCACTTTTTTCTTTGGCATCACATTTAAATTGCTGATTTTCAGGACGAAGTCGCGGAGGAGCACAGAGAATCGCAGGCTACCCCGATGAATCTGCTCGTACTGCTGTTTCTATATGTAGGTACTGTATCTCGACTAGATACTTCTATAAAGTTTTTAGTATGAATTGCTTCCTATTTAGGATTTTCTATTATTACATTCAACTTTCTCCGTTCTTAGGGTCAGTATCCTGCAGTCCGCACCACTGGGGATATAGTGAAGAAAACGGTCCGGATACATGGCCAGAGACATGCCTCGAAGGAATTCGACAGGTGTATTTTCAAAAATCCAAAAAATTGGTGAATCCAAGACCCAATGAACATCACTCTTTGCTTCAACTTGTAAATCAAGCAAAATTGTTTCACATCGAGTTTAAAAACTCCATAACAGCACAAAATGGTATTTGTCTGCTTTGATGTGAAAAATACTCCCTTATATTAGGTTGTTACATAAGTCCTTTTCCACTTTCTTCGTCTTCCTCTGGAAAACTCTAGAAAACTCGGCAAGGTCATGACTTACACTCATAAAAAACTTTATAGAGGCTAACCAGCTCCACTTTTTTCTTTTCTTTTTGAAGTTTCTTGTTTCCCTTTTCCGCCTTTTTAGATTTTTTAGAGACTTTTAGATGCATTGGTAGTAATATCAAGGAAATTTGGAAGCTCAAGCTCTTCAATATCCAAAATCAAGAATTTGCCAAAAATAATTCGGAAAAATTTCGTAACATATGAAAATTTGATTTTTTTATGTGGTAACATGTATACATCAAATATCTGAAACACTACACATAGTCTAAAAGTAAGAAAAAATCATTTGACAAAGTTTTGAAGATTTTTTCACCAAGTGTAAGAATACTTATGCTAGAACCTAAGAGATCATCTTGAAGGCAGTGTCTCACCAAAATTTAGTTGCCGAGATTTTTACATTTTGCAAGCCTGTCGGACCTTGTCTAGCACTGTATGGGCTTAAAATCGCACGAAGTTTGCAAAAACCCCGTTTTCTGGAGGCCACGCGGAAGCAACGTGGACGAGTTGTACCTTCCAACTTCATCCTCAGCCACAGTGGCAGCAACAGAGTGGAGGTGGATGCCAAGTGGAGGGACATGTTCAAAGGCGTAAGGGGGAAGACCGAGTCGAGGGAGTCGTCCGCGCGTACCAACTCGCTCTCCGCGTACCACTTTGAGCGAATTTTTGTCAGCGTGGAGGGGGTCAAATTGCGTGGGACTTGTTGCAATGGCCTATTTAGAGCTCCCTATAATAGAATATGTGAAGATTCGCGCAACCTCAGCTTTGGTGAGCCACTGCCTTTAAGGAGAACCTCGGCTTGCATATACTCTTCTTTTCTTCTTTGTAATGCAGTTACAATTGCAGAGCCCTATAGATATCCGTGCCTCAGATGTCGATTTCGCTTATCTGGATAAGATGATCTTCACTAATTATGATAAGACTGGCCCAGTCAGCATTCGAAATAATGGCCACTCAGGTGAGCCAAAGCTGAGTTGTTCGCGTCAGCACGGTAGTCTTTCGCTTTTCAGTAACGGTAGAAGGCTTTGAGGATTGGAATGAGAACGAGCCCTACATTGAAGGAGGAGGGCTGAAGTACAGATATCGTCTGGCCAAATTCCACTTTCACTGGTCTCAAAACGCCTTCGGTTCTGAGCATGCAATTGGTGGTCTTCGTTATCCTGGAGAAGTGCGACATTTACTTTTCTCTTCGTCCTACTCAGACCCTCGCAAAGGACTTCCGGGGAAAATAAAAGTTCCGGGGCGGACGCTCCTATTGGGCCGTGTGGTGGGCCCCGCCCTACCTGGCAGCTCCAATAGGAATGTCCCCCGGAAGTTTTAGAAGTTCAGTATTTCCCGGAAGTATTTTGCGATTGTCTGGGTAGTAGCAGAATTTGTTTAGCTTCATCTGGTGCACTTCCGGGATGACTTGACGGAATCACAAGCAGCCGCAACACTAGGCGGCATTGCCGTCCTGGGTGTTTTCCTGTTAGTCGGGAATGATACTACACCAACAGCAGCAGTTTCATCGGCTTTGAATGATGTCATATATCCTGGTAAGGCCAGTGACTGCATCGAAGTAGGGGCTTACCATTCAATTCGTTCACAGGAAACTCAACTACCATCGAGAATTTCTGTCTACAATCACTCTTGCCGGAGAACATCGACTCATTTTTCCGCTATGACGGTAGCCTGACCACACCAGGATGCAACGAAGTTGTCACTTGGACGGTCTTCGCAGAGCCTATCACTATTGCACCACTGCAAGTAAATAACAAATTCTGCCTCCTCGAATTCTCCTGTAAAACTTTTCCAGATGAAAGAATTTCAAGAGGTCCATTCGGACGAAGAAACTCGCTTGGAAACCAATTGTCGTCCAGTGCAGCCTCTGAACGGAAGACGAATTCTGTTTAGAACCTCGAAAGGCGAGGATGAGCATGACAATGGACGAAGTGCTTCTGGAGCTTTCAGTATATCGGTGGTAACGACTCTCATGTATATATCTCTTGCAAGAGCTCTCAGTTAGCGAGAGGAATGTGCAAGTCGAATTATTCTTTTGTATAAAGAAGAGAGAATTTTTAACGATTGTTATTTGTTCGAATAAATATTTGTTCACGAAAAGATTAACCTATACTGTGTTTCTTGACGCAGCGATTTTCGTGGTCTTGCTGTTGGATTTGCACTGTGATGCTATAAGTCGACATTATCAGTTGTTCTTCTCAGAACATTGAAGTTTGCCCAGATAAGCAAGTGTAGATGCCTTTCTTGAACCATCTTTCATTAAATAGTTTGCGTTTGTCCTCTCGGCGAGAAATGAGAGGATAAGAAAAACAAAGCAAAAAAAAAGAGTACATAAAAGAACGGGGGAAGTGCACGACATAGGTAATTGGAAAATTAGTAAACCTACAAACTACATTAGACTTTCTACTAAATAACTAGCTTTGATCTAAGGGGATTGGCGGCTGGAAGGCGACCGCTAGCACCCGCGACGCAGTCTGCGTCTCTCTCGCGAGCGTGTTCTCTGATTATCCTCTAGCCTTGATTAGGTCTTGAAGCCCCGCCTTCCAGCAGCCGATCCCGTTGAATCAAAGGGTATTTTCTACTGACTACTAATGAAGGCAACTACCGCCTCCCTAAATGTCCTGAGGAACTTCCGATTAAGGCCCGTATGCACGTACATCCCCGCTGGGGAGGGGAGGGGATCTGAGAGGGGATGCGTCATATCTCGCTACTTTACGTATCTTTCTTCTTCCTTTTCTATCTTGCTTATGAATGTTCTCATACCCTACTACCTGCGCATAATTGATGCCAGGTTAGTGGCATAACTGATTAGATTTGTACTATTTTGTGTGATCCCCTAGGGATCCCCAGGGGATCACCTCTCATTTTCAAGGTCATTTATCTTCCTGGGAGATCAATGGAAACGCCGCAAAATTGTACTGAGGATATACTACGGCAATGCTAAGCATATTTTCGACAGAAAAAATGGAATCTGAAGATTGTGAATTTTTCGATGATCCCTAGCTTTTGAGCCAGGGATTACCGAAGATTTCGATATCCTGAGATTTCACTTCTTTTTACTTTAAACATGCTTAGCAGTGCCGTAGTATATCCTCAGTACAATTTTGCGGCGTTTTTATTGATTTCTCAGGAAGATAAATGACTATGAAAATGAGAGGTGATCCCCTGGGGATCCCCAGGGGATCACACAAAATAGTACAAATCTAATCACTTATGCCAGTAACCTGGCATCGATTATGCGCAGGTAGTAGGGTATGAGAACCTTCATAAGCAAGATAGAAAAGGAAGAAGAAAGACACGTAAAGTAGCGAGATATAATGCATCCCTTCTCAGATCCCCTCCCCTCCCCAGCGGGGATGTACGTGCATACGGGCCTAAGTGTCTGAGAATGATCCATTCAACATGACCAAAGTGACCGCCTACATTCTTGTGCAGCCTGGGTTTCCTGTTCCTTCAGATTCTGCTCATGCAAAGTTTATGAACCAAATACAAGGGTCCCGGATTTCAAATGCATCCGCAATCGCCCTTTGATTCCTATAGAAAATCTCCTTCCTATAGAAAATTCTAGAAAATTTAGCAAAGTCTAATATTCAGCATATGGGCAACAGACAGAGCACTATTTATTGGCATCATTTCCACTTTGCAGATATGGATTACGTTAAATATGAAGACAATTTTGTGATGACATCTAAATTTCCATTTTTTCTTTATCCTACAAAAATCTCTTATTCTTATTTTTTTATGCTCTCAATTTTTCAAGGATTTCTGGGGATATCAGTATGAACATGGAGGCAGTCTGGAAATTTAGGCTATCCAATAACGCAAGTGGGAAATTTGCCGAAAATAATTCAAAAAATTTTGAAAAATTCAAAAATTGGTTTTTATAACGTGCGCTAAGTAGAAAAAATAAAAAGTTACAGCACTCCACTCAATTTGGAGATGAGAAAAAATCTTTTGGAAAAGTCTCGAAAGTTTTCACTCTCAATGTAACAAAATTTATGTTACGACCTAATAGTATGAGGTGCTGCTATGACCAAGTCGCAGCAAAGTTCGATTTCGTGCCTGGACCAACTAAGCCCTTTATACTCCGAGACCGTAAATTGGTACCAGAGTAGAATGGAACGTTCAACACCGTAACTTCGTGATCTGCTGACCCCGCTGATTGCACCAAAGATTTGCACTTCCGTTGCCTCTTCAGTTGTGAGGTTAGTTCCGAAGTTCCGTTTTTCAGCGCTATATGACAAAGTGTAGGACTTACCTCAAAAAATTGAAGAAAATAATGAGACTTATGGTCCTGGCGATGAATGCAGCTACGAAATGAAAACAGCGACCGTCTGCGCTCATTCTTGTGGCATGAGGTTGAACTCTACCCTACAAGCAACAATCGGATTACGGTCTCCAAATCCAATTACTTACACAAAACCCAAGGAGGTATCGCCACATGCTTATTGTTAGCTAGGAAAATTCCGCAACAACTAAAAATTGAAAAAAATTTTATTAGAAGATATGAGTTCATCACATGCATACATAAAAACAATATAGAATGCTTACTTCTGTAGCAAACATATAGAAATGCAAGAAGAATTTGAGCAGAAAATGGCAAAGCAAAAAAATATACGATATGAACAGCTTCTTTGAAATCACAGTACGAAAACCAACAATCACAACATTCATCAGTTGTTTCTTCATCAGTCATAAAATGTTTTGCGTTACCCAGTAATTAACAATCACAGACACTGATTAGCTAGCTAGACAGCAAAAAATCACTCCTTGACAGAAGTGTTACGCTGTTTTGTTCGCTCTAACATTTTTTCTAAGATTTCATAAATTATTACAGGTTTCTGGAAATCGTTATCTACAACGTTCATAAGACAGAAATCGTCATGGATTTTCTGTATGACATTCCTAGAGAGGGAATCCTTGGGATACAGATTAGCCCTGAAAAAATTCAAAACATCTACGAGCACCATTAGCTGGTACTAGCTTACCAATTCTTGATCCAAGTATCATAGGCTTCATCTTTCCAAGCACGGAATGCTAATGGATCTACAACGGTAGGCTGTGCAATCTCAGCTCCCGGGAAAACTCCCCATGTGACAGCGATGGGGGTAGTGGGTTCACCGTTCATATGATCAAACGTGCCCTTCAAAATGTACGGTTACGAACAATGCTCTCGCAATCAACGAAGCATAAAAAGAGTAACGGGAAAAATATGCATCAATAACTGGAATTCGCAGGCATACAGAAGATTAGTAAGAGACTTACATCATGATTTATTATGTGGTAATTGATCCGTGGGTAGTACTGGTCTATAATTTCGAGCAATGAGATAGCATCTTCCTTGCTGATGAAGCATTCGAGATACGCCTAAATCATTAAACTGATGATCTTAGCGGCTGGCGTATTAAATTTTTTCAAGCTGTTTCTAAACATTTTTTGCAGGTCCTCTTCTAGGAAATGAAGAAACGAGTCACACGCTGCGATATAAAGTAAACAATTTGAGGCTGCACAATAGAAACTCAATTATGACGGTCAGAATCTTCTTGAATGACTAACACGAAATGAAAGTGAAGAAAAATCAAATGGAAAAATTGATGAAAACAGATAGTATAACGATCAAGTAGATTTCCTTCTGTTAAAAGCTGACGTCAACCGAAGGGCTCAATACCTACCTTTTGATAGCAGTAACCACCAGGCTTTCCCCATCCCACTAGTGGATCAGTTGATGGTGCTCCATTCACAGATGGCTGACTGTTTACCGTCAAGATGCCCTAAAACAGTCCCGTATGAAGTCAGCTTCCCCAAAAGAACCGTTGAGGGCTGACATTCTCATTGCACCACAACAGCTGTTCATTGATGAGCTTCGTCTCAGGTTGTACGCCAGCGTCCTGTTCATTCCATGGAAGAGTTGTAACCTAGATATTTGGCTATGACATATCGTTGCTACATAAGCAAGTAATTTTTATTACCTTAACGCCATTTTCATTAACTCCCTGTGCGATAAAGTTCACAAACACTTTCTTCACGTCATCAAACGATACCAATTCCTCGCCATACATTTTCAGGAGATCTTCTTTTTTCATTTGTGCCTAAAAATCCTCATCGAAAAATCTAGACCAAACGAAATCATTCAAGACTCACTTTTAAATGGAAAAGGTAATAATCCTGCAAATCACCGAACGCTGGTGATGAACTGTTACCCCAACGACCGTTCGGGAAATCGTCCCAGTCCTGAAAAGCCAGACGTTTTCTCAAATGGACGGTGTGATGACAAAATGATCTACATACCCTGGTCCTGTAGATGTAACTTTTCGGTCGCGCACTCCAGAATATTGGCCGCACGTCTTCCTTGCACCTAAATATATACAGTTTGATATGATATCCACGATAGCTTTTTATGACTATGCAGTCATATTAATGCTATTCAATATGCGAAATCATAGTGAAGCAACGTGTCATTTTCAGAAAGAAAAACTCATGGCCATACGGCAAGCACTGAATTATAAAACTAGCGTAAAATATATTAGGTTGTAACAGAATTAAAGCAGGTTTTTCGCGCACCTTTTTCAAAATGCTGGTTTAGAAACGGAAAGTGTTTTCTTAGAGTTTTGCATATCATCTGGAAGCTCTTTTCCTCTAGTTTCTTATGCATTCTTTCTTTTCAGTGGAAATGAATTGTCCAGAAGTTCTGAGCCCATGAATTTGAAAAACTAAATCTCGAAATTCTTTCTTTTAATATACCTGGCTCTAAAACCACCAAAAACAATCGGAATTCTCTGTAAATTTACATGGTATTTTTGAGTGAGCTATGTTACAAAATGCATGTTAAATCATAAATTCTGAAAACATCTGAGCCGAGAAATCTCAGAGCAAAATTCAACGGTCGCTGTGGTCCATTTGCCCTACAAATCCTCAGCGCGAAGCGACTGCGGAGCTTCCGCTTTGTAAAGAAAGAATAAATTTTAGACATTCATCTTCCTATTCAGATTCGAAAAAATTCAAAAGTTTCAGAAAAGCGATTTCTTAAACTCTCAGAAAAGTCGAAAAAATGAGATTTCAAAATTTTTTCAAATATCCTCTTTTTCATTTCCGGATTTAGCGCTGCTGCACAACCGACCATAGGCTATACAGTGAGTTGTATTTGCGCTACCTTACTACATTTGATAATAAGTTATGGTTTCTCAAAGTGAATGTTTTCCGAAAAAATCCTTGGCAGAATCCGGGCTTTAAGATTTTTCTCAGTAAAGCTACAACAACACAATAATGCATACTGAGTTGAAAAATGTCTGCTGATTACAACAATTTTTGTTGCGCACGAAAACACTATTTTGTGTAAAAAGTTATAGTGATCCAAACACAAAATTCAGAAAACCTGCATTAATTCTGTTACAACCTAATACATTCAGGCCCATCATTACAGCCGACTTACCTCAAAGGATGATTTGAACCGTGAGGCTCCCAAGGCAAAGCTCGCATGGGCCTCTTGTGCCAAAGACCAAGCTCTTGGAGGATTTCTCTGCAAACTATTTATTTGAAAGAAAGCGAATAAATGGAAATAAGTGAGATCTGAGTAACAACACATAAAATTTCATTTGAAAATGTTAAGCCCGAAAAATTACATTCTCCTGGAATACAGCATCTAACACTGCTTGCAAAACCCTCTCAACTTGCAACGAAGGAAAATTACAATTGATGAGGAAAGGATCAAACCCTTGTAGATAAAGAGGCTCTTTTAGGGAAGTGAAACGTGAAAAGTAGCAGCTGTATGTGATGACAGCTTGTAGAAAAATACAAAAAGTGTTGCTGTTTGATGCTGAGCGAATTCTCGCATTTGAACGACTACCGATCATAAGAAGCTTTTTATCTTTACAAACCCATTGTGTAGGAAGATTCATCATTATGTCATCTGAAAGGATAGTGGCACGAACAGTTTTTTTTTGTTTGCCACAATTCGAAGATAGTTCTTTAATTACTCGTTCATCTTCTGAGAGAGCAATGGTGAGAGTTATGGAGTGGCCATACTTACCGACATGCTCCCTCCCTATTCATAGTATAAAGATGTATCGATGGTGCTGATCCGCTCGAAAGGATCCGCCGACACATCTCGATAGCCTAAAACAGAAGCTGTGGAACAAACTCCAAGCAGCACAATTCTAGAGCAGGTAAGACAGACCTTAGCTGTTCCATACTTCATCACAGCATCGTCATCATGTTTGATAGGCTCCAGGTCCAGGAGTACCTTCTCAGGAATGGTCAACTGCGAAAGCTTTGCTATTCGCCGAATGGAGTCGTAACCCTAAACGACAAAAAAGGTTCACGATCTGGGATAAGCAGTCGTCTTCGCAAGATCACCATGATGGGCATGATTCCAGGGATGATGGGTACTGTAATTCCCATCTCGCGACAATCGCGTACAAATTGCTCGAAGACCTAGAGCACATGAAATAATGCAATCTAAGACTGATTAACACCTATTAATGATTGCAACATAGTCAAAACCTACTTCAGCTTCAAAGAACAGCTGAGTAATAATAAATTGTGCGCCAGCATCAACCTTAGATTTGAGGTAAAGCAGATCAGCTTTGTAGGATGGAGCTTCAGGATGGCCAAGAGGATATCCTGGAAGAGATTAGACTGATTGATTGGTCAAGGGTAACAACAGAGAAGTTTCAGGTATAGAATGAAAGAGAAGGAACAGAATGCGGATGTACAGTGATACCAAAACAGTACGGGCGCTATTCCATAGTAGACAACGCAACCCAAAAACAGCGGTTTCCGACACCGTGATTACGAAGAAGATACCCATTTTGATGGAAGGACCATTTTTGGTCCTGGATGGGTAATGCGAGGAATCAAAATCCTAGAATTTCAAAAAGGTTATACGACGTGCTGATTACGAATGATGCCAATAATGCCAGTTTGTTGCAAGTTGAGGGTTTGTAATTTCAATTCATCTACCGTAGTCACACCTAAGTTAGAAAATGCTTGCCTGGCGTAACCGGCATTGATAGCAGCATGTTGAATAACTCCTCTATGCAAAACTACAATTCTGACAATGAGGATCCCACACATATACCCACCGAACCCACGAAAGTGGTCCTTTCAAGCAAAATGAAAATTTTCTTCATGACAGCTTGTTGAGTAACCCCTGTGGAAGTTTAAAGGCAGTGTCCGGGCAAAAAGTCAATTTTGAGATTTTGTGCTTATACGGGCCTATTCGCCATGCTGAATCCGAAAATCCACATTGGAAAGCGCGAAAAAGGGCTCTAACACAGGAGGGGAATCAGCAGGTGGGCGGGGCTTGCCCCAGTGCGATTTCACGCTCCCAGCTCCCGGAGCGATTTTCTCGATTCCGCTAGCCGTCCTAACATCGCTACCGGCCAAGTGCGAATGATTGACTTGAAATCGGAAGCGAGAAGATCGCTTCGGAAGCCGGGAACGTGAAATCGCAGTGGAGAGGACCCCGTCCACCTGCTCATTTCCCTCCTGTATTAGAGCCGTTTTTCGCCATTTTCGCGCTCTACAATGTGCATTTTCGGATTCAGCGTAGCGAATAGGCCCAAGTAAGCACAAAATCTCAATATCGACTTTTTGCCCGGACACTGCCTTTAAGCGAAATGCAAGATTTCACGTTTTTGGATTTATAAAAGAATACTGAAACACTTTGAAGGAAGCGACAGAGATGCCCCCTTCCTAGGATAGTGAGAATCCCTCAAAAGCGCGTTTGACTAAAACGTCGCGAGTCATATTCATTCTTTGCGTCAAGATTCAATTTGAGATTCTAAATCGCTCCAACTGTAACGGAGCCGACAACATGACAAAGAGTATTTTTATCACTACATAATATATAAACGTAAAACCTGTTTCGCAGACTTTTATCTATGATTTAGTAAGATTCACTACCTGTTGAAATCAAACATTGACTATAAAGAATAATATCATTTGAGAGAGGAGTTCAACAATGCGAAAAATTCAGCTCGATAAAAAAAGCAGGAAAAGGACGTCTACATATCATCTATGTAATTTGAATTTACCTCACAAATCCCTGTCTCATACCTACTCCTACGAATGCCTATACTGGCACGTAAAGAACGCGATCAGTTTCGGTGATAAGAAGTGCATGACCATGCGAGTTCAACAACGCAAGTTTTCGGCGCAATGTGCAGATCAAAGTTCAATGTTGGAGAGGTGATACTAAAGGGACAAAAAATTGTCGAGATGGCAAGAGACGAAACAACGAGCTAAAGGTACAATATAAACAGAAAAGGATATGGAACGAAAGCTTTGAGAAGATGAATCAAAACAAGCAGCATTCAGCAATCGATAAGTGATAATATGCACCATAGTAGAAAAAATTCTTCTCTATAGTGGATGAAAATAAGAGTATATATACATTTCTAAGTCTCAATGTCAGAGTTTCACAGCAAAAAGATATTGAGCAGCTTTTGAGGAGGCAAAATATAAAATATGGAAACAGTGGAAAAAGATAGAAGCTTCAAACTAACTCACCAGAGCAACCTATAGTAAAATAGTCTCCAAACTCTTCTCGAATCCAACGAATCATATCTAAGGCTCGGTACTTGTAAATCGGAGCATCATCCCTCTCCTGAAAGTAACTGCATTCAACCGCATCTACAAATGCCTAGAAAACTCACTATATTTGGCAAATCTCCTCGCAAAGCTAGAATGTTTCTCAATCCGACGGATTTGCTTTGTTCTAAGTGTTTGATGGTCTGTTCTTTAGAATACTGAGCGCATGTCATATGCAACATGGTATCTACTCGACAGTAATCCAGGCAACCAGCAGCGATTGATGATGATGATGTTTCCTTGGTCATATTGGCTAGAAAGAGCACAATTTCGTCACTAGAACACATACGTCTGAAAAGGTAAACATTTTGGAAGCTTACCGGGATCGCTGCCTAGATGCCAAGTGATATCCACAAATAATGGTCCTCCCTCGTTGAATCGGTCTAACCTATAATCACGTTTATATACAAAAATATTAACATTCTAGGGTAAAGTAAATACTAGAGAACAAATCCCACACCTGGTAAAGAAATTGGCAACACCATTAGCTGTTTTGGGGGGAAAGAATTCCAATGAGAAAAATGGAGTTCCATCCTTGATGCGCCGATTTATCCTTTCATGTAGTGGCACGTACTTGTTGCCGTGGCCAACCTGGAAAAACTGCAGGCATGAAAATTTTTTGCGCGCGATAATTTGTACGAAAAAAAGGCGATAGAAGAGAAGCAAGCTTGCAAGAAAATGTGCAAAAAAAACTTACTTAAACTATGGGATCAAATCTTTTCAATGCTTGGAATAAGTAACCTACTCAATTGTTGCACTCTATTTGAAGATTTGTTATAAAAATGGGATCAAAACAAGATAAACGCTTATCTCGAAATGTTTTTGAGATGAAAAGCAGTTACTAGTACAATAAAGACAGAAGCATGCAAAAAAGGTGATAATAACAAATTAGCTATTTAAAAAAATAACAACAAAAGACAATAACTATTTGATGTAATCTACGTGTAGCTGGTAAAAGCTCGAAAAACACATAACTGCACATCAGCTGTACTCGCGGATTTGTTGTGTTGAGATTTGATGAAAAAGATATTAGTTAGCTAGGACACTATTGAATGCTTATGCTCATAGATAAAATTCAAATATGATTACATTTTCAGTGAGATGGTAGGTACGATGTCAATTCAATGATTTTCATTTTCGTGCTCTCCCATCAAAACAATCTAACAGCGTTAAAATCAAACTAGAATTAAACGAATCATGAACAATGAGCATGTATTCGTCAATTATGACCAAAAGAAAACAGAAGAAATTTAAAAAGTCGGAAATATGAGTCTGCTAACCTCGAGAGAAAGATGCTCCTCATCGCTACTGTACCTGTCATGTAAGCTCGAACCACTTCCTCTGCAATACGTGAATACTGTCATCTACACTACGAACAAGAAGTCATCTACTGTTGACTGAAGCAACAAACTCACCCAGGCTCGTCCATGCTACAAAGTAACAAGATGCGGGAAATTCACATTATCTCTCAATCAATGACGATAAAGCAGCAAAAAAGAAAACAGAAAAATTTGGTAGATTTGTGCCTGTTCAGAATGGCCGCTGGATGGGGGCACATTAGCGTGAGTGTTATGGAAAGTATCGATCGGCCAAGGTCCACGAAACAGTTTTCAAGGCTTCACGCATCGCTGAGAAAGAATGAGAAAAATGTTACGAAAAGAAGGAGTGAATGTAACGAATGCAAATTTAACAAGAGCATTGTCAACACGAATCAAACAAAAGTTCACATGCACTTTGAGAAAGACTTTGCAACCAGTTTGGCAGAAAGAAAAGAAGAGTGAGAAGAAGAGAAGGTCGCGACAGCAGTCGATGAGGGTGTTAGACTGGGTACTGCGATAATTATTATGATTGCCTAACCCAACTTCTCTTTACTCACTGAAGTTTACCGGTACATTCAATATGTATGTGCTATTTAAGCTAGCAAAAGGTGAATGTATGTGTAATATTAAGCAGGAACGTATCGAATTTATGTCCGCTTTCGAGCAAAGAAGCGAGAATGAAAAAGGAAAGCAAAAGACACTTAAAACATTGCCAGTCTCGAAAGTAAATCGTAGACGAATTTTTCATGAAATTTCAGTATTTAGAAGGGGATACGTCGGAGCTATCGTTTGAAGTGGAGAACTCACATTGTACTGTTGAGCACCTCGGTATAAGTTCAAAAACGACCGTTTTAGAAATTCCCGTCATGTGCTAGTATTAATTTTTTGTCAGAAAAAGCTACAGCACTTGTAGTACTGTTATCAGCACAATCCCCATGTCCTTTACCTGCAAGAAAAACCTATTTTTAGTACATCAGTTTTCCTTCGCCAGCACTATAAACAGTCCCATTATCGTAAACATTTAGTAATCATTGCACTAAGCAAAAAGACTATTAGTGACGTAAAGGCATGAAAATCAAATCATGGATACAAAGTTGCACTAAAGAGATGCAGAAAATGACAAGAAACACTTCCGCAGGTATGCATAGCATAATAGAGAATCTTGATCGATGCCATAAGTTTGTGCACTTGCACAATTCTGAGATTTTGAATGCATGCGAACAGGCAAATTTTATAACGATAGTTGCAAAATTTTTTTATGAATCAATCGAATTGCCGTTCATACAGATATGCAAAAGAAAAGTGTATAATAAAAAAGCTTTCAAGGCCCAGAAGCAAGGAGGAACGTTAGATAGTGTACTCAAAAGAAAGTAAATGGAAGCCCAAGAATTTTTTTAACCAGGAAAATATTCGCACCTGTATGGAACTGCCGATAAGGAGTCGTGCTTCTTCAGCTGTCTTGAATGACCATTTGCTAGTGGATTTGCTCTCATTACGTCAACATCAACCATTCTTAACAAAAATGCAAAGATTTACGATAATGATAAATCATTACGACGATGAAACGCAAAATGAAAAAAGAATAAAGAATTGAGAGAAAGTCGACCCAGCTGGCAAGGCATGTGTGCAACATGTGAATCAATCAGGTCAGCGGCAGAAGGCTGGTACCGACGAGAACATTGAACTCCCTTGCATCGGTGTAATTCGATGATATGAAGGAGATTGAGTTCTGCTTTTCTATTATGACAATACCACCCACTAATAAGTAATCACGATGCTCTTTGCTCTAAACAAAAGCTGTTAACACTATACAATAAGGATACAGTACCCACTACAACATGATATGTATAAGAGTTTATATGATGATCATTAATGGTATGATCATATACTGCATGTGACATTAGGATAGATTTGATAAGATGATAGAAGATGATATACAGGGTGTCCCAGAAAGAAAGTACCAAACACTGTTTGATCGTTATTAACCATCTTCCCTAGAAGTTTTTTGTCTACCTTCAGGTATCTGCCATTTTATAAAGCTGGCTTCAACTCAAATTCAGAGTATGAAGCAAATTCTCGATTGCTTTTCATTGCTGTAAAATTACACTAGAAACTTCAAGAAGGGCTTTGAGCCATTGGAGAGCTCTATTTCGCCCCATAAAACAAACAAAATAACCTGAAAACTCTTAAACTAGGATAATTCGAATCGCAAAACCAAATAAACTTTGCACTTTGCCGCATGCTTCCTTCATAAGTTATTCCGAGTAAGGCGCGATAGCTGTTATGTCGATGCTCTTTGAAATCGTGATTACACCGTACTTTACAGACTCGTAGAAAGTTAGGTAATGGAAATAGCGCGCGCAAAGACCCTGATATACCACTTTTCAGATCTTTCAAAAAGTTTTTGAAAAACGGTCAGTCCTCGATGCTGTAAGCTAGAAGTTCTACCGTCTTACAGTAATGAAGTCCAATAGTTGGTAGGCTCCCTACTGTATAAGTTGAAGCCAGCTCTACAAAATGGTACCTGAAGGAAGATAAGTAAGAATGTAAAGTACAATATCCTTTACCCATAAAAAACATTGTGATAGTCGAACATATTCGAAAAAGTGAGAACGAATAAAACAAAAAAAAATGATACGAAGAGCACTGACCGGAAGAACTTAAAGTCTATCTCAATAGCTTATCTATGCTAATCCCTTACGCTTAATCCGTAAATCCACCCCAGAAAGCACAAAGGCGACGAGAATAGGCTTTTTAAAGTTTACATTCTAAATTTGGACAAGTGCTCCCGTCAGAGCTGAAACGCAGGGTCCGTGTGGGACCCTCTGACCTCTACTATGGATGCATGCGGACTTCGGCTGTGTTCATACTGATCCAGATGCTCCGAAGCGGCTCCAGCACAGTTTTCGGACTTTGCTGGAAATGCTCCGGATCACCAAGAATCAGCCTTCATCACAGAGCAGAAGATGGCAGGTGGGCAAGGATTTCCCACTAGGGCGTGAGTGCCTCAACTTCTCAATCAATCATCAATACAACTCTATGCACCATCTATAGAAATCATGAAACCTGACGACAAAAAAAAACCTCAAAGATGCAAATGCATGTGCAGAGCATTCCCTGCAGCATCTCATCATTCGCATTCAAAACGCATTCCCCAAAGTGTAAACAAAGAATCGATAGAACCGTTTTCTTTTGCGAACGAGCGTAATAAGGACATTGTGAAGAGAGCGATGGAGAGGATGACCTGATCGCTGACGTTCTTTGTAGGGATGTGATGTGATAGCGCTACACATCTGTGTGATGTGACATGTTCCGGAAACTAATAGATACGTTTAGAAAAAGACAGAAAGGATGGAATAGCTATTTCTTGGAAGGTAGAGAAGGCAAGGTAAAGAGACTTAGAATTGTCGCAAGATTAGACATTATTTTCGCCAGTAGCTGCATGGACGGCGCAGCATCAGTGCCTATGAGTCGGATTGCATGAGTGTGGTCAAATACAAGTGACTCACAGGCGTTTGCGAGCTCTGAAGGTAATCTGAAAAGATGAGCTGTATTACGACAACATGCAGTGTGGGGTCTGCAGACGATGCGGGCGGTTGTGTAAATATCGCTGCTGATGCCTGCAAAATCGCACTCGGCACCTTCGCTTACGGCAGAAAATAGGTGCCAAAGCTTTTGCTCTGTGATCAAGCGACATTTGGATGAAATAAAACGCAGACGTGACTTTCCTATTTAGCTAATCCGTCAACTTTTTTCGATAATATGATTAACACTCGCAAAGATGCATTATCTCACAAAAAGATACATACTGACAAACAAACCGAAAATCATTTAGATAAGAACGGTACGAATAATAAATTTGACTTATATTAGTGCAGTAAATCGTTGGCATTCGTCTATGACTATCAATCATTCCCCGTCACGAGTTCACGATGATTCAGATGCTAAGCATAATTATTTGTCATTTGTACATGAGAAATTTTTTGAAGTTCTACTGTGTATTTTTGTAATAAGGACTTAAGAAAGAGGTTCTGATGCAAAATGAAACCCAAGATGATCAGTTTTCTTTTCTCGAAGTGGCCACCCTAGCAAAACACAACTCTGAACTTCCTATTATAGTGAGCATTTATGGGAGCACGCATCTAGTTTGCAGCCTCAGCTACCATACGGCTACCATTCGATTTCTGATTAAAACTATATAGATTTTTTGGAAGAAGAGATGTAAAGAACATCGCCAGGTGTAGGCCGGCAGGGGTGGAGGGACGAACATATACCTCAATTAGGCACCGCCTCCGCGGACCTTCCACTCTACTTATACATCGTGTTACCAGTAGTTGCCTGGGTAGGGGAGGGGGGTAGGCGAACGAACTCCGCCAGTCTGCGCCCGCCTTCGCTAGCAACTGGTCCTTGGACTCCCCGCCGGCAGTAGTTGCGTGGGATACAGTTTTACTCATGAAGAGGTTTATGAAGAAAGATTACAACTTTGAGAAACTCTTGCAGGTGGAGGCAAAGTAGGAAAATATAAGCGAACGTACGAACGATGAAGGCATGTCACAGTTATGGTAGCTGCAACAGTTTCTCAAAAATTTATGACTTGGAAGAAATAATAAATGTCAAGATAACAAGACATGCGTCTCTGAAAAAGAAAAGAAGAAAGGGCTCCTTTTTCTGAAAGCAAAATGCTTAAACGAATAGTGTACAGAACGCGATTAGTAGCGTTCCTCAGTGATTTTGGCTCAAGTAAGTACTTCGCACACCTGACTTTCAACAGCTAACGTATTCAGTCAAACCCAAAAAACAGAAACTTTAATCCAAAAAAATGCGAGAACAACCGAACTGGTTTATTGTCGCAAAGAGACGTGATCGCCACGGCAGCGCGATCCACGTCAACTCTCCACCCCTTTTGTTTTCAATAGCACCACAATTATGGAATTACGCTCTGTTTAGCGATAGTCCTGAATCGGACGGTCAACTCGCTATCACTCTGCACCGTTAATGACCGTAAAGGGCAAAGAACATTTCGAGAACAAAAGAAAGAAGATTACTGGTAGGGAAGGAGGCTACGTGCAATCTATAGGCATCATACTTGCTCGTTTGAAAAAAATTACGATTTTACACTTTTGGAAGCAATTTGTTGACAATCATAGCGTCAATCAATTACAGCAGCGAAAGTTACTATGAACGTAAAAAATGGCGAAAAAAGTCCAAAACATCCCTAATGAGAACTGTGCTATTAAGATTATAGTCCGCCTGTGCGTTGAGAGGTGCTTATTTTGTCGCATTAACCAGTTTTGAGAAACACCCATGAAAATAGAGATATGAAAAGAAAAATGGATAATTTAGAAACGTAGAAAGTAACCAAAAGGCTGTTCATAAGTAAAGTTGGAAAATTCTCGCGTTGAAGACTATTGAAACGATACAGAATTTTTTTTGCGCAAGTTTACTTGTGATTTAATGTCAATAGCAGAGCTAGGTGAGTTGCAAAAATTGGGGAAAATGAACACGAATTTTCCACTGGGGTGAATTCATGGAGAAACGATTTACAAATGATTGGGATCTTCACTGAAAAAAAAAGTTCTTTTTCATGTCAGAAGGATGCCAAAAGTCAAGTGGTCTTTGCTGACAACACTGGCATTTACTGATGGTAAATAACAAATCACTATGATGGGTGATAAAATAATAATAATGAAGTAAGGTAGAGTTTTTATTTTGATGAACTACATGTAAACATGGTAATTTCCAAAAATCAGCTGTCAAGAGGCATGTGTTAGATAACACTTACGAGTTGACGTTGAAATGCACAGCAGACACTTCGATGCCAAATATGGAAAAGCAGATAGATCAAGCCATGAATAAATGGATTGAACCATGAAAATTACGAGGACCTAAACTTATTTTTTCATTTTGTGATTGAATCTTGCTTATAAGCTTTCCAAGTGATGCTACATGAATGGCATGGCATTCATCAATCAGAAGCTGCATTTTTTATTCATTAATTTAGGAAATTTACAAAAAAAGGCAATCACTCGTGCGATTCAACCTCGTCAAGATTCTGCAGGCTTTCTTTAAATAATTTTCTTTAGTCACCTTCATCAAGAACGCTTTTTCTTCAGTATCTTCATCATGAATGCATTAGTTCTTGACACGATCTGGACGTTTTGTACCTTGACATTCCGCATCATATTTAACTTTTAGCAACCTTTAGGAATAAGCCACACATTCTAGCGTCACCAAAACTGTATACCTGATGGTATAAGACGCAATGAACAGACATATCCCCATTAAACGAAAAAACGATTCCTAGGTTTTACGGAAACAAAGTAAACTTATCGAATATTTATCTGAAACAACTTATTTCCAGCAGATAGAGGTACTCGTCGAGAAATCAAGAAATTTCAATATGTTATTGCCATTATTGCCATCGCACTACAAAAGTTGAGCATTAGATTTTGGGCGGATTTGATCAAAGTGTATAAGCAAACTAGCTGGTTTACCCAGCTCCGCCGTATGTTCCGAATCGAAAATTCCATTTCTTAACCGATCCGGACCAAACTTGGGACACATCACTTCGGGCCCCGGCGGGTGTCACAGTCCACTTTTCGTTATCGATCGATGTCGATTTTATCGATTTTTTTGCAAAATTTGAGCTACGGGCTGGAATTTGGCAGAGGGGTGTAATCGAGCATGCCGATCACCCCCACAGGGGTGATCAGCATGCTCGATTACCCCCCTGTGCCAACTCCCAGCCCGTAGCTCAAATTTTGCAAAAAAATCGATAAAATCGACATCGATCGATGACGAAAAGTAGCCTATGACACCCGCCGGGGCCCGTAGTGTATGTGTCCCAAGTTTGGTCCGGATCGGTTAAGAAATGGAATTTTCTATTCGGAACATACATACACACATACAGACAGACAGACATACAGACAGACAAACAGACATTCAGCTTTATATATAAGATAGAGCATTCGTTCAAGATAACCTCAGTGATAGAACCGGACATTACGATTGGAATGCCAGTGAGAGAATACTGATAACATAGCTATCCCAAAAGTTCCTTCACACGTTTCTCGTCCTCCGATGTTGCCAACGATGCAGCCAAGATCTTCAGCTTCTCTGCAAAGAATCTATTTAAAATCCACTAACTAAAGTCCGTGGAAACTTGCCTTCGAATTCAGCATCTATCGCAGGTGGAGCTGGTTGTCTGGAAATTTTACACCATTCTAAGACGAGACTTACAATGATTGATTAATAAAAGATTTCTTACCCGCTTCTCCTAGAGGTGCCTTCCAGACTGTCAAGCAACGAAGACGATGTTACGGCTTCAGCTGCGTCACCTTTCTTAGCTATATCAAAATAAACTTTTTTCCTTATTTTAAACTTCCAAAATATTATATTCACCCTTCTTTGCACGAGGTTTCTTCTCTTTTGTCACATTCGCTGTTGTTGCCTGAAAAGGAGCTTGCGAGTTAACCATACCACTGCCAGAACACGTAATCAAGAGTGACCAACCCCAAGTACTTCGTTCTCTCTTGCCACAGTCCGTAGTGCTTCTATATCCGGGTAGACAGGTTCGGCATCTTTGTCTTTATCCTTTTTAGCTAAAAAATATTGCTTAATTCTCGGTCAGCTACCATCTCTCACAAAGCACTAGCCGGTGGCTATGCTGTTAAACTTTGAGCTCAGAGCTTGACAATTTTCTACGAGTAGATTAGGAAACAGTACATTAAAAAAAAAAACAAATTTCAGTTCCCATTGGTTGTAACTCGTACGATTAATGCTCCAATGGGAAGACTTGCACTTGTTGATGTGATGTTTCAAAACAATTTACACAAAAGTAAATCAGTGGGATAGAATTCAATCAATTATTTTGAAGTTCTCCCACCCCATAAAAGGGCAAAAAATTAACACGGATGTAGCTGAGCTGGCAGTGAGATATATGGTGCGCTGGGGAGACTGAAAACCTGACCTCAAGACTGAATTTCTTAGCGGGAAGCCTATCTCGCAATAGTTCATGTTTTTATGACTAACTGCATATCTAACAAACTTCCGAACCATGAAATTGCCTAATGGGAATATGTGGACACATGTGATTTACTCTATATTTGTACCATTGCTTACAATTACCTCTGCTTTTCCGTGGTGCTTTCGGTTTAGCCATGCCTTGCGACGATGTTTGAGGTTTATCATTTGTTGCTTCTTCCACAGAAGTTCCCTGTGCAGCTATGACACCAGAATCATTCGCAACACTGAAATGCAGCTTTTTACACCCAAACTAAGTGAAAAGAGAAACGCACTCATTCGGCTTTTTCCTTCGCTTTTTTGCAGGCGATTTCGGAACTTCCGATGCGAGTGGTTTCTCACCCGATGTGTCAGGATCTACCAGCACTAACTCGGGCGCTACTTCGGGAAAGTTTTCTAGAAAAAGCCGTATTAATTTGGATAAAATAATAATGACAAAGAACAGTTCAACATCTGAAAGAATAGATGTATCTGATTTTTGCGTTATCGCAGAATTTTGGATCAAATAGTTTGTAGCAATGCTGACGATGTGGGACAAGTCATGACCAAAGTTAGCCTATTTTTCAATCCTCAGTCTTCTCAAATTTTGCCAGTTTTAATATCGTTCGATGAACAAGTATAAGAAGGCAGTGAGAAAAAAGCATGAGAAGAAGTGCAATTCTTACCATGCATATTCGGATCAGCATAGCGACGATTTCTTGCATAGACAATTTTTGAAGCATAAGCTTTGTCCTTGATTGACAGTCGATTAGTACTTTCCTCAGCAGTTCGGTTTGGTTCGTTGGCGGTGCTTGTGGAAGGTTGCTGAATAAAAAATATGTATGTCTATCGATTTCTGGGTAAACTTTCGTTCCTCAATTTCATCGAATCTTTATTCAAAAACGGTATCAAAAATAAAATAAGCGCTTAGAACCATGTACATTATAGATTTGATCAAATAGGGTTATAAAAGTAATTCCAGCCACCAATTTGTCTGCCTTGCGTTTAATTTCTTGGTTCTTTTCGGCCCAGTAATTTTTGCTTTTTTAAACGCTCTTTACTGTAACGAATGATTAGACGCACGATAATGATGTCGTTACACCTACTGTCCAGCAGCAATGGAATACCAAATTACGCTACACCTTCCTAAGATTTTCAATTTTTCCTTTCATTTTTGAGTGGCTCAGACATCCAAGGAAGTATGAGCTTCATCGGATGTCAGAGGAAACTGCGATGGGTACAGTTCTCATCATCGCCGCTCTAGCCAGCTGTAACAAGCCACAGCCACGACGGAAAAACGCATGGACTTCGGCGCGGGGGAAGGTGCGGCGTATATCAGGCAGGTACCGTTATCGCGCTAGAAACGTAAAAAATCGTTGATCTGGCTACTTTTGACTTGTTAGTTTGAGGCAAGTATGTACTTAGATAGTAAATCGCCAATCATTCTGGGTGCTTTTTCTAAGGGAATATCAAAAAGAAACCTTACATTCTCAGGCTCCTCCACTTCTCCGGTATCCACTTTTGCTATTTCGTTTTTGAGCGAAGCAAAAATCCTGGAATGCTTAAAATTTTACATGAGAAGTACGGTAAAAAATCACTCTTGCAATGGAACGATAACTACTCAATAGACGCAGTCTTTCGAAGTTTCAAATATGAAAAAAAAAAGATTAGGTTTTAGAATGACTTGGGACTTTTCACAAAGAAAAACATTATTTATGAAAGGTGACTACAGCAGGAAGAATTTTGAGTACTATTACATATGAGCTGATTTCGATGTGAGATATGATGGACAGAAGATGATTCGTGACTATTTTTCTACAAAGAAAAACCTCACCTGTCAATTCTTTCCAAGAAATTATTGTTGGTTTCTGCAACTTTTGGACAGCCCTCAATCATATCCTGTTTGTCCTCCATTTTCTGCTGAACACGAGCCATAGTCTGCAATAATACACTATTCATTCTACATCCAATTCCTCGCGAAAAGCCACCACACTTTCAACACTGGATCTTCCATCAGAGTAGCCGTCTCCACTAGTGGATTGTGTTTCTCATCTTCTTCAATTACATCATCATCAGGATTCGGTAAATCGTAGCGACGATGGCAAATAGGGTCATACTAGAAAAACCAACGATTTAAAAAGATGAAAAACGATGTGTTGTGCGTACGCTGCTATCAAATCCAACTAAGCTGAATGCATCGTCTATGTACAGCTTGTAGAGGCAACCAACAGTATCCAGATGTCTTCCAGGCAGGAGAATTTCTTTGCAAAAGCGCACAATTTCTTCTAGATCGGATTGTGTTACAAGAATCTAGAAAGAAAGACCTTCTGAGAGTAATTTATCATTATTTGTCAGACCTTAGACACATAGTCGACTGGCTGAGCATAATAGAGCACGTAAGCTGCATAGACACCGAAAACTCGCTCCTCAAAGATCGGAAAAGTTATATCCGTGGAGAGGTTGGATGTAATATACTAACCGTTAATGTGCGAGTCGTTTCTGATGATGCTCTTGAGCCTTTCGTAGGTCTCGTATATGCAAAAGCTGACTTTAGAAAGCACTCCTCGAACTAAAAAAAAACTTCTGAGAAGCGTAACGACTATCCGCGAACTGCCCCCTTTACGAAAATTATGATATGGGATATTTCATTACGTTCATAGTATGCTTGCTGATTAACAAACTTATCCAGAAAATTTTGTTAGCATTGTATACTTTGCACTTCATATTTGATCCGCTTCAATCAAATCGCCATTAAAGGCAGCGTCCAGGCAAATCTGGACCTATGGGGCTTTTACGTGGAAAGTACTTTTGGGGCCCTAACTAAGGCACTGCCCAAGCGGCAGCTCAGGTAGTGCTGTGATGGCTGAGATATTCTTCTTGAAACTGTACCCCGCGACCGTGTTTCGCATGGATTCATGGCGCAAAGCGTGGATCCTGGCGCGAAACTGCTATGAATCCATGCGAATACGTTCGCGGGGGCCAGTTTCGAGGGGAATATCTCAGCCATTACAGCACTACCTGAACTGCCGCTTGGGCAATGCCTTAGTTAAGGCCCCAAAAGTACTCTGCACGTAAAAGCCCCATAGGTAGAGATCTGCCTGGACGCTGCCTTTAAATCAGTGAACTGACCAATGTGATTTGAATGAAGTGGATCGAGAGGACCTCCGTCTCTTTATTGGTCAGTTTATTATTTCGACCAATAACGAAGTGGGAAGTGAAAGTGCGAGTCATATTTAGACTTACTTGAACTCGCTCTAAATGGTTGGAATGAGATCCAGCGTTGTCCTGTAGATGTTTCCAAAATTCCAAACGACCAAAACCAAAATTCACCTCAATGAGTTCGGCCAGACTAAGACGACCGGCATAAACATTGGGTAGCTCGTAGTCAATCGCTACTTCGTGAAATTTGATGAGGCTGAAAATAGCTCCGATAACCGAATTCAGAAATTCTAGAACGTTTAAATCAAATATTAGGTTGAACCGAAAGTTCTGTCGCACCATATTCAAAAAATCATAACTTCTTTCACTCACGGTGATTTTGCGCAGTTCAAATTTTGTCAGAAAGCGTAAAGCATGTAGTTTCCAAAAGTTCCTTGGGGAGTTTCCGAGATGCTCAGGTGGCAGAGATAAAAATGAAAGAACGAGACCATCCAAAATTCGGAATTTTTAAGAAAGAATTCTAGAAATTCAGAAACAGTGCGATAAAATCCAGAAAAGCCATTATCCTAATTTTTCTTACATTTGATTACTATCTGAGTCAAGTTTGTGCTGATCGAGCCCTTCTTTCAAAAGTTATGATTTTTTGAAAAATAATGCTGAAAAATCAATTTCCTAAGAATTCTTACGAAATGGATTTTTTGGCATTTTTTTCAAAACTTCATAACCTCTGAAAGAAGACCTCGATCAGCACAAATTTGACTCAGTTAGTAATCAAATGTAAGAAAAATTAGAATAATGGCTTTTCTGGACTTTATCGCACTGTTTCTGAATTTCTAGAATTCTTGCTTAAAAAATCCGAATTTTGGATGGTCTCGTTCTTTCATTTTTATCTCTACCACCTGAGCATCTCGGAAACTCCCCAAGGAACTTTTGGAAACTACATGCTTTACGATTTCTGACAAAAATTGAACTGCGCAAAATCACCGTGAGTGAAAGAAGTTATGATTTTTTGAATATGGTGCGACAGAACTTTCGGTTCAACCTAATAAAAAAACATGTGGTGGACCAGTGTCCGAATGCGATTATGATAAAATTAAGTACGTTGAATGTACAATACGTAACAGCTAATCTTTCCACAAGATCGGCTCAAACGCAATTTGAGTTCCTGAACTTCTTTTATGAAAGCTGAACGGACAATTCTCAGTAAGCTACTAGACAAACGGCAGCTCATATAACTTATCTGTAACCCAGAAATGCAACTCAAAATTCCAGCGGAAAAACTGCATCTCGACTATACCCTCTCATTTCGTCAAAAAGTCATCAAACTCCACCGGAATTCACCGAAGTCCGCGATGCATCATCAGGGTCAAGCGCGGGGTGCGGCACGCCACACCTGGGGGGTCGTATTGAGGAGTCAAAAGGGGAGGGGGTCGTAGTTGGGTAGTCTGATAATAGTGATAACATGATATTCGTATCCTATAGAAAATTAGCATGTCAATTAACCCCTGTAGACAAAGTGTGAGCGAATTCTGAAGATTCAAGATACCTAAGTGAAATGATCAAATTCCAACATGGTTAACTTTGTTTCAAATGTGATTTAGCTAACCGTTTTTGCACTCAAGACAAAGCACTACTCCTTCTTTGTCCACCTCAGGAATCCCGCTTCAGAAGACCTCCAAACTGTGGAATTAGAAGCCAACCAAAATAACATTTTTCCCATTTTTCGCTTTTAATGGCTGTGCTTTCACCAAATATTACTCAGAGCTAAGAGGACGAATCAGGCTCAAAACAATCCTATGGAATCTACAAGGTTTAGGCTATCGATTCATATAAATACTGTCCGCTAAAAATGTTTTTCTGATATAGTTAATGGGGTGCGGCACACCCCCTTAAAAGCTGCGGCCGCCGCAGCTTTTAAAGGCACCGTCCACCAAATTGGGGTTGGTGAGATTATGATACCTAGCAGATGCGGGGCCCCCAACTGTATGATTGCCCAACTCGCGCTGCCTGAAGTTGCTTCCGAACCGAGAAAATTGCTTCGGAAATCGCTTTAGGCCGCATTCGCGACGCTGGCTCCTCCCTTTTCAGAGTGGGCGTGACGTTCGTCCCGCCCATCCGTGCGCGCCCAACCAATCACCGTACCGAAGAAATCGCTCTGCGGGTTCTGAAAACGGGAGTTTCTCGTGGTTTTCGCGGATTTTCAACTTGAAATTCGGAATCAGGGGTATGAGAAGGCCCAGGAACGGCAAAAACATGGAGGTCGAAATTTTGGGTGGACGGTGCCTTTAAGGGGGGTGTGCCGCACCCCATTAACTACATCAAAAAAACATTTTTAGCAAATCGTATTTATATGAATCGATAGCCTAGATCTCCTAGTTTTCACGGGATTTGAGCCTGATTCGTTCTCTTAGCTCTGAGTAATATTTGGTGAAATCACAGCGATCAAAAGCGAAAAATGGGAAAAGCGAGACTTTGGTTGGCTTCTAATTCCACAGTTTGGAGGTCTTTTGAAGGGATTTCTGAGATGGACAAAGAAGGAGTAGTGCTTTGTCTTGAGTGCAAAAACAGCTAGCTACTTCACATTTGAAATAAAGTTAACCATGTTGGAATTTGACCATTTCATTTAGGTAGCCTAGTATCTTGAATCTTCGGAAATCGCTCACACTTTGTCTACAGGGGTTATTTGACATGCTAATTATGGATATGTTGCCCATTATGTTTGACAGGGCCTTCAAGTAATGCTATCTTAAGTGTATAGTTCAGGGGGGAGGGGTCGTAACCAGCGATCGTGTGCCACACCCCTTGCTTGACCCTGCGCATCACCATATTTTGGTTCAGAGTAAATGAATTGTGCCAAGGGCAATGTCCGGCTCAACTCAGTGAAGCTCATCTCTTACTCCAGTTTCATTACTTTAGGCGCACGGTAGGCACCCAAATTTCTAGAATTCTTTCAGATTTTTGTTTACGGTAGGGTAGGTTACTCAGTGTGCTTCATTGCACACTAAGCAACCTATCGTAGGCATTAATGAACGCCTACTGTATCCAGACCGGCCTTTCATATGCGCTTCGTCGAGCTGAGTCAAATGACGCCCTTGGATTCAGAATTCGTCCACTCTGACAGGATGTGGCGATGCGACGCTCATTTCGGTAAACCGCGGTGAAGTTTAACCCATTGACAACGATGTGGGCCACCGGTGGCCCATACCTCTTGCAAAGTCATATTCTTTGGTCTAGTATCTTTTCACCATATTACTATTCTTCCCAATTATTTGCTCTCTTGGGACCTGTAGGCTCCGCCATTCAAAAAAAAAATGATTATAGTTGTTCACAAAACAACCTTGCATTTCGTAAAAACCACGAAACTCGTCCCAAAGCACCGCCCTGCAAAATCAGGCGTCGTCGTCAATGGGTTAATGACTTTCTTTTATGAAATATGAGCGGTATTCTGCAGTTCAGGGCGAAAGTTTACACTTGTATATCACAGCCACAAATGGAGAAAATGGGCTCCTTGAGCAACTCTGTAGGCCTCCAAGTCGATATTCAATTGGATCTTCATATCAGTCTGGGGAATGCCAGATAATTTGAATACTCTGCGCTTGTATCTCACAAAGCAAACTTACCGCACAGATTGTTTGGCTTTGAAGGCCTCTAGCAATGTCTCTAAATCGGTTGCAATCCCAGCGTTCACGGGCGGCATGGAGATACCATAACCCTTCATTTTCTCGATTGGAGGAGTATGATAATGGTTATCTAAAATTTATTTTATTACTCCGGGTAGTGAAATGCACACTAAATTACACGGAAAACGAATGACAATAACATACAAAACCTATGGGTTCAAAAATGAAGAGATCCACAAGGAGAAAAAAGGGAGTTTATAGACCATAGAAACTGTTGTGAGCAAATTCTATGGATATATGCGATTGAAGCTCTGGGAGCACAAATGATTGAAATTTCGATGAAAGGTCTGCAGGAGGTGACAGATCGAAAGACTAGCACAATAACATATGTAAGCGCAAAGATACTTTGGATACATGGAAGGTGGGGTATTGCAGAACCTGAATGGCCACTCTCCCGACACTGTTCCTTCTTCACCAAAACTTCAAAGTTTTTCTTTGCAGTTTCCGCACACTCCGATGAGTGACGGCATCGAGAAGAGCTTCGTAGCTGTTCAGTTCCTTCAAATCACCGAATCCGACTAGCGAAGGGCGGCTAGTAAACATCCGCTCCGCGACTCGCGCAACATCCTCCACTGCCACATTGTCAATCTCGTCCATAATGTCCTCAGGTCTCTTCACATGACCGTGATACATCATTTGTCTGGCGATATTTTCGAAAATCGCCGGCCGAATTTCTAGGCTCATCATCATTTGCGACTTGAGCTGAGTTTTAGCTCTTTGGAGTTAGGCTCCTTCCACGCCTTTGAGAAGTTTGAAGAACTGATCGAGTACGACGATTAGTGCATCATTAATAAGTTTAGGGTCACTACTGACATGGATACAGAACACTCCAGCATCCGCATACGAATGGTTAAAAGCAGTTGCGCCATAGATCCAATGATGTCTGCTCATGACATCAGTATATAAGCGAGTGTACATTCCTTTGCCAGGTCCACCCGAGGAGAACGATCCTCCACCTCCTAGTAGCATCTGAAGCACGCAGATGGGAACAAAATCAGGGTCTCCATTCCCAACCCCTTCGAAACCCAAAGCAATGTGGGCTAGGTTCGGATAAGGAGTTCCGACAGCCATAGCGGAGAGGTCCTTCTCAATTCTGACCTCTCCACCAGTGTACTTGGCGATGGATGATTCAACTTTAGGCGCATGGTATAACAAATGTTTCGAGTCCCTTTCCCAGATGGCGGTTCCCAGACCGAAATGACGCTCTACACCGTCGACGAGCTCATCATGTTCAACTCCAACTCCTGCGACGACTAGTCGTTCTGGGACGTGATATTGGCTGATGTACGAGTTCACATGTGCTTGAGAGATTACTGGCAGCGAGTCCTCAGGTGTAAATTTCGATATTCCAAGCGTATTTTCACAGAATGCAGCCATGTGGATACGATCGTTCAGTAACATCTCAACATTCTCAACTTTGCTGGTTAGGTCTTCGTTTTCAAACTGTGCAATCATCTTGGCCTCTTCCAATTCCTCTCGAGTATTTTTCGCTCGCCATACAGCATTTGCAAGAATTTCCATAACCGTATTTAAGCTAGAAATGTGACAGCTTGCTGCATAAAACGTAATATCCCTATTGCTCTGGCAGTCAACCAATCCACCAGCTTTCTGAAGAACCTCGTAAATCTCCTCTTTACAAGAATGACGCAACGTTGATCCAAATGCCAGTTTTTCCACCAAATGAGAAATGCCAGCCGGATAGCCGCGTTCGTAGCGACTTCCACTTTTTATGGCTACGCCAATCGTACAGTAAGCTCCATAAAACGACTGTGAAGCCACTCGGATGCTCGACTTTAGTTTCGTACACTTCGTCTCAAATAAGGCATGTTCAGTTTCATTTTGTGTTGTAGGAGGTTGTAATGGTTTGGGAAGACGTGCAGTAGTTATATTACGTAGATCAGTGATGTTGGAATTCTTCGTGGACATACATCGGACGAAAACTCGTGGCGACAACCGGCTCAGCATTGTGCCTTGAAAGAAAGTAAATGAATGAACAGAATTGAAAATTGACATGGTTCCTGCTACTAGCACCAAATCGCACACATTGCTGGCTTTTTTTGGATTCCTCTGAAATTGAGAAAATTCCGCAAAGTCTCAAATTAGGGCATACATGGGTGGGGAGTCAGAAGGCTATCCACTGGCATCATTTTCTTACAGACAAGAGTTACTGCGTTTTTATACTTCCGGGAGCAAAGTAGTAACACGAAGGCGCTTGGCGATCAAGCTCTTCGATTATGTAAGGAGGAAATTCCAAGGATAATTCGAATATAATTCAAAAATTGTTGTCCCATATGTACACGTTCTATACATCAAAAATCGACGACTTGCACGTAAGTGAAGGAGAGAAAAATTGAGAGGAAGTCAGAAAAATATACTCGTCGAGTGAAAAAAAAGCTCATGATGTTATAATTCTTATCTGTGGCAACCTGATAGTACAGTTTCCCACAGATAAGAATTATAACATCATGATCTTCTCAACCAAAATTATACGTTAAATTTCATCGACATTTTCTGTCAAGACCCAACTCGTTTGCTCCTTAATTCTAGACTCACTTTCGAGTATGAAGTATACATAAGTGCTCAGAGCTCCACTAAGCTAATTTTGCTTCTATTCTGACGACGTACTTAAGATGCTTCGTTTCAAATGTTGCATTGGCCTTCTCAGTCGAGTTTACTCTATTGTCAATAGCTACGCTAAAAAAAACGAAAAAGTTGTGAGTCAAATTCTTCTTAAAATCACAATCTATTTGGATTGGGCGACAGCTTAGTTGGAAAAACGACCTGTATGTTCCACACTCAAGCACTGAAATTGTTAAGAGATGGCTTTCAGATTTTTTGGAGGACTGGGCAGAGAAATGCGAGATTGCTGACCCCAGCTCCCCAAACTCTTTGAAAAGAACCAAGATAAGTGCCAGCAAAGGTACTCTATAGCCATCGATGCAGTTCGGATAAAATCAGACAATATCGAAACAGATGATTCATACAGAAGCGAGCGTTGAGAAAACAACTTTTGTTCCACTATGTTTATCTTCTATAAGACACGCGATAGTCAATAAATTAATCGATAAAGCATGACATCTTCTATATTAAGTGATAGAAGTCTATAAGAAGAAACAGAACCCATTGTTTCATATGACTAAAAGACTCGTGAGCACTAATGGCGAAGAAGGAAGATGCGAATTATGCAAAATGTACAGAGATGTAATGACGTTATACACACACGGGTTGTAGAAGTTTCGATTATTACACAATTATGGAGTCTAAGGGTACGGTTATCAGAGCACCTTTTTGGTACATAAATTTGGCCACTAGCCAATAATCACTGGCAAAAGCATGAATGGTCACAAATCACAGAAAGGTAAAAATCTACATGTAATTGGGGGTGTCAAGAGAAAGCTCAACTTCTGGAATCTCACAATTAAGGGTAAAAACATGTGCCCATTCGCAGAGGGAAAAGATCATCTGTAAACGATGAAAGAAGAGATATTGTAAAAGTAAGCAGTTAAAAAAGGTGTCTATCATCTGTAATTAATATTTGAAAAACTCGAAATGCTCGGCTGTGCATTCCGCATAAATTGTAGTATATCCTTCTTCGTTATGATTCCCAACACTTTGCCATTTTTGGTCACCAGCACCTGTAAAAAACCAGAGGTAAAAGGTAATCTTCAGCTTCACAGGGTAGATTACCTGTCGTAATCCAAGTTTTCTAAACATATCAATTATTGTTTCCATCGGTGTTTGATCTGTGACAGTCATCGGTGCCTGTGATAATATACCATACGCACAACGAAATAACCAAAATTCATAACGAAACTCACGAGATCAATTATTTTTCGTAACCGTAGTGGAGCCGGACCTCCCAGCGGACCCACATCGGGTACTTGGTTAGTGAAATAAACAATGGAGTCCGTAACGATATAGGGTTGCGTTTTCCTGGCTGCATGTAATGCTAGCTGGAGGTCGCGTCTAAAATGTTCAGTTCAAGGAAGAAAATCCTACTGTCCAAAAATGCAGTGCAGAAAGAATAAGTGAGATACACAAATGCTTACCGTGTAACAAATCCCACCAAATACATGCTATTAGTTGATACCACTACAGGATATCCATTATAAGTGGTTTCACGAAGTAGCTGCTCAATGTCGCCAAGTGACATCCCATCCTAATACAACAATTAAAATTAGCAGATTGTAAGTACAATAGGTTTAAAAAAACTAAATACAAACCTGCACAATGACAGCAAGTTCGTTTTTCTGATGCTCATCTATACTACCTGGGGAGGCTGTCGGACATGGTCGCATCACCTAAAACAATTGAGTGTTGTCAGAATTAGGAGGAAAAAAATCGCGCTTACCTGCACTGCGACTGTTGAGTATGGATACTCTTCTTTATTATCCAGGAACGGATAGCCGTTCAGCGCAATGTGGGCATCGTAGATACCCTGTTAAGAAGAGATTAAAGAAAACTGAAGAAGTATGAGAAAATCACTCAAAGTCAACTCCGGAGCAAAATTGGTTAAAGAACAAAAACCGTCTGTCATCAGAATAAAAAAGAGATAAAGACATAACAGTATAAGTTCACTCACAGCTTTCGAGATCGCATCGCCGATCCACTTTGCAAACATTGTGGCAACCATAGTAGGCACAATGAACTCCAAGCTTCCCGTAAGTTCAAACATGATTACAACCAATGACACTGTCATTCTAGAAAAAATTGCTGATTTCAGATAAATGATAGGCAATAACTCTCACCTGGTTACTCCACCCAATACCGCAGCTGCACCAACCATGGCATAGAGCCCAGGCATAACGCAGTCTTTTCCGATCTGGCAAGACCAGTACGAAGAATGACTACTTTGCTCCTAAATATGATCGCTTGTAACGAGAACAGTTCAAAAGTTGACATGGCTCCATGTCAGAGAAACTAATTTGATGACAGACCTGGAATGAGCGAAAAACGCTTTCCATGCTCATTCCTACAAGCCTTCCAGCTATTGCACCCATAGCAATGGATGGTACGAACAACCCGCACGGAACCTGCAAATGACACCACTAGAGGTTTTCAAAGGATTATAGAAATGGCTAAGGCAAACTGCTAACAAAGACGACCGCGTAGGTTTCACAAGTATGGTAAGGTTTATAAGAAAGAAAAGAAAGAGATGAACGTGAAAATATTGGGCTACTTCATTCCATGCAAACTACTCACCTTTATGCCAAACGTAAATATTGTGAAGATAAACTTGAAGATCAGAGCCATGATCAACTGCCAAAATGCGCTCTAAACTAGTATAAAAACATGAATAGCCAAGAAAAAAATAAAAATAAATGAAAATATCCCCCACATGAACGCCATCTCCAAATACTCCAGTGTGGTAATTATCATCGACTTTGTTACTGCTAAATGTTTTGTTCTGATAGTCGCACAAATTACTCATATAATCTTCCGGGCCACATCTATCGAAAAGCTAGAAAAAAACATTGCGAGACAATCAATGAAATAGAAAGCAACACAAAATCAAACTCAGTACCTGCTTGATCATGCTCGAAGCACTTTTCCTCATGTAAGGGTTGAAGTAGGAGATGGATGCCGTAAGGAAGGTCACAACAATAACTTCGTAAATAGGATTGCCACCCAAAGCTTTTGAAGTTTTTCGGAATCGAGACCACCTACAATCACCCAACATGGAAAATGCCAACTCAGATAGAATTTCCATGTTTAAAAAACCTAACACAAGATTACACTAAGGAAAACAATGTCATGGAAACTAGGGGATAGTAAGATATTTTTTGGAAAGCAATGATGAGCGCCACAAACCTTATGTTCCCAAAGATGAACATGCTTCCAAGAATGCCACCGAACAACCCTAGACCAGCAAATGGGATGAGCTCAACGAACGTCCATTTCATCATGTAATCTACATGGAACAGCGACGTCTATAATCATGCCGCAGATAAGGTACGTCAGAAACGAACTCAAGACTAATTAATTGCGAACCTGGTCACTTCCAAAAGGATTTACTATGCGCAGAATGATTCCTGCGATCAAAGCGCAGAAGAACGATCGCCACATCGTTTTCAACGGAAAATAGTACGAAGCTTCTTCCAAACTAAAAAGAAAAACTGGTGAAACCATAAAAATGAGCATGCGGTAAAGATTAGACACCGACCTGAACAATACACCTCCAATGGGGGCACCGAACGCCACACTCACACCTGCCGCTGCAGATGCACTTAAAATTTCTCGTTTCTTTGCTTCATTCATGCCATATTTTGGAAACAAGTAGGAGAATATATTCCCGATACAACAGCCAAGGTGAACCATTGGACCCTCCTTACCCAGTGATAGGCCTAAATATAAGGAGCTCAAAAAAAGCACCATGGCGCGGCAAAACAAGAAGAAAAATAGGAAGAAAAAGCTCAAAAAAAGCACCATGGCGCGGCAAAACAAGAAGGAAAATAGGAAGAAAAACAGACCGGATGCAGATGACAGGATCAAACCGACGGACTTGATGATGAAAGTCCACTTTCCAAGATATCCGCGGATAACGAAACCAGACAAGATACATTTGATTTCCGGTATACCAGATCCACAAGCGTATGGTGCGAACACCTGTAGAAAGTGTCACTATAACGAGCCAGAGTGCAAAAAGATGATACCTTCACAAATAGTACGGCCAATGTGGACATCAACACAGCCCAACCAACATAAAATGTGAATTCCAAAACGTAGAAGAAAGGAGTCCTATTGTAATAATCCAGCATTTCCGGCCAGGTGGTCCAAGCGCTACAGTCAGAATCCTGAACTTATGCAGATTGTGCAGATTTTACGATGAGAACAATTTTGATATACTTTTAATTTCACCAAGTGACGAGATAAAAAAAATCGACTTACCTTGAACACAGTATCATTCGAAGACCAGCAGCAGTGCTCGCGATCCAGCCAAAACCGATCTGCACAAACGCCATCCTAAAAGGAGATAAAATATGACAGAGGTAACACACAGTGCATGCTTTATTGCTCCGGAAAGGTGAACCGGTGAGAGAAACAAAAGCATGAAAAAGTTCTATAGCTCGCAGAACGCTCTAAACAAATAACTGGAGAAACTAAAACGTTTTCATATAAACTTCAGCGTTTTCCGCTCGTATATAATGTGAATTTCAAGATGATGGACCATACAGCAATTCTACAGGATAATTGACTTTACTCACCTTCAGATCACTCATCCACCGTGCTCCGATATCTATAACACCGGCAGTGGCTCCAGCTGCAAGGCCAACCTGTAACATGTCCTATATGGAGGAGGAACCATAGAGAAAACAATCTCACCATCAAAACGCATATCCAACCTGCTCCCGCATCCCATGCGCTTTGGATTATACCAAGCGGGAAATCCGCTCTGCAAACAAATTTCATCATATCTATATTCGAAATTCTTCTTGAAAACAAAAATCAATGAAATTAAACGGGAAAGTACTGCCAAGAAACATTTAGTATACAGTACCTTTTACCAACAATAAGTTTGTGTCGTAAGCGATCTCTAGCAAGATCGCGTTGCCAGTCGATTGTGTGGAAATCTCCATACTTGCTGCAAAGGGGTGCTTATTTGGTTTCGCAAACTTTTGTAACCATACCTAAAGAGTGGTGGAGCATTATCCGTTGGATTGTCATCGTCTTGGTCGTGGGAGTGGCCGGCTGAATTGAAGGATGCATAGCCACCTGATACTTTCATTATTCAAAAAAAAAAAGAAATGCATCAGCAAATAATAATCAGCAAAACTGCAGTTACCTCCTCCGGTATCGACATGAACAAGTGCTGGGCCGTCCATATCAACTTCGTCTAACGAGATTTCTCTATGGCGGCGTTCAGGCATCTGAACAACCTCACTGTATGAGACATTTGCGACAAATTACTATGCGGAATTACCAAAATGATATTCCTACGGTTCAAGATTGAGGAGGAGGGAACCGATCGTACAGGCGATGATATGAGCGACTCCGACTCTGGTTCCTCCTGCAATTTTCAATCGATCACAGAACAACGTTATCGGGAGAATAAGTGCAACAGGCCAAAGCTGATCTAGTATTCATAACTCATGTGAAAACCACTTCAAAATCTACAAGATCTACGAAATGAGCGCAAGAGGCCACGGTTAAGCAAATGATGATAAAAACACTGCAAAGTTGTGCATCTGCTCCTAATCAATGCGTAGCTGGTCACCTGTGTGGACTGACGTGCGAGGAGACTACAATGTTTATCGCCCTACTCAGCCCATTTGTACTCATACTGTGTCGCACTTGTAATTCGCAACCGCATCGTTTACTCTAGCTCTTTAATTGTCAGAGTGAACAGAGCACAAATTTATTGGTGACGCTCATTTTATCGGTTCAAAGTAGAGCTTTCAAGGAGTCACAATCAGCTACGATGACCTTTTCGAAAGAAAAAACAAACAGCGCATCCACAGCGCAGAAAAACCACTCGCTTTCACAAAAGAAAACACTTTCTAGACTGATGCATCCCACTGTCAATCAATAAGCAAAAATTCAAAATAAATTTTCAGTCAATTGATAATGCGCATGAATTTGAGCCAAGATATGCAACACTAACTACTCGATTTAAGCAGTGACTCCAAAAATCATTTGCATGCTTCTAGCATGTTAAGTAGTTGAATTCCATGAAGTCTCCCTTCTTCACATTGAGCTCGGGACGAACCATGCTACTCTTCCTAATGCGCGACTTCTGTACATTCCAAACAAATTGGGTTTTCATTATACAGGCTTTTTGATGAAGGAGTTCCCATTCAACTGAGATCACTCTGAATTTCTCTAATTGAGCAAGCAGACAAGAAAACATACTAGTGACAATCTACTTGTCCTGATCTTTGACCGTTTTCTTGGATATGAGGGCATGGTAAGGTGTAAATTATCACGGAATAACAAAGCAGATGCAGACCGAAGAAAGATGGAAATCAAATCGATAGAAATCATGTAAAGAATGGAAGCGAGATGTTGCCATAAAAATCCGTTTATGGAACAAACCGAGAAGCGGTGAGAAATTTGGATCTGTCGAACGAACCTCTTGAAGAAGCTTTCGCATCCAACCTTTTTTGTACCAATTTTTCCCAAACACCGTTTCGTCTCGATTACGACCAGCTGAAATGCTTAATGTTAGCTAGCTGCAAGTAAATTATGACATGAAAACACGTATCACTGAAACATTAAGGAGAACATACAATTATGATCGAGCGGGGTGAAAAAATATCGACCAACTCACCAGTAATATCAAAATTTCCGTAGTTCATGACTAAAGGGCTGGCAATGATGGTGATAAGAACGCACCACGACTGCTTTTTTTAGACGAAGACAAGAATTTCTATTGCAGCACATGAGATAAGGATGAGGCATACGACTTAAGACCGTTAAATGCGCAATAAGGAAGTTTTTATTCGGGCGTGTCTAGAAAGAGAAAGCCAGGTACACACAAGCAACCAATTTTGAGAATAGAACTCTTGACAGTTCATCTTGAACGCAATAACGCAGTATCTATGCAAAGCAGCACTGAAAGAAAACTAAGACTGATTTCGATATTAGCGTAATCTGTTGAACTTTTCTAGAGCTGATGGCTAGCCCTTCTTAGCATTCCATTTGAAACCAATACCAATTTTATGATGGCATAAAGAGAGAATTAGAGTCAGACGATGTTCATTGCCAGTTCTCTAAACTATTTAAAAAAAATTACATTCTTCTAACGAGGTTTGAACAAAGAAAATAAACATGATGTGCGAGCTGGCGGTTTCATTACAGTAAAAGCTATAGTCAACCTAGAAAAATTAGCCATTGAAAAGTTGCATGAATGTACCCAGAGAAGGTTCATGGCGAGCGCCGGGATGATATAATGTTTCAAGAAGAGGCAGCGTTTGCAAAGCGCAGCGCACTTCAGTCACAATTCAACGTCGAAATTCATGCGCAGCCGAGCTGTGATAGGAGAACAGGTTCTAGAATGCTGGGATGCGAATGGTAAGGTTTAAGAACACATCCAAGAAAAATTCAATGATAATGTCTTAAGCTTTTTCCGCTCAGCACTGTTTGAGAAATTGACTGCAGAAACATTCTGCACGTTAGGAGCGCTTTCGTAACTCCTGCAATCGAATGCCACACTTGTCAGATGAACAACCACTGATAAATTACACTGCCAAGCTAACTGGGAATTGCAGATTTCATAAGAGGAAAAATATCGAACAAAAATGCGCAAGCTTTCATCCTGTCAAGTGATTCACATGTTTTAAAAGAGTGTCTCAAACTGCAAGAAAAAAGCTGCATAAACCTCTAAGAATATTACGTTAGACCAATTCTTGGCTCATCTTGATAGAAGGTTAGTATGAAAAGTCAAATCGTCCTCGTAAGGGTGATGCAAGAAACGAGCATATTAGGAAAAAGGGCGATGCAAACGGCTCAAAAACCCAACACATCTTCATGAAGTGCCTATACAAAATCAGTAGCCTGCTAACAAAGTATCATCGGCTTCCAGATTTGTAAGGAGGCGGGTTGCAGTCTTCCTTGATTTTCAGATTAAACCTCCACGTTATAGCATTGCATTTCGTACCCTCTCGTCAAACTTATCCTTAAAATCAGGGGAACCGCCCGCCTCCACACGAATTGGAAGCCGATCATACACAGATATATGCAACAAAAGTATCCTAGACATATTTTACAGTTAGGACATGATCTCGAGTTCGGTCAAAGGATCCAAAATATCCTCAATTTCTACTTTTGCGACTGGCAATCAGAAAGCAATTTGAGCTTAATGACGTTCGTAGAACTTACAAGGGATGCTACCTAACTTAGCTCGGCCTCTTGGCAAGAAACATATAAAGTCTGAATCAGCGCTAAACGCTGATTTCAAATATGCTATTCCTAGCTGCCACGCACTATTCCGAAGCGAGTTACGGGCTTTTTCTTGCCCAAAATTGGCATGCTCACGGGCATCACGTCATCATCATTTAAGTGCTGATAAATTTTTAGTGAAAAAAGATTGGATTTGTACTATTTCGATACCTCAGCACCTTTTTCTTGCAGATTTTTATCTACAGGCAGTCTTCTCATGTTCAATAGTATGCCAGTTTTGCGCAGAAAAAAGCCCATGACTCGCTTCGAAATGTGCGTGGCAGCTAAGAATGGCATATTTGGAATCAGCGTTTGAAGCTGATTCAGAATATGTATGCCTTTTACCAAAAGGCCGAGCTAAGTTAGGTAGCTTTCCTTATTAGATTATACCTGCTTCGTGCATGAATTCCTGGAATTCCAGTGACACAAACAACTGTAACTTTTTTAGAAAACAAATGCAATTTCAAAAAGCTAACAAAGAGATATCACTTATTTTGAAGAGAGCAAGCTTTGACCGGTATCGGTAGGCAAATAAGAACATGGTGGAGGAGCCGCATCATCTCACTGAATTGTGCAAATAAAAAAATATTACATAAGCAAGAACAAGACGAAGGATGAGATGAGAGATGCAGGCGAATGAAGTCAATGAGAGATGCGGCCAGGCAAAAAGTGGACGCGATAGGATAACCACATTCAACGACGTCTTGGAAAATGACGGGAACACGGGAGCAAGGCGGGTAGAATTAGGAATCATGAGAAAGCACCAGAATCCAATGTCTTGCAGTGTGGGAAGAGGGATGAGCAATTATTGGAGCTCTTCACGAAAACTATCGATTTGCAGTAGGCCAAAACAAACTTCTACTATGCGCAGCAGATGACTAGTTTGAGTAGAAACCTGCCACTTATCTGCGTACAAATGTGTAAGACAAGTGTCGATTTCTAGAATATCGGAATGGCTAAAAAAACAACTACTTACCTTCAAAAAGACAGAAAACAGAAAAAAAGAAAAGAAAGAAAAAACAAAAAGAATAAACATAGGGAAGGATTTGATCAACGCATACAATGTTTGATCGGCTTAAGAGGAAAAGGAGACAGAAATTCTGTAGATAAAGATAGATTGATGATTGTTGATTTAACAGAGCCCAGCTCTTTTGATTGGATATCAATAATTCGATACAGTAGATATTATTTCGCGAAAATCTTCAACTAATCACAATATTTAAGATCGTAACGAAGGAAAGAGGTGAGACGCTAGCACTGTAAAAGAGCGTAATACAATGGAGAAACTTCATCAAAGCTTGCAGCTTGGTATGGAGACATTTATAGAAACAAGCAAAAAAGCAGAAGAAATCGAGAAACGTTCTGGCAGAAGGTGAGCACATAAAATTGTTAATTTGTAGATGACAAGAGGGAAGACGAATACGCAGGCTGACTTTTACATGTTTGCCATCTTCGAACAAAGATATAAAGATATCCTATGAATGCGCGATGTTACTATAGAACGAGAAACTCGAGAAAGCAGGAAATATACATCACATAAAGATTCATACAATGAGAGGAAAATTGAGAACAGAATAAAAGCGATCTTAGATGACTGGAAGACCTGCAGATGCGAAGAAATTTACAAGAGTAAAGTAAAACAAGGTAGTAATTGAGCACCAAGGTACTCAGGTGAACTGGTGCCTTCTGAGTTGGCAATTTCAAACCTTCCTAGGAAGGCGAAATGAAAAAAACACAGCTAATCACTCTGCGAAGGAAACAATAGCTTGAAAATGAAATAAAAGATCCGAGGGATAAACAAAATCTTAGCGTGGGCAGATATATCTGTAGAACTGACTGAAATTTTCATAAAAAAAGTCCTGTCACCAGAGAAGCGAGAGTACGCGAGAGAGTGTGTGTGACCGTGTTGCGTGTTCTGATCCATGCGGCGTACAAACTGCGCCGCGAGATCGACTGAGAGCAGAAAATGATCTCCAACTGACTTGAATCTTTCATGGTTGTGCTCGTTGTTTTTATTTGTTTCTGGAATCGTTGAAATTTGTAGTGAACTAAATGCATTTTCTGTATATCTGATTTCAAGGGCCACAATGTCAGCTGGGGCAATTATGAAGACGACGGGTGCCGTGATGGCGATTGCCGTTGCTGTTTTTATTGGAACAGGTGTGTTTCTTCATATATTGTAAAAGAACTGCTATTTTCTCCATCAGGATACTGATGGGTATATTTTAAGTATACGTGTACACAATTTGCCGCTAGTTTCATGGCATTTATCATGGCCATTGTATAGAAACTTGCTTTTGGTTGTGTAAGATATGGCAAACACATTTCGAGTCCATCATTTCAGCTGAAAAGCATCATATCATGTTCAAAAGTCGTAGTTGTAGAAGACGGTAGTCATTGTCCTTGTTTGCCAATTTTCCACAGCACAGTGCAAGGAAGATGAACGATAGCTTTCCGTTCACAAGCTTACGCTATTCAAAACCCCGGCTCATATCTAAGCTGGAAAATGCAACCAGCATGTAGCAAAAGTCGCAAAGGCTTGATACTTTTTGCACAATTTTGCTTTTTAGTAATCCATATGCCCCATACTGTGGAGATGAGTCCATCAAAAACTGCTCTTAGCGGAATCCCTCATTCGTGATCAAGAAAGAGAACGCTTGAAAATGGAACATGAACCACGTTTAGCTCATGGCACCATGCCTATTGAGTCGTCTTATTCTGAGGCGTATTTTTCTGACAGTCGGTGATGTCAGTGTTTGTAAGACGCGGGTTATAGTGGTCGTTATTGCCAGCTTGGTGTACGCAATCCTTACAGCAAGATTCGGAATCGGATTCGTGCCAGAGGACTGACATAACAGAATGCTTTATAGGTTGGATGCGAAAGAAATAAAATTTGTTTGATTGTAAAGATAGGAAGTCCATTAACTTTCGAAAATGATTTCAGTCACTGTTTTTTCCACTATTCAGTCAAATCTCCCGTTAGGGCGCTTAGATTTGGCAGTTGACCCATGTGTCTAGCAAACCAGCGCCCATCATGGCATTTTTCAAATTAATGAGGATTTTCCGATTCAAATACAAAATGTCATGTTGTCCACTGCATTTGGCTGAATTGCAAAAGGTCTAGCGTTTTCGTGGATGCCTCCTTCGGAACTGTCTCTTTTATAGTTGAGTGGAGAGATTGCTGATTTGGAAGTAATAGAAGCACTAAATGTGAGCAGTAAAAATTGAGTCTTTGTGACCAGGCGAAGTGGCAGCAACTGACCGATACAAGAAATGCATATTTAGTGTCGAAGTGGCCTTTTTAGATGGGATATATATTATACTAGCTGGCTTACCCGGCTCCGCCGTATCCGGACCAAACTTGGCACACATACACTTCGGGCCCCAGCGGTGTCACAGTCCACTTTTCGTTATCGATCGATGTCGATTTTACCGATTTTTATCGATTTTTTTGCAGAGTTCACCTACAGGGCTGGGAGTTGGCACAGGGGGGGAAGTGAGCATGGGGATTCCGAATACAACATTAGTTTTCAGGATCGTCCATTACTTTTATCGATTTTATCGATTTTTTTTGTAAAGTTTGACCTGCGGGGCTGGGAGTTTGCACAGGGGGGTAATCGAGCATGCTGATTACGAACACAATATTAGTTTTCAGGATCGTCCATTACTTTTATCGATTTTATCGATTTTTTTTGTAAAGTTCGACCTGCGGGGCTGGGAGTTTGCACAGGGGGGTAATCGAGCATGCAGATTACGAACACAATATTAGTTTTCAGGATCGTCCATTACTTTTTCGATTTTATCGATTTTTTGAAAATTTGAGCTAGGGGGCTGGAATTTGGCACAGGAGTGTAATCGAGCATGCTGATCACCCCCCTTGGGGGTGATCAGCATGCTCGATTACCCCCCTGTGCCAACTCCCAGCCCCCTAGCTCAAACTTTGCAAAAAAATCGATAAAATCGATAATAGTAATCGATAATCCCGAAAACCAATATTGTATTCGGAATCCCCATGCTCGATTACCCCCCTGTGCGAACTCCCAGCCCCGTAGCTCAAACTTTGCAAAAAAATCGATAAAATCGATAAAAGTAATCGATAATCCTGAAAACCAATATTGTATTCGGAATCCCCATGCTCGATTACCCCCCTGTGCCAACTCCCAGCCCCGTAGCTCAAACTTTGCAAAAAAATCGATAAAATCGATAAAAGTAATCGATAATCCTGAAAACCAATATTGTATTCGGATTCCCCATGCTCGATTACCCCCCTGTGCCAACTCCCAGCCCCGTAGGTGAACTCAGCAAAAAAATCGATAAAAATCGATAAAATCGATATCGATCGATGACGAAAAGTAGCCTATGACACCCGCCGGAGCCCGAAGTGTATGTGTGCCAAGTTTGGTCCCGATCGGTTCAGAAATGGAATTTTCTATTCGGAACATACGTACATACATACAGACAGACAGACATACAGACAGACATACAGACAGACAAACAGACATTCAGCTTTATATATAAGATTGAAGGGCGCCTTCTTTATTTGCAGAGTATTTATGGGCGAATACTTATGAGCGCTTATTGGAGCAAAACATGAATGTGCATGTAGGACAAAAATAGCCGTAATACTTTTTCTAGCTCTTCACTGAAGCAATAGTCATCAGAGCACTTTATTCAAAAAATACTTCAAAATAAAACTATATCACACTTAGTTGCGTTACTTGAGGGCTAGTAAGATTTTAGCAACTCATTTTATCCAAAATGCACATTTAATTTTGGGCTCCAAAAAACGCTCATGACTCCTCGTCCATGAACGCTCTGCGGATAAGAAGGACAGGTTTGGAATCAGCATTTTATGCCCTTTGATATGGTATACATCTCATTTTGAAAGACTACTTCGACTAAACAAGCTTCCCTTGTAAATTGCTATCACCATAGTTTATGATCGGTAGTTTTTCTTCTCTACTAGTCGCATTTTATCGGTGCTTGGATATGATGAAGATACTGTTTCAGCTTTGTATTATATGCTGACGGGGCAAGGACATAGATTTGATATTGGATGGTTCCTCACAGAAACATCGCCACATATGTGGGCAGGATTGGGGATTGCGTCTTCTTTGTCCTTGTCTGTGCTCGGAGCTGGATGGTCAGTAAACTCATTTTTCATCTATCGCTTGTTGTTGCTGCTAACATAATAAACTCAAATCATACAAGTTTAGGGGTATCTTTACCACTGGTGCATCTATTCTCGGCGGTGGTGTGAAGGCTCCGCGAATTCGAACGAAGAATCTGGTGTCCATTATTTTCTGCGAAGCCGTCGCTATTTTCGGAATCATCATGGCTTTCGTGTTTGTTGGCAAAATGGCGGTAAGATATTGATGTATTACTTTTGCTGTCTGATTACACATCTATTTTGTTTCGGTAACTTGTTAGTCAACGTACATATCTTACTGAATTGAAATTAAGTGTTTTGATTTTTTGCAATCTGATGTGGGAAAAGAAAAAACCAACTTGTAGACTTACATTCACTCTTTACTATTTGCTGGTGCTAGAAATGAAGCACATTCCAGGACTTCCGCCGTGAGGAGTTAGATCTGTCACTGCCCCCTCAACAAGCGATCTTGGCGCGCAACATCGCTTCTGGCTACATGATCTTTGGGGGTGGACTTACCGTTGGTTTCAGCAACCTTGTCTGCGGCTTGGCTATCGGTGAGTTTTGATCGAGGCTGTACTAACTAATAATACAACTCAAATTTGTGGCTTTCTATCTTCCGCTGCTTAGAACTTACTTTCGCTCTTTCAAAGTTTCACTGAACTTAGGGACTAACACGTAGCTTGTCATTTATCTCATTCGAGTACTCTGAGAACTAGGATAATTTCAAGCGTCAATCATAAAAATGTTTTCTGAGTATGCCTCAGGTATCGTTGGATCTGGAGCTGCTGTTGCGGACGCTGCCAATCCAGCTCTGTTCGTGAAAATTTTGATCATCGAAATCTTCGCATCTGCCATTGGTCTTTTTGGAATGATTATCGGCATTGTACAGGTAAATCCACCAGCATATCGACTTGTGTTATAATATATTTATTGGATTTTTCCAGACTAACAAAGTTATGATGGGAACCAAGTAATCAATTTTCGAACGCTCGAGCGAGGCGAACATTCCATAACATATTGTGCTGTTTTTGTTCTTCATATCTGAGCGGTTGTCCTGTCGTGACAATTTTTTGCTTACTTCTTCATCGTCCCTTAGCTTCTCTGGTTACTGTTGAGTAACTGTGTGTAAACATCAGATCGTCTGATTCTGGTCGATAAATATTGAGCAGGTCATTTGATTGTCTCCGTCTTTTCACAATGTGTTAGTTTTTTACTTCTTCTAAGCTAATTTTTAGGTTGTACGCTTTTCTGTGATGCCAGTTGTGTTAGTTCTATTAGTGCATAGTGACAAAGAAAACTATATACTTACATGGTTCTGTCCATCAAGATGTAATTGAATGAACTGTACTACTTTGACCGTAATCTATCAAACGATAGGATTTGGTTCCTCTCTTGCTACTTTGAAGAGTGCTGTTTAGACGAACGATCTCTAGAAATAAATTTTTGAGAGGTATTCGAACAACGTACTGAAGATTATTCATGCAAGGCTGAAATATAAAATTGGTTTTTTAATTTATGTATTTTATCGGAGTGTTCAAGCTTCAAAGCTATGGCAGCTATAGCATACGATTGATTTTCTTTCGCGAAAACTCTTGAATTTGTTCATCCCGCAGCAGTTTTCTCAGCTTTCTAGCAGCTTTTTTTTTCTTCGGCAGGACCTTTGCTTTTGCGTACGTAATGCGCAGTGCTTATTCAGGAACTCACACCCTCTATGGGTCATGGATATCTGTGGTTACTCAATTCTGATGGAGTGCCATATCGCGTCACTGCTGATGCCAAAATAGGTGGGAGTGATAGGTTCTTGATAAATCTTCTCATCTAAAAAGCCCCAACGTCAGAGTTGCGAATATATAGTTAATACAAGTTTCATCAAATCCCCAGAAGATTCCTTATTTTTACCGATGTTTAATCCGTTATCTTCGTCTAGCTTTTCTATTTTATTTTTCAGCAAATTTCCTATTTTTCCATAGAAACATTTTTGTTCATGAACCTCCAGTCATGGGAAAATGGAGACAAAGTTGAAGGAGTGGAGTAATCGTTCACCTTCGTATTTCATTCTCCTCATAGACTCCTTTTTGATGCAAGATTGTTTTCCTTTTGCTTTATGTTTTGGCAGAGCACAAAAGTTCGGTATAAATGGGGTTTATGTCTGCATAATTTTTATTTCTCGCTGCTTCAGCGTTCGTTCTTTCCGCAACACTCGCTTTTTTGTACCGCTTTGGATGCGGTTTCTAGGATCAGTGGCCGTATTCATCATTAATACCTTGAAATAAACTCTACCTTCAGGTAGTTTTATCACTCATTATCAGCAAAATTACATTGAGAATTTACCTCAAAGTAGTATTGTGAATGCGGGTACTTGCTGATAATGAGTGATAAAACTACCTGGAGGTAGAATCTACCTCAAGGTATCAATGATGAATACTGCCACAGAAGAATCATGGTATTTTCTGGATAGTCTGCAGGAATCTATGCATCTACTACGACTAGTTCTGCTCCTCCCTATGTCGTATTTTTCATAGATCCTTATACATATTATTATCTACGTTATGATTGTGAACGATCCAGAAGGATGATTTACAGTCATGACTGGTTGAAGTTCGCTGATATGCAGCCTACCTTGCGAATCAAGAGACTTTGGGTTAGCGGAGGATCAAGAGGGAGTGATCTACAATCATTAAAAGACATTGATTTCTGTCCATATCATTACAAGAATTTAGACACAGTTCTTCTCGATACAAGGTAGACTTTTACTCATGAACACATGTAGTTCAAAAGCTTGGATATAAAATTTCTGAATGTTGCTTTGATAGACGATTTAAGATCTCGGCGATTGAAAAGATCAAATGCCGTCAACTTGTAGAAGTGAAACAAGCAGATTTGAAGGCAGTGTCCCGGCAAAATTTTGTTTTTCAGCTTTCCACTTTTTGGAGCCTTCTTGCCTTGAAGAATCCATATCAGGGCATTTCAGCGCATAAAATGGCAAAAGTCCACATTTAATGGAAAATAAGATAATTGGCCGGGGTTCGGAACGAGAGACAGGCTGCGGAGGACTTCCGGGTATCTTGAGAATGAGCCTTTTCCGGAAAGCTTAGCAAAAGGCTCATTCTCGCCATTTTCATGCACTAAGAAGCTCAGATTTGGGCTTATGGGAGAAGGCTGCGAATAGTGAAAGAATGGAAAGCGAAATTTGTCGGGACGCTGCCTTTAAGAATCGCAATAAGCTTTTCTCAGAATTTTTCTGAACATCTCCCCACCCATCAGATAATTTCAGAGCATTTCACCGATGCACAGTGGAAAGCAGAGCCTGTTTGCATTGATGGGGAGAGAATCAGGATCTGTCAGATTGTTGCCGCCCCCTATGTAGGATAGGTTCAAATCTGACTTACATTCAGATACGAAGTTCATTATTCTAGGCAGCGTTCGCACTGGACTCCCTTGGAGCCGTTCACCTCTTCATGCTTTCCTCTCACTTGACCATTCGGCAAAAAGTTGAGGTTTATGCGAATCAGGTGCTTGGCTAGAGGCTATCCAAATTTTGCTCCTCCTATTCAAAAGTTACAGCGATGGTATCCGATGGTGGGATGGTCGTCGCGTACTCTGCCGACAGATAGGGCCTCCTTCACGAATGAGGATGGTACAAAATCAGGAAAAATGACTGGATTCCAGCTGAAGTCAGAGGGTTGGCGGTGGGAGGAACCTTGGATTGTTGACATAGATCTGCGGAGACATGATAAGGAGGTAGTGTCTGTTTTTAAGAACACTGCTTATTCATGTCCTTTTTGAAGGGATGGGAGTATGCAACAAATTTTGGAGCAGCGTGGAAGCCTGTAAATGGTGCCGGCGTTTTTGTACGTCGAAAGCGATGGAAAAGACACATGCGCTATACAAGCATAGAGAAATGGGCAGAGGTAGGAGCATTGAGAGAAATAATGGTTTTTGCCCAAATCTTGGTTATGGGCAGATTCCACGAAGCAGCGGGACCATTGTCGAGCTGGCTATTGGCGGTTTCGACATCTTGCCTCCACAGGAGTGCATTCTGTTTGCTTTGTCAAAAAATGGGAAATTGCTAAGGTCACTTTTCCATTTCCTTGTTGCCGTTGATAACGCTTGAATTTCCTTGTGACATAACAAATCAACTTTTTGCTATGCGCAGAGTTCAGGAGAGTGGGAATTAATGCTAACAATCCGGACGGAGATGAGTGGCAGGAGATAGAGGGCATCGTGACAGAAGGTATATAGCTAAGCACGAGCTTTTTTTATACATTTTTTTCCCAATTAATTTCCAAACAGTTACTCGTTTATAGAAGAGAGGGAAGAACCATCAAAGATCAGCTGCTCTCCATCACTGGGTACTTTGCTTGTGCTCACGTGGGATGGCCGATTGTTCTTGCGTATCGGCATTACTAAAGGCATAGTGATTCCAGTTTATCTGTTCAAACTAATCTTATGCTTGTTGTAGAGAGCCCAAATGGTGTATCTTGGTCTCAGCTGCTCACCCCTGAAAATAATCCCGTAGCATTTGCTTCCATAGGTACTAACTCCTTATGGGCGACCACTGTAAATGGAAAGGTTCTTGGATTGCTTGGATCTTACCTTGTCAAAGAATCGCAACTAATCGTATCTTCTAGTTGTGGATGAAATCTATCGAGCGGGTTCAAACTAGTCATGACCTACTGTCCTTTACAACATCGAAATATTCTGAAATTAGTGATGGTATCTATGGTATCTGCGCGAATGCTAAAGATCAGGTGGACATCGATATGGTTTTAATGTCTCGAACAATGTTATGTCAGTTTAGTTGGTTGGAATCTCATATTCTGGCGTTGTTCAAGTTCGCGAAGGAATCTCTAAGGCTGAACCTGCAGGCAGGGAATTTCTGAAGATTATTCAGAGAACTCCGTCCGAACAAAATAAATGGTCCATGGTTAGTTTTTGTAAATTGTTTATGCATGAAGCGTCTCAAAACGAGAAGAACAGGCAACAGCTAGCTAATTGATAAGGTCTGCAGTACATTACCAAATCCCGCATTTTCATAAAAAAAGGCATATAGGCGATTTATAGCACGCAAAGACTGCGGACTTATCGGCGTCTCTCTGATCGAGCTTTCTTTCTCTCTTACCATCTGCTTTCTCCCCCTTGCACGAATTATCTTGGCCGGACGCAACGGCGCCCAGTCTTTGCGTGTCACGAATCGTGTATACCAGGTTTGTGAGTCCACGCGGATGCAATCTTCTAGCTGCTTTCAGTTCAATTACTCTTTCAACTGATTCCAGGTCGGTAATAGATAATGTAATTCTTGTTTTGAAGAGTATATAGGGACTAGTGTCATTTAAAAAGTGTTCGAAAAGGAGGGAAAGGTGGGGGGGGGAGGGGGAGGAGCGAAGAAGATTTTCTAGAAGTGGCTTTTCGGATGTTTCACAGATTATTCACACTCGTCGCTTTCCAATCTCAGGGAAACAAACTCCCCGGGAAATTATTTCCTCGATCTCAGTTGGATCTAAAAAATTTATTTACCGTTCACAGAAACAATTTTTTTTCAAGATTTTTCGGACTTTGCCAGTGTAATGAAGATAAGAGGTCCCTGTTTGTCCAACAGTTCTGATCTAGGTGACAAATGCTGGAGCTGACTACACATCACTGCCGAAGCATTGGATTAACGATCATATTACTGTGACGAATACATCACATTATAAAGACACAGCATGGAGGAAACGGGTGACACAATGCCATCGAATTCACGTCTTGGAAAAATTGTTATTCTTTTTGCAGATTTTGGAAGATCTCTGCCGCGTCAACGATGCCTGGTGGGAAGCATTCAGATTGGTAGGAAATGAATTGGAGGTAAGCTTCCAAGCTTTTACTCAGGATCATCTGCGAAGATAATTCTAGGAATTAGCTGAAGAGGAAATGAGGCGCGATTCTTGGAACCGAAGCATTAGGGCAAAATTGAGGAGATCCGGAGAAAGGCGATTTGTTGCTGGGATGCTTTATCTCGGTGATCATCAACTAGTGTTTCTACCCAATACCGGCGTTGGCACCATTGTGGCTTTGGTTGAGGTGTGGATGATAAAAGAAATTAAAATTTCAGTTGTACATGGTAGTGAGAAATTTTTGACTCTGACATCTTCTATAGCTACAATAGCTACAGTTGTGCGATTTGTTGGTACGAAATTCCACTTGAAATGTTGAATACCTGCCTCCACTTTCTCCTATGGACATACGCTTATAATTTTTACCAAAACGAAACACATTGTTTTGAGGCACTTGATCAGAGCAAACATGCGCTCTTCTCAACTAAGTTTAACACGATGTTAATTTTTTTTTCAGCTTACTTCGGCAGTACGTAGATTTGACCATATCACGTCTTTGTTCACCATTTGGGCAAGGTTCAATGAAGAAATAATGGAAATGGGCTTTTCGCAGGAAAGTGATAGAGATGAGTGGCATGAGCTATTGCAGCAGGTGAACATAACATACTCTAGTACTTAGTCTGTGGAGAATGAGCTAATCTACCGGAATTTATGCCCTCTTTGCAAACTGTTTTTTCTGAAACTGAGTTTTTCGGAAATTCGACGGCGGTTACTGGCTGCAGGTAGTCCGGCGGATATGCGCGCGCTTTGGACGGTATCTAGTCAGGGCCTTATTCAATATCATATGGTCTCAAAAGTAAGTTTCAAACCCTATCGATTATCGATCTTAATCCGAATAAAAAAAGTTAAACTCAACTTTGCAGGATTCCTTCAGCAAAATCTCATACCCCTCTAGTCTGTGTATTCCTGGATGCATGAAGGCTGTATCTGCCGGAGCCCAAGGGATAGTATGGGCTTTGGCCAAGGTTGGCATATACGTTTTTTTTGCCTACTTGAAATATCAGTAAATACAGGATGGAAGAGTTTATGCTTTGTCGCCAGAATTTAGCCCAGTATGTGGAGTGACTGCCAATTTGTCTCTTCCGCAAAAGACAGAAGTGCTCAGAGATGTAAGGCTTCATGAGTTTTTTTCTCCATTTTGTTGTAAGTGTCCTTAATAGATTACCGAGTATCAACGGCACGCATTCATGCGTGGATTTATATCATTCCAAGGAGCTGTGAACGGAGTTTCTACCTGGATGGAGGGGCTCGATCCGGTTAGTGGGCTGTATGATAGGTACGCAAATCATACCGTTAACATCACTGAACTATCGGTATGCAGATTTCCGTCGCGGGAATGGGCTTGGATAGATCCTGAATGGAGAGTTGTAAGTGCTGACAAATGTGAAGATGGATGGACTTATTCGGAGAATATCAATGGCTTCTACACACCCGAGAAAAAGCGGAAGGTGAGCGATTCCACTGAAGGTCAGCTGGAATTTCGACTAAGTTCAGGATCGATTTCGTCGTCGATTTTGGCAGCGAAAATGCCTCTATAGTGGGCGAGGTCCTTGGATTGCAGTCGAGTCTCCTGCAATCCAAAATATCGAAGTACAGAAAAATAGCGCAGACAGAGTTAATTCAGCATTTGCTTCTCATTCAGGCAAATAAAGGCTATCTTACAGATTCTCGTTTGGGCAGTGACGATGAATGGGCAAGTTTTGTTGCGGCAGGGCGTCACTCCCGGACATCCGGAAGGTGCCACCTGGAAACATGTTAGTACTCTTTTCTAGGTTTGCCATTTTTTCAAGAAAGCTAGCTTCGAATACAAGTCTTCGATAATTTTGTAAAGAGAGGCACTTGGTAGTTCAAGTCCTAGCCGGAAGAATTAGCGAAAACCATAATATTCGTTTGACACAGCGACGACTCACTGATCTATAAAGGTTATTAGTATGGATGACGAAGCTGGAAAGGAACCCAAAAAAAGGAATAGAAAGCTGCACTCAATTTCTGTTTTGCGAAAATTGAGTAGGAATACGATTTTCTCGGATCATCAGTAATGAAGGAAGCTCGCAAGCATAGAAAAGGAAAGAAACAAAAAAATCAAAATAAATCAACCCTTAGGAGTTTATATCCACCGCGTTATGGGGTGGCCTACGAAGTTTGTAATGAAAATTGAGGAAATGTTATGGAAGAAAATTAGAGAAAAGTTGAAGTAAGCGAAAAATAGGGCACAACAAATGTGTTAGGGCGAGTATCGAAGAAAAAATGCAAAAATTGTACTAGCTTGGCACCCATGATGTTTATGGCTAGTGTAGAGTGGAGCGTCCAATCATATAGGGGTGACAAAAGGAAAGATAAAAGGAGACACAAAAGCTGTTAGTGTGCAAGAGTTTCTACAAAGAATGGAAAACAGATTCAACCATATTCAATATCTCACTGTCTTTACCAGTGTAACAATACTTGGTTATTCTATAATTATTTTCAACGCGATTAAATACTGAACTCAAAATCTTCACTGTATCCATTGCCAGCTACTTTTCGAGTATGTGAATCCTATGCAAAAAAGTCTTCCACTGAGGAGCGTGTGCGAATCTTAGTGTCTCTACATACTTATTGTTGCTTTTTTAATATTGATGGGAATACAGGAAGTCATAGAGGAATAATTACACGCTTACGAAACTTTTGATTTTATTATAAAGTTTGGCATAGATCTTTTTGATAATTATATATAATCCGAGATCCAAACAGCAATTGGAGTGATTTATGTGCAAGTGACTTGTTCATGCTTGTAAATAATTAAGATAATTTTAGATTCTTCAAAAATCTGACTTAGCCTTACAAAGAAATTTTTCTGAGGACGTGGCTGGGGCCACACCCCTTTTTTTGAGCTCGGAATTAAGGGCCCGCAAAATCTTTTTGGGAAGCATACCGAAAGATTTTCGGCATGCGTTATCTTAATTTTCTTAAAATCTATGTAATTTCTGAAGTGAGCTTTTATGAAGTAAGTTTACTGAGTGAGTTTTATGGATATTGGTTCCATACTATTACTGTAAACTCCAATTATGAAGCTGAATTTTATAGGATTTTTAGGGAGTTTAGGTATGCAGAATATTATAGGTATAGTAGCATCTTCGATTTGTTTCAATCTGGAGACCACATAATTGAGTGTGATTGATTTTTCTTGTGTTTTCTTGATCAGGTTTTTATAAGTTGTCCTTTAAGTAATGCCGAACAAACATGAACCTCCTTTGTTATGCAACTCTCACATGCTTTGAATTATTAAAAACCAGAGCGTGTGTGGAGTAGGACGCGTGTAAAAGTCTTGTGGAGTACAGTTTGCCCCAAAAATGGTTTTATGATCCGCAAATACTTTTTGAGTGAGGGTAGATAAATGAAATTTTTCTGAGTTCCACATGCTTGATGCTCATGAGGTACAAATACAACACAGCTTCCTCTAGCGTTTTGAAGTTTTCGCTTATCAAAGGCACACGGTGACAATGTATGTGAGGAACAACGTAAATTCAAACTTGTCAGTAATACTGTTTTTGAGGGGATGATGACTTTAGCTCGATGTCCTAAATGATAGAATCTGCTTTGAGCAGTTAGGTTAGGCCATACGCTAGTTTTTAATGGGCCAAGTTTCTCCAGATATAAAAAAGTCCCTGATTAGGACTGCATTGATCGCTTTGCTTCGCAACCTTCGCTTCACCGCTTCCCAACTTCCTCTTTACTTTCTGACTTCCTTAGCGAAAACTGTTCTCTTTCCAAAAGGATCTGCAAGCAAAGTTTACGCAGTTTCCAACTTCTCTTCTTTGAATCATGTGTATCGCAATCTTGTCCTACTTTGAAGTTTTCGGATGTAAAATAGCATGAATCAATGCATATACTGCCCAAGCGATCGTAACTCTCCAACGCCTTTCTCCGCCTTTATAATATCTTTCCTTAAAGGCAGTAGGTCGGCAGAATGAGACCCGTGGCAAAACAAGGTCACCGGGTAGGAGCCCCATAATGGAACCTTTGGGCCAAAGTTCGATCTTTCTCTGCCACTTCTAACCCCCAAAATTGCAAAGCGAAAGCAGCGCTCATCTCCTGTCCTCTCCGAACCCGCCCACCCCATGGACGAGTGAACGCGAAGCCCGTCATGGAGAAGACGCAGAGTCGTTGCGGGACCTCATGCTTATAGCATTGCGGCTGGTGCTCTGACCGCGGAAGTCACTCGTCCATAGGGTGGGCGGGTTCGGAGAGGACAGGAGATGAGCGCTGCTTTCGCTTTGAAATTACGGGGGTAGAAGTGGCAGAGAAGGATCGAACTTTGGCCCAAAGTTTCCATTATGGGGCTCCTACCCGGTGAGCTTGTTTTGCCACGGGTCTCATTCTGCCGACCCACTGCCTTTAACGACTACTTAGAAACCCAATAGTTTCCCCAGCCCCTGTGATCTTTTCTCAGTAATAGTTTTGAATTCATCCTTCTCGCCACAGGGTTCTCTGCTTTTCTCCACTTCCAATATCAAGGTTTTCGTGTTAATTTGCAAACCAAAATTATTTTCCCAAAATCAACCTGATGAAAACATCGCTGCGACATTATGTGCAACTTTTCGCAGAAATTCATCATTGACTCGAAAGGGCAACCTTTTAACTGTTTACCCATAATGGCATCTCGCGGCGGGGGGGGGGGGGGTAGACGAACATTCGCCGTATACGCATGTGTCGTCCTGCGCTTTATCATATAGAGATCATTCCTCACTGTATTTTCGTGACAGACAAATTAGACACAGCGACAGATCAAGCGAACTATAAGGCATGAAGATGTGTTTTTCAAGAATACACGAATATAACGTGTATGTGCCTTGGATTTTTTGTATACAATGTGTAATAGTTTGTTCTATAAAAGTAAGGATTTCCTTCTTGTTGATGTTCACTTGTTGTTTATAGTAGTTGCAATGGCAATCTGGAAAAGAATGCGTATTTCGCGACTTCTGAGCTGCAGCCTCATCTTCTGAACGATTACTTAAAAGTAGTCGTGAGCAACTATCTAAATTCTGCCAAACATTGGCTGATTCAGAATTTATTCAGAAAGCACTCTAAAAACCGCATGCTTGTTTTTCCTTGGCTGTAGCCATTACACCCAATTCTATACCTGTAACAGCGATTCTAAGTAATTGTGCATTAGAACTTAATAACTCCACACAATCGAACGCTCATAAATCCTTCGCAAAATCGCACAGGTAGCACGGAAAGAAAATTTGGTAACGTTTCAATAAAGCGCATCTGTGGCGCGTCCCGTGCGTCGTCAAGGCGGAGGCCAGGCGACAGATATACACATGAATAATGCTTACAGTGCTGCGACCGATTTAGGGCTGCATGCACTAACCTCCAGGCTGGGGAGGGGATCGCAGCTTGAAAGAAAGCTTTATATTTCGAAACTCCAGATACCTGGATTTCACGTTGTGTACCTATCCGTAAGTATTCCTACTACCCTTCACTATGAACATGTTGAAGAGGAGCGAGAAGCTGTACGAACCGCATTTTCCGGCTTTTGTATGATCCCTGATGTTCCCCGGCGCTTTACTTTAAAGTCATTTTTCTTTCTCCGAAGTTAACGAAAAACTTTCAAAGTTGTGCAGATTATCTAACCCAACAGTGCTGAGCATGTTGCTGATGAGAACAAATGAGTTTTTGAAAAGTCGAATTTTTCGGTAAACCTCAAATTTCGACCTGTGGATCATCGAAAATTTCATGACTCCAAAACATCATTTGTTCTCATCAGCAACATGCTTAGCACTGTCGGGTTAGATATACGCACAACTTTGAAGGTTTTCCGTTAACTTCGGAAAAAGAAAAATGACTTTAAAGAAAAGCGCCGGGGATCATCAGGGATCATGCAAAAGCTGGAAAATGTGGTTTGTACAGCTTCTCGCTCCTCTTCAACATGTTCATAGTGAAGGGTAGTAGGAATACTTACGGATAGATGCACAACGTGAAATCCAGGTATCTGGAGTTTCGAAATATAAAGCTTTCTTTTAAGCTGCGATCCCCTCCCCGCGGGGATGTTAGTGCATGCGGCCCTTAGTGAGAGAAAACTGAAGACTAAGTAGTTTCAGTGGTTTCAACTAACCACAGCACGAGCGTCCCTGTATATATCGTTTGTAAACAGCTTAGGGTGGGTTCATACTGATCCCGATCTTCCGGAAAAGTTCTCGAACTGTGCTGGAATTGCGCCGGAATTTTGCTGAATGCGCTGCAGCCGTCTTCATGCGGTTTTGAGCGGCGCGAAATGGCAATCGCCCATTTTCGTCTCATTCTCTAATCTTGCTTCTTCCTATGATGTAGAGAATTACGAACTCAAAGCGGGATTTGAGAATGAGACTTTTCATGTTATGTCTTGCGCATTGTATATTTTCTTTTGCGCGCACCTCTTCGTTCGTAATTTTCCTGTCAAACGCTCTTTTTATACCAGAGTGCTCGATATTTTTTTTGTCTTCAAAGAGGACTGATACAACCATCACGATTGCGGATTTTGCGATTTTTCTTTGTGTTTTCATGATAGGTTTTTATGCGTTTCAGCCCCATTTCTTTTCACAACTTCTACTTGCTCTTTCGTTCTTTATTATTGTTCCGCTTCTGATGAAAAAACTTCGAACTTGGAGAAATGTACATGAAAATTGAAGTGGCATCGACTTGTGACAGTCAGCTGGAACACAAAACGAAATCGCGCTCATTCTTGTCCCCTCTCCAAGTTTGGAACTTTTTTACACAGAGCAAGCGAGACACAAGAATGAAGTGAGAAAGAGCAAAATTTACTGTGAAAACCGTTGAAGAAACCCAAAATTGTTATTTCGCGCCGCTCCCGCACGCGGGCGGCTGCAATGCATGCGGTTGTAAGTCTAAGCACAGTTCCAACACAGTGCAAGAACTGTTGCGGAACTTCGGGACAGTTCGCACAGTTCCAGCACAGTGCAAGAACTGTTCCGGAACTTTGGGACAGTATGCAGCCTTAGACTGCAATCTCTGCCATAGGGCGCGACTGATCCGCTTGGAAAGGTTGCGTTATAATTTCTGAGGTGAAACTCCATAATATTTTGGCTTGGGATGTGGGATGAAAATCCTGGGCAATAATCTGGTCAAGACTTCCAATCATTACACATTTGAGAAGTTCAGGAATGATATCCACGAAAGTCCATAATGGAGGAAAATGGACTTTCAAAGCCCCATTTTATTCGTTCGCGGTGAAGAGTGGTCGGAATCTGCCTTCGCTCGCGTTATCCAAAATTTTTTATCCCATCGCAACCACAAGGCAAAGCGGTGTGATGAAAATGATTCAACCTTACTTGAGCTCTCGCTTGCGAAAGAATCATGCGAAAAGTCCATTTAGAATGGGGCAAAATGGGATGTACCTCCATTTTAAATGGACTTGAAAGCCCATTTTACTCCCAGCAGCAAGGTGAGCTGGGACTCAGCCCATTTTTGACCTTTTGGCATATTTTTGATGGCAATTTTTTGAGAATGTGTTCCTTAGAACATTTTAAGGTAGCAAGTGAGTGGAAAAAGTTTCAGGTTTTTTATAAAGTCTGAAATAACTGTTTCTTTCTAAACTCATATAAACGCTGTAAAACCCATGGAAGGAGATGAAATTCACCAAAATATTCGGTAACAAACTCTGCTTCCAAATATTAGGTCGATGCGAAAATTCCTATGTAAACCAAATAAAGCTGTTTAACTCTTCAAATCATCAACCAAAACTAAATTCATGGTTTGTATCTGAAAGTAAAAAAGAACTGCGTTTCAATATAATTACTCAGAAACTATCTTTTGACTAATATCGCAGAACCGAACCTCAAAGACGGCATTTTGAACGCATTTTTGGGTTTGGTCGCAAGAATTACTGAAATGGCGCTAGCTAGCAAGAGAAATTCTGTGAAAAATTTCTTACTAGCATTAGTCCGTACATGCAACTATTTAGAGATATAAATATTCGTGCTAGAAGGAAAAGAAGAGCTAAAGTAGAACATTTGCAAAGTCATCTTGCAGATTCGTAGTTTTTCCGACTTAAGAAACCTTTTGAGTTGTAGTGCAGTACAAGTCCTATAAAGTAAGCATTATAATTCACAGATTCCAGTGAAAGTTTAGCCAAAGTTTGCTTTCTGCAAAAAGCTCTACCTACGAATTTGACTCAAGCAGATTCATAGAAGTTTTGAAAGGCCAAGGGCCGGATATTGCATGAATTTTAGTTTTGAAAGTGATTTAGATGCTTAGTCATCGATAATAAATGACATTTTATGAGGTGTAAAGAAGCGGGAAAGAATAAAATATCCACGTAATTAACACTTAATGTTAACTCAGCCTAGTTAGGTGTCGACCACTTGATGGAAATGAGTTTGCAAGAGTGAGCAAACAGGTTGAGGCAGGTTGAAGAAAGGTTTGCTGAAGAAGTTTTGTATGGAATGAATGGATTCGCGAATGCGATATCTTATCGCACCGCATGGACTAAGTCCATTTTATTCGCACGAAAAGCCCATTTCGCGGGGACTTTCGTGAATATCATTCCAGGTGCATCACCTGGTATCATATCTAAAAAAATATTCTTTTTCGTCTAGTCGTACTCAAATGATCATGCCTTTTTCAGATAGTCAGTGACTACAACATAACTTCGGTCTCAGTTGCAACACCCACTTGTGTTTGGGCAACCACGGTAGAAGGCAGACTCCTCAAACGCGAGTGCGCAGAACAGATAGACATGGAATGCACGGGTGCGGCACCTTTCGAAATATCTATGACAGAATTTCAAAATTTTTCTGCAGACTGGATCGAAGTCTTATATTCGCCTTTGAGAGATGTTTACACCTTTTGTGCTTCGCAGGGTTTCGTGTACATACTGCCGGTTTCTGACCCAGTCCTTACCGTTGTAGATGTCAAACAAGGTAAGTTAGGGAGACGTTAAAAGCGATTCTCCAATACAGCATCGTTTAGGGAAGTCCAAAAAGTCTTTGCCTCTTCCTAAAGCTATCTATATAACGATAGATAACGAAGATAACCTATACCATTGTGACGGCACGCAGATAGTCAAACTCAGACGATCTTCTGATGTGAATTATTACGAGTGTGGGAAGATCTACTTCCCAGGATGTATACATTTTTGTTTTACATAATGTTGTATATTGTATAATATATTCCCAAATCTAAGTCACAATTCACTTCATTTGTTTGTGTGTAGTTGTTCCTTTTAGTTATCATAAGGTGCGGAAAAGCCTCCCTCAGTTTTGCCTCCTAAAACATTATACAGATGAAGGAAATAAATTTATAGTGTTTGTTGATTATGTGTAGGCGAGAATTTGGAGATTAAGCTGAGATGAGTTTGACTATAAATGGTTAAATCCCGTCTATGTAAAAAACTGATAACAGCGAGAAAATCATGGATGCTTCGCAGCGTTTGAGCGTGATTTTGGGCTGTAAATGTACCAGCAAGAGTGTTACCAGCTTCAGATTAGGGCAGTATGTAGAGTATGACTTCTCCAAAATAATGCTACAGTTATCATAGATCAGTGACTTGAATTTCTTGCTAAACAAGCTAAATTTTCGCAGACAGATTGCAAAATTTCTCCTAAGATGCTCCTAGTCTCCTAGTCTGATCTGCTCCTGCTCAATAAATTGGGTCCAAGCTACTGCTGAAAATCTCAGATTCCAACAAAAGGTAACAGAGCTCTATAATCGCCCCTTGTTGCGCCGCAACAACTTTTTCCTTAATTAAAATAAATCCACAACTTTCCTCCTAGCGCAACTGCGGATTGATTCTTTTTGGAATATTTCAAAGTCGCTCCTACCTTGACCAGTGGAAGATTCTCCGAATTCTCTTCGGAAACGATAGAATTTTGCAAGAAACTTTGCAAACCTTTACTTTGTAAGAGAGAGCTGCAATAATTGCTATGAGTTGCATCGTGGGCCTTTTTTTGTAAAATGTTCGAACATATTCCTGTACTGGATGTGTAGGATATCAATATTAATACGTAACATATTCCTATACTTCATGTCGAATTCGCTAAGACCTGAAAATTACGCCGTTTTTAAGCTTTACTTTGAGGGACAGTTTTTTTCCGCACCGTATAGTACGAGTGTCTGTCGAATTGTTGAATCTTACGTGTTGTGGTGAAATCAGTTTAGTGAACTGGCATGTTGTGAGATCTTGATCAAGCATACTTAGAAACATAAATTCCATCTTATTGCTTGTTATTGCGAATAGTTGAATGACGTTCTCAATACCCTATCTGCATTTGTAGTATAATGTAGAGCAAGTGGGGTATTAATGTTCTAGATGGATCGCTTTAGTGATACGGAATGGCCGTTGGGGCATCTATTATGGGAGCTATGGTCGTAATCAAAATAAGCGTTAGTCTATTACTGCGACATACGTCGGAGGAGCGCAAGCGCAAGCGCATAACTATTGACATTGGATATTGGATATCGACAGTAGCATTGGCGCTGCTCGATGGAGAGCAGTTACTTGGAAACCGCTCACCAGCAGGCACTGCCACAGAACCGAGGGTGGGCAGCGTTATGGAGCTAAACCATGCAGTAGTTTCTTACAGTATATCCTGAGGGCTATTTGCGTTACGTCGCCCTCAGTTGCACCCGCAAAAACGCTAACGCTGTTACTGCCAGCGAATTGAGCCTCTATCGGACCTGAGAGGATGTTCAACAAGGAGCTTCTGCACCGCCAGCCTTGGCAGCCTAATTACTGCGCGCCTCTGATTGGTTGAGGCTGCCGCAGCGATCGAGTAAGTGAGAGAGCTAGACCGTAGTGAGAGGCACATTCGCCCTAAACTGTGCAAATTATGCAAAATACCTTCCCGAAGAGAAGAACAAAGGAGATAGTGGTTGCACGTGCAGATTTTACGGTGTTTGGAGAAGTAGGAAGGGAAAGGAAATCATGAAAAAGCGAGTGAAAAAAGTTTAACCTTTTCAAATTCTTTTCTCGTCATTTAAACATCGTCACCATTAGTGTTCGATAATGTGCGCTCGCTTGCTTTGATATATTCAGAAATATGAATCCTGCCAGGTCAAAAGAGAGGCGGAGTAACCAGCGCCGCCCTGGGACGGACTAATTAGCACTAGGATGGAGCGGCGCAGAAGCGGCACGCACCCTCTTGGAAGCATAAATTCAAAGAGATCAAAAATTGGAAGCTATAAAGGGACATTGAGGATGAATCAAAAACGGTATAGTAGCGGAAAGTCCGAGAGAAGTAACACAAGAGATAGAAGAGGAAACAGGCAAAAACTGTCCATTAACTTTAAAACATTTAGTCGATTTCTTTCGGTATCATCTACGTTCTGCGTGTCCTCTTCTTCTTCCACACACCTTATACATATTTTTATTTTATTTCACAACTAGGTGGCTCTGCGATACCGCCCTGGCAGCAGGCTGAATAGGCCCTGTTGAGAAGACTACCATTTTGGTTCGAAACTTGCAAAAACTTAAAATCCGTGCTCTAAATCTGCGACGAAGCTTTTTTCGCGTCGAAAAACCGGATTTCTCCTCGCCGCGATTTTACCGTGTTTCTCGTTTGAAAGTCGCGCCCTAGACAGGCTTTGCCATTCATGATGAATAAGAATGGCTAGTATTCTTACTGTCTTGATGCCATTCCAGTCCAGTTGTTCTTTGAAGTTTATAGTCGCGATGCAAGCCGAAATAATAATCATGACTTATAATAAAGTGTGTGTGTGTGTGTGTGTGTGTGTGTGTGTGTGTGTGTGTGTGTGTGTGTGTGTGTGTGTGTGTGTGTGTGTGTGTGTGTGTGTGTGTGTGTGTGTGTGTGTGTGTGTGTGTGTGTGTGTCACGAAATTCATAGAGCGTTTTGTAGGCAAGGTCTTGAGCTGAAATTTTGGTCACAGCACCCTACCAGCATGCAGGTAAAAAGTGCAAAAGCGCAAACTGATCCGATATTTGGGACCTTTAAAAACTGCGCGTCAAACGGGCCCACGCGGCTTTTGGCACGCAAAACTAGGTCATTAATTCGACTTTTTACGAAGTCATGATTTGCCTAACAAGTACATCTGCGCCTCATGAATTCTAGCCCAAAAAGTGCTCAAAAAGTTTGCTTTTCTGCGGCAACAGCGCCAAGAAGTGGAGATCGCTTAGACAGTCGATTTGGCAAGGTTTTACCTTCAGACTTGGAAAGATTTTTGCGCGGAAGTTTAGCTCAAAGTGACTATTATCCTTATGACGACTACCAAGCCAAAACAAATTCAGTAATCTAATCAAATTCACAGGTGTTCCTTTGCGACAAGTTTTTTTTCTCTCAAAATTACCGATCTTACGTGGAGATGCTTCAAGAATGAACAGTTGTTTACTATTCATTTGTGATGTTCAGCATCGCATGGTGAGTTTCAAAGTCATCATTATTGCGAACATGAGAAAGGCGAGCGGATAGGAGAGCTAGTGCGAACCTCCGCGAAGCGGAGGTGACGCACTGGTGATTTAATACTGTGAGAAGGATGGCTGTCGCAAGTAACTGTGCTTCGGGATGAAGAAGCTCAGAAATAAGAGCACATCATACAAAGCAGAGCGGGAGCTTCCACTCATGATGTTACTTGCTGCTTGTGGACATATAAAACGAACTTTATTCACGTCTCCAGCAATATGGTTAATACAAAACTTGGATGCTTTTTTATCTAAAGAAGAATTAATTGTTATGATTCTACTTTTCAAAGTTTTCTGCATTTTATTAACTTTGTTATGATATAACCTTGAAGAACTATCAAATCATGTATTAACTTAGGTCGTCTGTTAATCTGTCAGTGTGATGCGGTTCGCTATTTGGTCCTTTTTGTTCGACGGACGTGGAAGTATGGATTGTATCATTGCTCAAAGGTTTGCTTATTAACACTTCATCATTGCCACTGTCGTCTTGAGTCCGATGAAGATGAACATTGATTGTCTTCTTCATTCTCCGTGAATGATTTGAGGATTTTTCACTCATTCTGTCCGATTGCTTTTCTTTGGAAGCACTTACTTCTTCGGCATCTGTCAAGGTTCCGACATTGGCGTTCTTCTTCAGCATCTGTCGAGGTTCCGACATTGGCGTTCTAGCCAGACGTGGTGTTAGGGCCGTCTTGCCGGGCTGTGGGAGAATCGCACTTTTGTGATCTTTCCCATAGTATTCTTTGCGAGTTCCTTTCACCGTATTTTGTACTTGTTCTTCACTGGAGTTTACTTGCTTTCTCGCTTTGATTATCTCATTCCAATGTGGAAGTACGTTTCTGTTGTCGTATGAAAGTCGCGCCTAAGACAGGCTTTGCCATTCATGATGCCTAAAATTGGCTAGTATTCTTACTGTCTTGATGCCATTCCAATCCAGGTGTTCTTTGGAATTTTTCGCTTCATCTTGTGTAACGCACTCTTTGAAACTTGTAACAACTTCTCTGCTTGTGCTCTTTCCACGCCGAGGAGTCTGCAATTATTCTATTCTGTACATAGATGCTCCGTTATTACGACTAATAATGGCACTTACCTGAGCCAGTTCGTCGGAAAATTTGGTCGATTTCTGAAATAATCGAAACTTAGAACTGGTGATAAGGGTATAGTGGTTTAGCAGGGTATTCTGATCCTATGCTCATTTCCTGTATAATGGAAAGTGACAATTGTAAGCCTTGGCTAAAAATTGGGAACTATTTTAATCATTCAACCATTTCATTTTTCCTAAGCTCACAGTTTGAAGAACCGTAAATGGTTCAAACCCATTTTATTGATTCGTTTCTATAGAAAAGGAGCACTTCACGGATGAGATCATATCCACACACGAATTTTTTCTGTTATGGCGCAAACCCCACGACCGAACCCATTTTTGTGCGCAAGCAGCTGCATGCATTACGTTGCAGTACGTAGCGAGGCCCAGCGGGCTGCTTTCCCGCTCAAAAACTTACTTATGAGCAAAGAAAGTGATCCATATTACTGCTTTTCCTCTCTGGACTGAATAAAACTTGCTATGTAGATACTGCGCCCCAAGATGCGTACCCTATTTTCAGATGTATAAGCCGCGGGGTGGTCCTAGCTTACATCGACCAGTCCGAATACATCAAAGGACCTCGCAACCAACGGACCCTACACTAAGCTGCATATTGCCTGAGTAAAACGTGCGGTATAAGAATCACTTCTCGAAACGCAATGAAGCGGCTGAGCAGCTCGTGGGAAAATTTGGAAAAGTGCGGCTTATGCACCTGAAAATAGGGTAATTGCTTTACAATTTTTTGTTTGCGATCTCAATCTTTCGTCTTTGTTCCTCTTCTCTCCCCCCCCCCCCTCTCTTCCCACATGCATCTTCATTAAAGCATCAGATGGCAATTTCAGGATTTCCAAGACGATGGGGGAGGGAGTGCGTTAAAGGCAGCGTACACCCAAAATCTAAGTTGCCTAATTTTCTAGATTTTTCTACACCGTGTATATACTGGGCCCAGAAGAAGATCAACTGCGTCGGTCCGGTCTCCCAATGTTGCTTCTGAGCGGAGAAAACCGCCCTCAATTTTCTTTCACGCCGCCCCTTTTCTTTCGCTCCGCCTCCTCCGAACGAATCCATAACAGCGTAAGCTGCAACTGCAGTTGCAGTTGCTGTTGCAACATCTGTTGCATTTGTTTTGGGTGTACGCTGCCTTTAAGAACTTTTCTGAGTGAAGGTGCATGGCGTGCGCGCACTTCAAATTTTTTAAAATGCTTCCCAAAATTTTTTGCAGGTCCATAACTCGAAATCTTCGAAAAAAGGGGACGTGGTGGTATCCACGCTCCAAAAAATGTTTTTACAGGACTAATTTGATTTTCAAAGTTCCAAAATTATTTCAATCATTTGCAAGAGTGTCCCAAAATAATGTGTCGAACGTTTGATCGGTAACTTCCTTATAGTATAAAAAGCTTACGCTTTCCTCTGAGCCTTTGTAAAACTGTCAATTAGTTTTACAGCATGAGACGAACCACCGGTCTTTCATCGTCGGTATAAAATTTTGGTAAGAAATTTGATAAGGAGGTTAAAACAACTATGCCAAGATTTATGGATAGTCGAACATGGATGCTTATGAACATTTGATGAGGGTTACGAGTCATTAAGCCCTAGTTGACAACGTAGAAAGTCTTACTCTGAGATAATCAGAATCGCTGACACTGAATATGCTCTTTGCACTTTACTGCAGTGGTGTAATAAGTTATGCTAATTGAACCGCAACAATTGTTTTACAATGCTTCCCATTTTTATGTTTGCACCACATTTGAAGCTCCAAACTTGAAGTTGAGTAGTGAAGTCAGCGTGCAAGTCAAAATCTAATGCGCAATTTCTTTTTCAAACACAGCTAATCCAAAAATGACACTGAAAGGGAAGTCTCTGCAGTGATTTTGATGGAAAGCTATCGGTGATTGCTTTATACTGTCAATTCAAATTAAAGTCACCTCTACAATATAATGTTCAAAAAGAGGCGAAAGCTTTCCAGACGAGAAAGTTATTAGAGATCAAACGCTTGATGCATTATCTCGGGACACCCTCTATGAAAAAGTCACTTGCACATCTCTTTGACTCATCAATCTGAAAATTTCGACCCATTCTTGGAGAAGGGAAGGGGACGCGAAGCGAGTCACGCACTGTAAGCAAGCCATGAATACATTTCTGCGTCATGCATTTGTCAGAATGTGTCAATTTTGTATGCGTCGCGATTTATTGAGGAGAACGCAAAATCTCGAAAGTTAAAAGGGGGGGGGGGGGGGGGAATGCTCGCATCCAGATAGAAGGCGACGCCTTCCAGAAACGTATCGCCTTTTGACTCACGTGCTAGTGTTTCTTTTAAGTAAGCGCAGTTCCGATATAAATCCAATCTAATCCAGCAAACAAATGTTACCGCAAGACACTGATTTTGGCTACTTAGACGTCGAAGACGTACGTTCACATAGACGAAGGCGACTGAGAATTTGTTTTAGATTCTTACCCCAACAATCCTATCAACATCTGTCCCAATCAGAGTGATTTCGTTATGTGCCGGATCAAACTGTATCTCGCGAAGACTGTGTGATGTAGATGCGTCCAGCGCGTGCTTCTGAATGAAGTTTCAAACCTTCCAGTCATGAGTGTGAAAATTTTTGTGTATGTAGAGTACCACTTTGCCGTGCAAGCCAGCTTGCATAACTATAGGACCAGTGCAGACAAAAGTCTTTAGTTCTTCTTGGCTTTCGCGTGACTGACTCCGCATTCGTCTTGGTGATGGTTTCTAGAATATTATCACCTTACTAACATTCCTCCTCCCAACCGTGCAAATTTTGTTGGGCTAGTAATTACAATCTCCTCAAAATCATTCATTTTGCTAACATCGCCGTGATAATTTGTTGGACTACTCTCCCCTATACAATCAGCGCAAAATGAGCATGACGAGCGCAAGTTTCATGGCTAGACCTCTTGCATTCAAATCGATGCAATAAGCTGGGTTTAAATCAGAGCGCATTGTTCTCTAATTCATGCACTCTTTGCTTCCTTATAGTTGTGACATCTAAAATCAGACTATCTACTCTAAATTCAGCATAACTTTGAATTAATAGTTAACGGACTTTACTTACTATTTTCTTGCTGCTTTCAGTAGCATTTGATGTGCTAGCTGCGCCTGCTGTGACTACAGCTTTCTGCACCTTCTTTCTCGTCTCTGAGATATTGCTCAAATTAGTAAAGACTAGGATAAATTGTTTGTGTAGTGGTTTGTGAGTAGCCACAAAATAAGCGGCGGGGAGACAGCGCTTTGAATTTCGACTTTTGGCTTTTGTGGGTGACTCTTCTGATTCTCATAGTTATTAGGTTGATGCAAAAGGAATGGCCGATTTGCGAATTCTCATTTTGACGTGCTATAACTTCCTAAAAGATCCACATTTCTGAATGCGGTAAGGACCCCCAGAAGCAGCAAACCTTTCGCAATACAGCGCATACTTATTTATACTCAAAACATAAAAGGGAGGAGAAATACGGACTAAAAGACAAACAGGTTCTTCTGCGGAAACCTTGTATTTGACAATTCATAACTTCATTCAAAGTTTCTTAGTATCATAACTTATAATAACGGGCTAAGGTTGTTTATGTTTGTGTGTGTGTCCGTGTGTGAATCTCTGTCTGTCACGAAATTCGTAGAGGGAATTCCAGCAAAGGTCTTGAGTTAGAATTTTGGTAGTAGCACCTTATCAGCATGTAGGTAAAATATGCAAAAGCACAAGCCGATTCGATGACTGCAACCTGTGAAATTGTGCGCCAAACGGATCTACGCGACATTTCGCGCGCCAAAGTGGGCCTGGAATTGGACTTTTTCCTAAGTCATGGTTTCGTTTAGCAAGTAAAACCGCAAATCATGGACTCCAGCCCGAAAAGTGAGCAAAAAATTCACTTTTATGCAAGATTGGCGCCAAAAAGGAATGATTGCGTAGATAATCGATTTGTCAAAGTCTTACTTGGGAATGTGAGAAAATTTTTGCTCAGAGATGTAACTCACGGTTGTCATCATCTTTATGGCGACTATCAAGCTATTATAACCCCAGTAACTGATTCAGAATCGCATTTAATCTTTTGGAGAATACTTTCTTACCCTCACAGTCACCGATGTTACATGAAAAAGCTTTTAGAATGAGTAGTTGTTTACATTTCATTAGTGATGATCGGCTTCGCGAGGTAAGTTTTGAAGCCATCATTTTGGGACTACGAGAAAGGCATGTGGATAGTAGAGCCAGTGCGAGCCTCTGCGAAGCAGAGGTGACGCGATGGCGAATGATAAGTGGCCTATCTTGCAGCCGCAAGCCAGTAGTGCAAAACACAATAAAAAGATTCAGACAAAAAAGTTTGCGAGAAATAAAAAATTGAAATTTAAAATTTCTCAGTTTTTTCAACATTTCTTCAGTGTGCCTCGAAGTCCGGAATATAGAATTTTCAGATTTTCTACGTACTGAACAGCTGGATGTTTTTGCAAAAACTGCTAATAAATGTCCTAGCTCTATGCTTACAGAACTGAGCAAAGCTTCGGCGACTGACTTTCTCAGAAGAATATTATGAGTCATAAAATGACCGCAACAGCTACCCATGTTTAGGCGCCGATATCTCAGTCTGGACAACTTTAAAGAATGCAGTTAAGTATGCACAATGTAGAAAATTTCTATTATATACAATAGCTAAATTTTCGAAGAAATCCCATTCATACGCGCTTGAATTCTGGCCGGAAAAGTGAATGCAATGAATTTCTGAATTTGGATGCGGTTACTTGAAGCTCAGTAACTTTATAAGAAATGAGAATGAGAGCCCGTTTCAAGCACCATTAGACAGAGCATGAAAACAGCTTCGCGACAATATGCTACGTCCATTGTAAAGAAGAAGTACTGATGGAAAAAAGTCGCCCTGAAAAAAGGCCTGGGAATCGGCCATTTCTTTTGCATCAACCTAATACTTGAGATGTTCAAAAAGTAGTTATTTTTGCTTCGTCCTTTCTGATACTCCTGTTTGGCAGAAAGTAAGCCATGGAAGATCAGCCGAATCTGAATGTCTGCAGTTTCTAAGCCGGATCCCTCGCCGTCTATCTTTAGGTAAGAAGCGACGTTCCCAGTTCACATTTTAGGGTTGGCATCGCCCCTGAGGGGCAAGAGCATGATCTGATAAGTTTTCTTTTTGGAAACATCCCACCCAACAAGAAGAATAGAAAAAACTGCACATCTGATCCCATATACGGCACCGGTTGATAACAAGATCGATCAGGTTTAGGGTGCTTTCTAGATAGATGAGACAAAAGCGATACGTTTGACGGCACACTATGGCGACTGCCTCATTCTTTGTCACAACGCCAGGACTGTTTCCACAAACGCCGACCTCCACGCTTTTCTCGACGGTGCAGATTACATCAAGCCATGTCATCGCTTTGCAGGAAACGAAGAACAGAAAGGACGTGCGCCAGCTTAGTGATGGGGCCTTCATCATTCATATTGAAAAAGCGCCATCACAAAATTCAAATCCACCCATCTATCTCCCATCTTGTTGATTTGCATGAGATCCTATCATTACGATTGGCCATCCTACATCTACGAGGTCCACGTTAGGAAACCACCGGCATCATGAAGTGTTACTCACCAACATCAGAGCTGATGAATCAGAAAGGATACAAGTTTGTTGTGGACGACTTTCACACTATAATCGAGAAGCCACTAGGATAGGATTATAAGATTGAGAAATTTGTATATGGGTTCCGAAACGAAAACGGCAGCCGTCTTGTTGAATTTCTCTTTTCCGCACGTTATCCCCATGCAAATTATTAAGACAGAGGATTCGCTCCACAGAACGTCTCATTCAAAGATCGACCACATTCTTAGCAAACAAATGCTGCTCGCTTGTCTGAGCAGTTCCATTCTGCAGCAACTTTGGTCACTGCCTCCTTTGAGCGAAAGTATGACTTAGTCAGAAACCAGAAGAGAAGGTCTGCCGTAGCGACACAAGAAGGAACGAGGTTGTTAGTTAATTAATTAGCTCATAATCAGTTGTGACTTGTCCATTCTGCAGGACGCATGTACGATTACTTTTTTAAATGCTTGCGAGCTTGCGGAGAATGTGCCTCAACGACTCGTAAAGAGTTTGGAAATGCCGATGACCTCCAAGATTTATCGAAAGAAGATGAGCTTATGCGCAGGCAGAATCTGAATGCAAATTATCTCGAGTTACTGATAGTAAAGCCAGTTGCGAATCAGCTTTGCACAAGGGTCTCTGGAAGTTCAAACAAGCGAAGATACTGGAAGCAGCCTCAGAAAGAGAAGTCTTAACAGCTTTCAAAGTTCCTCCCCATATTAATATTACGTACCGCTAGCACTACCGAACGAGGAGGGAACTTCAACTTCTTTCCGATATAAATGGAATCCATTACAAAGTACTTCTATACCATTTCCTCTTTCGCTCATCAACACTCGTGCAAATACCCGTTGTCCACGATGGAGAATACCACCACGATTCTCACCTGCTGAAGTTAAATCGCGATTAAGACCTAAAAATGTTTACGGCTCCACGACCGGATAATTTTTTCGTCGAACTTCTCCAAGCTGGAGGACAAGGTTCACATGAGATTCTGGCGTTGTAAACATATTAGTTTCGAAAGGAAAAGATCAAGCTTTGGAGAAACAAAAATCGTCCTGAGAGCGAAATGGAGGATTTTTGGAACTTCGTCCATTGCGCTGTACAGTGCTGTACGAGTGCTGGCTTCGCGAAGGATTCAGCTGCATGGGGTACATTCACACGGTTTCGCGCATCGTAGAGATCTGTCGGAAGTACCTTGGCTCTTGTACTAACCTTCACCGACTACGAGAAAGCCTTCCATATTGTCAAAACGAAAGCCATCATAGGGTTGGCCGATCAATAGTTACGTCATAAAGCCTCTCCCAACCCTAAGTAAAAGCAATTTTACAGATTTGAAGTTGATCCTGCATAACGCTATGCGGATTTACATTCACATAATTTTGCAGAAACCCCTCTTTTCGAAAGACGCGCAGAAGTAACGAACTACTTTTTCCACTTACGTCTCTGCCTTATTTCCAAAATTGTCAGAAGGAAGGTCGATAGGACAATCGCCCACGTCGGTTTGCTTAGGAGCGAAGGTAAAGGTAAGGGTGCGGCTTTTGACGACTCGATAAACTCTAGCTCTACCCAATGCTGCTCAAAGTGTGTTGCATCAGAAAGTGCACTGCATCATCCTCTAATACTGGAGAGGATCTCCATGGTCGGAAGCCATGCTAGTGGGGGTTGATAAAGTGCGGTTCATAATTATACGAACACCCAAAATTTTGTAAGTTTTCGGACTTTTTGGGAGGAACTCAAAAAGCCGTTGATAACACGCGATAGAACACAGCCGAAAACGGTATATGATCCATAAGAATGGAAACTGATGTCAATCTTAGGAGTGTTTTTGCGCCTAATGCGAATTTTTAGCGGTTCATAATTATACGAACACCTCAAACAAAGGTCCATTTTTCATTCAAAATTGCAATCATTTGAGTCCAAATTTTTTGTAGAGTTCCAGTAACAAAGTCTGACATATCTGCTACACACTGAACCCAGTGCAGTTCAAAAAGAGGACCGTTACTTTTTTCAGAAGGCTCTAAATGCTCTTGAAATGATTGCGCTCCAAAAATATCCGTTTTTTTGTGGCTTCCGCGCTCTAATTACCTTCGACCAAAACTATGAGATAAAATAAGCTCTTTCGATAGGTATTTTGTTTGACGCTTGGAAAATCTTTGCGTTTTCGTGCCGTTTTCAACCAAGTTCCAACCTTACTTTAAAGTTAGCACGATTTCGAGCCTCAAAACTCAGCTTCTGAAGCCGTACAATGAAGTAAGCATATAGTATGTAGAAGTTCACAAGACTGTATATTTGGCTAGAAAAAATCAGCAGCGTTGAGCGTTTGTATTGGCCACGCAGACGTCATTTCCCCCAAAACACTGTTTTTACTATTGCATCACATATTTATTTGGTTTGTAGCTCCACAGCCTCAAGAACAGTTCTACAAAAAACCCAAAAACTTTGGCACAGAAACATCATCATGCAAACAATGCAGCTGCTTCATATCAAATGTTTGCACAAGAGAGAAGCTGAGTTTTGAGGCTCGAAATCGTGCTAGCTCTAAAGTAAGGTTGGAACTTGGTTGAAAAACGGCATGAAAACGCAAAGATTTCCCAAGCGTCAAACAAAATACCTATCGAAAGAGCTTATTCTATCTCATAGCTTTGGTCGAAGCTAATTAGAGCGCGGAAACCGCAGAAAAACGGATATTTTTAGAGCGCAATCATTTCAAAAGCGTTTAAAACCTTCTGAAAAAAGTAACGGTCCTCTTTTTAAACTGCACTGGGTTGAGTGTGTAGCAGATATGTTAGACTTCGTTACTGTAACTCTACAAAAAATTTGGACTCAAATGATTCAATCTTGAATGAAAAATGGGCCTTTGTTTGAGGTGTTCGTATAATTATGAACCGCTAAAATTTATCATTAGGCGCAAAAACACTTTTACAATTGACATGGATTTCCATTTTCAAGGATCGTATACCGTTTTCGGCTGTGTTGTATCGCTTTTTACCAACGGCTTTTAAAGATTCTCCCAAAAAGTCCAAAAACTTACAAAATTTTGGGTGTTCGTATAATTATGAACCGCACTTTAGTATTCGCGCTTCAGAAACGCTAGTTGGTGGGATCTTTCCTTCCTCTCACTTCACATCAACGCTATATGTGTAGCAATAGCAATTACATCCTGCTTCTGAATGGTTTCGTCACAGGGGTCGGATGTTTGAGAAGGATGCATTGCAGGCAGCGCATTGCAAGCATACTGTTGTCGGAAGTAAAACCTACTCTCCTGTCTGCATTCCGCTCTTGTTGAAATGGCTTGAGCTTGAACAGCCTTATCTTATTACAAGGCGCTAAGGCCGCGTTTTTTAATGTCTTTCCATGTGTCTGTGTACCTGTCTGTCGCGAAATTTACAGATCGAGTTGCACACGGCTTCCGGGTTGAATTTTTGCATAACATTCAATACCAGCGTGCCGGTTCACTATGCATAAGGAGCAGATTCGTTACACCCGACCCTTTGAAAAATGGGTGTCAAGCGGGTCCACGTAGCTTCGTTATATATACTTACTGCAAAGCTATGGCTATGTTTTACAAGTTGATCTCTAGCACATTGACGACAATACGACCCACCGGTGGGTCGTACGTGTCCTGCCATTTCGGACAATACGACCCACCGGTGGGCCGTAAGTTTTCGAAAGCTCTAACTTTGCCAGTTTACGGTAGAACTCCATGAAATTCTAGCATATGGTCGGAGATAACTAGACGATGCTGATCGCCATAGTCCGGTTTCATGTTACTGTATGTTAGAATCACGGTAGGTATATCGTAGGCAGCACACGAGGGCATAATCTCACTCAGGGGCGTGTAGAATGATGGGATTACACCTAATTTTTATGTGCACATGCTTATAGACGGACATTTTTTCTATCATAGCTTATTTTGCATCATGACAAGTCATTTTGCTGCACAACACGAAGAATTGAGCTATGGCAATTTAGCATATGATATCCTGGATCACCAAAGATTACTTTTTGACCTCGAATTGCTTATGCAGCGTTGCCTTGGTTTGCGTGTGATATTTTGCATACACAGCAAATGCAGATAACATTTTGAAGATGACTTTTCGTCTGTTCTTCTCGTCTGCCTCAGACAACACGGATATAATTCATTTAGTGGAAGCAAATCCATCATAAGAAGTGATTCAGGTATGAAAAATCTCTAGCTTCGGTTGCATACAGTGAGTAAATGACCTTCAAATACACATATGAGCACAAAAAGACATGACATAAGGCAAAGGTGATAAATCAGTTCAGAGTGGAGCAATTATGTTTACTGAAACAGTCTACGCAAAAATGCTTCAGACAACGACTGCATCTCGTATTAACCTTTTGCCACTTATCGTATGACTACCGTAAGCCCGTGCTAAGGCCTTAGCGAATGAAATAAGTGTTATTCCCGTAGTCAGCACCTTCGATAACCCCAAAACACAAGTTTTCACAGAAATTCGTGATCTCCTGTCGCCTACCGTATGACTACCGTAACCCTATACTGAGGTCCTAACAAGTAAAATAAGTGCCATTTTCATAATCAGCACATCCGATAACCCCCATGAGGAAGTTCTGGATTCATATACTGGACCTTTACAAAAAGACTGCCATTTCGGACATAAGTTTGGCAGAGCAAAAGGGCTCCTGTCCGAAATGGCAGTAATCGAAAAATCGGCCTTGCCGTCAATGTGCTAGGAAATAGATTTTACTCCAAGGACAATCAAAGATCTTTTTTTTGCGAAAAACGGCGCCGAAAAGAAACTGTTGTGTAGATTTCGTCGTTTTTCCGTTGATTTTTCACGCTCTTACCCAAGAAACTGAGGAGATTCCTGATCAGATAGATAGCTCATAATTAGTTTGTGATGACTATTAAGCCAAAATAGACTCATCAGTCAATACAGACTTGCATTTGTTCTTCAGCGAGAATTCCCACCCAGAGTTACCGATCTTACAAGAAAGGCTCTAGGAATGAGTGTTTGTTTGCAATTGATTTGTGATGTTAGCGTTGTACGGTGTGTTCTTATAATCATTATCATACAAGCTAAAGGGAGGCATACGGATAGCGGAACCAGTGCGAGTTCTGCGAAGCAGAAGTGACTATTGTATTTGACAGTCAACTTATTATCATAACTTATAATAACGGGCTAAGGGTTGTTTACGTTGGTGTGTGTGTGTGTGTGTGTGTGTGTGTGTGTGTGTGTGTGTGTGTGTGTGTGTGTGTGTGTGTGTGTGTGTGTGTGTGTGTGTGTGTGTGTGTGTGTGTGTGTGTGTGTGTGTGTGTGTGTGTGTGTGTGTGTGTGTGTGTGTGTGTGTGTGTGTGTGTGTGTGTGTGTGTGTGTGTGTGTGTGTGTGTGTGTGTGTGTGTGTGTGTGTGTGTGTGTGTGTGTGTGTGTGTGTGTGTGTGTGTGTGTGTGTGTGTGTGTGTGTGTGTGTGTGTGTGTGTGTGTGAATTTCTGTCTGTCACGAAATTCATAGAGCGAGTTCCAGCAAAGGTCTTGAGCTAGAATTTTGGCAGTAGCACCCTATCAGCAGGTAGGTAAAATATGCAAAAGCACAAGCCGATCCGATAATTGGAACCTGTGAAATTGTGCGCCAAACGGATCCACGCGACATTTCGCGCGCCAAAATGGGCCTGTAATTGGACTTCTTTCACAGTCATAATTTCGTTTAACAAGTAAATCCGCAAACCATGGACCCTATCCCGAAAAATGAGCAAAAAGTTTGCTTTCGCGTAAGATAGGCGCCAAAAAGGAATAATTGCGTAGATGATCGATTTGTCAAGGTTTTACCTGGGAATGCGGGACAATTTTTGCTCAGAGATGTAACTCACTGTTGCCATCATCTTTATGGCGAGTATCAAGTCATTATAACCTCAATAACTGATTCAAAATCGCATTTAATCTTTTGAAGAATACTTTCTTTCCCTTAAAGTCACCGATCTTACATGAAAAAGCTTTTGGAATGAGTAGTTGTTTACATTTCATTCGTGATGATCGGCATCGCGAGGTAAGTTTCAAAGCCATCATTTTGCGACTACGAGGTTGGTATGTGGATAGTACAGCCAGTGCGAGCCTCTGCGAAGCAGAGGTGACGCACTGGTGATTGAATAAGATAAGGCAAACGCGAGCGCGGGATTGATCATCCATGATCTTGCGCAAAGTTTGCGAAAACCTGCTCCTTCACGATATACACTAAATCAAACCTACCTGCAAGTATTCGTCGTTTCAAAAATTTCATCCAGCATATGTATATGATGAAACCAACCAACAAAATAATGAAAAGAACGAAGATGATTAAATAGACGAAAAGCATCCTGCAAAATGGGAACGATATCTTGTACCCTCGAACTACTATAGATACTTTCTCGTCTCCTCTCTCTTTTCGGCCCCTGAGCTATCAGCTGGCTTCGATTCTGACCTGAAGCGCAATTTGAAAGTGAGAGCTGAGAATTCGTGGATACCCACAAAGAGTTGTTGCGCATCGCGTCTTCACTTGATGACACTTGCACGACGGCAGAAGCTAGCTTCCCTGCGTTCAATGACGATGCCATAGCTGAATGCTTCATTATATGACAACGTATGTCATAGCACTGACTTCCGACTTATGCATCAGCTTCCATTCAGCGTCAAGCAAACCAAATGCTTTCGGATAAACTAGAAAATGGGTCGTCCGCTATGCAGGGCAAGACATTTTGCTTTTGATAAAACAAGTCGATACGACAGCTATAAACCCGTCTGGAGTTTACCATATATTACCGATGCTATCGCCCTTACCGGTTATACAATACCGCTCACAGAATGTGCAAAATTTCCGTAAATGTCGCAGAACTCCGAGAATTCCGCGAAGGTTCGCGAAATTCCGGGAATTTTGCGACGTTCCCGGAAATTCGCGACATTCCCGAAATTTCGCGAAATTCATGTAAATCACGCAAATTACGCAGGGCCATAACTTCGTTCCGAATGAGTATATTCAAAATCCGAAAACAGCATTGTATTCAGCTCGTCAAGGCGAATTTTGGTACACAGGATGTCTCCAATATCCTCTTTTCAATAATCTTGAATCTGCATGCGGACGCCTTTTCGCGCGGGTGTAACGCAACAAGCATCACAGCATCACATAGGAGATTGCGGCGGGCACCTTTCGATAGTACTCTTTCAGTAGATTATTCTGCGCTAAACAGCAGCCGAAGACTCTCTTTTAAAAGAGATAGAAGAGCTGATAAACTCTGGAAAAATCAAGCTGTTCCAAGTTCTACTAGCCGTAACTTCCTTCAGAATGAACATCTTCGAAATCCGAAAACAGTATTGTGTTCAGCTCGTTAAGGCGAATCTTTCGGTATACAGCATGTCCTTGAAATTCCATTTCCAATTTTTTTTTCAAAATTTTCTGCGCGCGTATATTCGCAAGGTCGCAACGCAGCGCACATCAAACATAAAAGACTCCAATAAGCACTATTGGATTGTGCTGCTCCCGCAGATTACCGAGCGCTAAAAACGAACTGGAGAATCTTTTTCGAAAAAGATAGAAGAGCTGGTGAATTCTGGAAAAATCGTGTTGTGTCAAATTTTGCCCACTGTAACCCTAAAATGGGAAGCTCTCCTGCTAAGCAGATGTGCTTTTCGTAATCAGCAGGTCAGATAACCTCTATGAGCAAGTTTTCAAAGAAATTCGGGTGATTTGATTTTTTCTCGTTCTACGCCCTGAAGCTCGCCGATGGGTTTTGGTCAAAATGTCCATGATCTTGGATTATAAGGAAACTTCGCTCAAAGAGGTTATCTGACCTGCTGATTACGAAAAGCACATCTGCTTAGCAGGAGAGCTTCCCATTTTAGGGTTACAGTGGGCAAAATTTGACACAACACGATTTTTCCAGAATTCACCAGCTCTTCTATCTTTTTCGAAAAAGATTCTCCAGTTCGTTTCTAGCGCTCGGTAATCTGCGGGAGCAGCACAATCCAATAGTGCTTATTGGAGTCTTTTATGTTTGATGTGCGCTGCGTTGCGACCTTGCGAATATACGCGCGCAGAAAATTTTGAAAAAAAATTGGAAATGGAATTTCAAGGACATGCTGTATACCGAAAGATTCGCCTTAACGAGCTGAACACAATACTGTTTTCGGATTTCGAAGATGTTCATTCTGAAGGAAGTTACGGCTAGTAGAACTTGGAACAGCTTGATTTTTCCAGAGTTTATCAGCTCTTCTATCTCTTTTAAAAGAGAGTCTTCGGCTGCTGTTTAGCGCAGAATAATCTACTGAAAGAGTACTATCGAAAGGTGCCCGCCGCAATCTCCTATGTGATGCTGTGATGCTTGTTGCGTTACACCCGCGCGAAAAGGCGTCCGCATGCAGATTCAAGATTATTGAAAAGAGGATATTGGAGACATCCTGTGTACCAAAAGATTCGCCTTGACGAGCTGAATACAATGCTGTTTTCGGATTTTGAATATACTCATTCGGAACGAAGTTATGGCCCTGCGTAATTTGCGTGATTTACATGAATTTCGCGAAATTTCGGGAATGTCGCGAATTTCCGGGAACGTCGCAAAATTCCCGGAATTTCGCGAACCTTCGCGGAATTCTCGGAGTTCTGCGACATTTACGGAAATTTTGCACATTCTGTGAGCGGTATTGTATGTGTTGAACGCGTGAAATCAGCCTTGTTTCATCCACTGTATGCACGGGCTACCTAGTTCTTTTCTCAAATGCTTTTTATGCGGAAGAAAGATTATCCAGTAGTCAATAAGACTACGTGGGGGGGGGGGGGGGAGGGAACGAAACTACAAAACACTTTTAATCTTTCTAGGATTGGTGGTAGCGACAAGAGCAGTACAAACCGGAAAGCGATAACGGTGGCACCGTATAGCAAAACTCTAACTTATCCGGGCAACGGTAATGAGCGATGATCGCCATTATGATGCATCTTGAAGCAGCGTCCACCCTTTCGGCTCCCATTTTCATCAATCTTGGGCCTTTTCATGGCCCTGGTTTTCAATAGGTGTAATTTGCATAAAACCCCATGTCCCTTTTTGTGAGGAAAAGAAAAAGTGAAGTCATATTTTATTTTCGTATCATTCCTTCCACTGACGAAAAAAGGGTAGCAGTACAACAGGTCGTAAGCATTGGAAGAAAAAGGGAGATTTTTAGTGAAGTTGCAGATGATTGGTCTTAAATCTCAAACTTGGGCTTAAATCTGAAATCTTATTCTGGGGATCGTGATCGAGTGCCAAGGCGTTGATCCACTCGTCGTTTGCGGCAGAGAATCTCGTTCTATATAACAGCACCACGCTGCTTGCATTTTCGCTGAGCTTGCGTTGTCAGGACACATTCTCAGATAATCGCCGGGGGCAAGCGGCCATGCCATTTTTGGGCAAGCGGGCACCGGAAAAATAGTTCGCTGATTTCTTGCGGTCCGCTTGCAAATATTTGGAAGAATTTTAGCGAAATTTTGAACGAATGCTTGAAGAACAATTGCGGTTTCCTTGCAGATTAGCTGCGGCGCAGTGGCCGCATTCTCGCGGACTTTCCGCGAGATTATGCAAAATTTTCGAGGGCCGCACGGTCCTTTATGGAGGACCGCGCAGCCCCCGGGTACTTTCCGCTGAGAGAAAGTACCTCAAACTTGAGTAATCAAACCATCGATGACTCCTCTGCCATGTAGAGTCTCACCTTTGCTCGGCGTACACCCGAAACTGCCTAAAAACCGTCCGAGCGCCAGCTGAAAATTTGACCAGCGCTCGCTGAAAGAGATTTTTTGTCGAGCGCCTGCAGAAAATTCTGTGTTGCTCCCCGCTGGCAGAACATTAGACAGTAAAGGAAGTGCCGCCCGCTGAAGGGTTGGCCACGCCCCAAAATTCTGCTGAGCGCCTGCAGAAAAACGCGAGTTTGCGGACCGCCTGCCCCCGGCGATTGTCTGAGTTGCAGGCCCATTTTCCCTTTTGGAAGCCACGTTAGAGGATAACGAACCGATGCAGTTGGTCTACCTCCAGAACCTGCTTATAAGCTGACAAGGGAAGCATGTTTACTCGATGTGGCCTTTTTAGATGAGATGTGGACCTTGTTGGAGGGCATAAAAGCTACATTGAATCTGCTTTCTTTATCTGCGGAACGTTTGGCAAAAAACTGAATGTGCAAGTAGGCAAAGTAATTATATCTTTTCTAGCGCTATAATAGAGCAGTGACAATTAATGAAGCACTCTATTCAATGAATATTTTAAGATACAAAATATATCACACTTGCTTGCTTTATGTGAGGACTACTAAGATATTGGCAACTCATTTTATATCAAATGCACTCAATTTTGCTCCAGTAAACGCTCATAACTCGTGGTCCACAGACGTTTCGCAGAGAAGGAAGGCAGATTTGGAATCAGGAATGCTGTTCAATATCTTATACATCTCATTTATTAAGGCCACTTCGACTGAACATGTTTCCCTTGTAAGTAGTATTCTGGAGTGCATTAAATCTTGGGTGGACTCCACCTTCAAGATAGGTTTTTGCACTTTCGTCTTCATGAAGTAGCCGGTCTCACGGGCATCGGGTATGGCTAGCATGTCTAGACTGAATTTCAGAAGAATTCTTTCGTGTAAAGCACAATAGGAGGCTTCGTTTAGGCCCTATCGAGGTGCTCGGTGTGTGTTGTCCAGGGGTATTACAAAATTCCCTCATCGAAACGAGTTCTCCAGGCGATCGACGTTCGCATCTGCTCGGTTTGGCTCCTCGCTTGATCCGACCGAACTCCACGTGACTCGATGACAAAAACTGGCTAGAGCCAAGTTGAGCCGCCTTATATAGCAGGCCGAGAAGATGCGCAGGCGCCTGATCGCGTGGTCCTAACACAATTCAACCAAAACATAGTAAACCCATCAAAACGCCAATTTAAGTTAAAGTCAACAACATCGAGGTAACTGGTTAGAAAAAAGCAGAAGTACAAAAAAGCTCGGCGACATTCATATTTTTCTTTTTTCTGAACGACATTGTTGCTCCAGGTGTTTGTATTGTTGCGAAAGGATGCCATGAAGTCATTATCTTGGCAGAGGTGATCGTTCAAAGGTGCAGAAAATCGCAGGCTAATTAAGGTATTTACCGTATGAAACTCATTCGATAAAACGAGATTCTCTTCAAGTCATTATTTACCAACTCTTATCTTCGTGCATTCTGACACACGCTGCCATTTCGCTACTACAAAAGCATATTTTACTTCATATCTCACTGACTATACTTGGACCTGGCGGTTGTTACTCGAGCCATGAGCCAAGCTGGGTATTAATATGTTTGCATTTCGGAACTACACCCATATTGCAAGAATTGTACTTTCCTGCTCAAACACGTTATCGGCAAGAATAAGCAAAATCATGCTACGACATAACAAAGTACGAATCGAGCCTGCGCTCACTTTAATAGCTCGTTCAACAGAGCGAGTTCCAGCGATCTGGGTTTGCCACGGCTCCGCCACCTACTATTGACACCAGCTAAGCATATGTTAAAATGTTGCTACTAAAGATAAAGTCTTGTTCATTACTAAACTAGCTGACATACTCTCTAATGCACTATGGTAAAGGCTACTGTTCCCTATTTCTGTGCGGCATTTCCCTGTCCCTGTCGCACCCTAGCCGGTAACCGTCCCGCTTTGTTTTCGTAGAGCATGCTCACTTACTTGTGCCAACTCTCACCCCCGTAGCTCGAAGTTTGCAAAAAATCGATAGAATGATAAAGGCGATCGATGATCCTCAAAACTAATATTGTATCATAAACAGCATTCACATGCTCGCTTACTTCTACGCATCAGCTCCTAAGGTGCTCAAACTTTGCAAAAAAACGATGAAAATAAAAATAGTGCGTATTTTTACAAACGGCTTATCTTATTCTATAATCTTATTCTTAAACGGTATGCTCAATCACCTTCTGTGCCAAATCCCAGACCCTTAGCTTTGCAAAAATTTCGCGCAGAAACAAGCGTTTCAATGCGCGGCGCGGTTTACGCAATGAGGACAGTTCCTGCGGTCGATGAAAATCGCCTTTAGGTCATCATTTTTGAAGTTACATATATGCAACTTCTTGCAAGTGAAGTGCTTAGGACATTGGTGCACAACCACTATGCCTCCACTTGTTTGCAAAACACAAATTGTTATAAGCTTTACTTAAATTAATCAATGAACGTGAGCCAATAAAGTAGACCAATTGACAACAAAAATATTGAAACAGGCGAAACTTTCATATAAGCGCCATTGTTCATCGACAGTTCTTCTGCGTGTGATGCGTGGCAAGTCTCTTCTGGGTTTAGGTTGATATAATCATCGCAGCAACTGAGTACGTTTTTCAACGGACAAGCGTCTTTTGAGTGACAATTCCGAATAGATGCAGTTACGTCGCTTACTGTGGCGTTGAGGTGATCGCGGTAAAAGGCCTGAAAGAAGTGAATGGAAATCTGTTTATATAAAAATCAGTGTTTTTGTGTGTTAACAGATATGTTTCCTATATAAATTTTTCTGAATGACCAAATGAGCTGGGATTTCGAACGCCTTATGTCTTCGACTCCATCGGAGATCATAAGTTAATTTTCGAGGCGTTCACTTCCACAGATTTACTGGTTGTTTACGTGTTTCTATAGAATGAAAGCTTATCACGTTCTATCCAAGCATTTTCCTGTCGTCATGTAAACGGCGGCGGTTAAGTTCAGTAATATCACAAGCATGCGATTGGTTGAAGAGGAGATGGCTCAAGGTAAGTCATCCATAATATGGAAAGGTGAGGGATCTCGCTGCAGTTATTCTGGGACCAACACAGCATTTACATCTCCGCAATGAACAAATGGCCTGGACTAAGCAGGAAAAGTCAGCTAGTTTTATATCCATAGCGACAAATTTTGCAAGGTAGTACAGTCTGCTCCAATCGGGAACAGGCCGAAGCGTCGGCGCAAATTTGCGCGCTCGCAGCGCTGGAGGTCTGCGCTGCATATGCGCGCTGTCGGAGAGAGCAAAGGGACTGCAGAGAGAGCAGAGAAGCAGCCTGTGGGCGTGACCGCGAAACCCTAGCGACGCGGATTCCCGCCATGCCAGTTTTGGCCTGGTTAGGATTGGGGCAGACTGTAAGAAGTGTTTGTCTAGGAATACAAGAAATTTGAGGCTTTTTCTAAGATTCTGTACACTTTCCAATTTCAGGGCTTTGCCGGTACCGGCAAAGCCTTGAAACAGGATAGTGTTAAGGTGCCGGCTATACCGGTAGTGCGACTCACTTGGTTCATGTCGTCAGATGTTCAAACTGGCTGGCTTTCCCGGTCCAACGCGGGTCAGTTCATTAAGGATGAGGTAAGTTCTGTACTGGTATATCGTTGTATCGCCAGCATAGTTCTTGAGAACACCCCCCCTCTTCATTACATATTATGGATGACTTATCTCAAGACTTCGATTCACCGCATCGTCGTGATCCTGAGATCAAAATGAGCTTTACCAACCCGTTTACATGATTGTAAGAAAATGCATGGTTGAAGCATGACGAGTCTTTTGACAGAGTGATTTTCCTCATGCAAAGAAGAGAGTATTCTGCAAGATATAGGCGCCGTAAAACGTAATTGCCCGCGGCGTGCCTTGAACACCAGCGCAAGCGAGCGGTCGTCGCGAACGACTGTCGGCGTTCACTATATTCCGAGAAATCTTTCTTTAACTTTCATGTTGTTCTCGTCAATACAAGCTATATCTTGATGAGAGCTTCTTTCAAAAGTTTTAAAAGAATGTGTGAAAAGGGTGCGCGCTCATTGTCGCTCGCAAAAAGCCTGTAGCACTTCGGGACCAAACGCTTCCAACCGCGCCTCGCGTTGGCGTTCAAAGCGACGTGTGGGCAATTGGATTTTACGGGGCCTGTACCTACCTTGATTACGGGTTCATTTTTGAGCAAATGTAGTTCCAATATTATAAGTGAATTGAAAGGAGGATAGGTGCTTTCGCCCAGAGAAGCGGCTCTGATTCCAAGTGAATCCATAAACGCTTGCATAAGCCAGTCCTGCTGAAACAAACCGCAATAAGTTTTTTTTTTTCGAGAAAAGCAAGCCATGGACCTACCGTTGATATTGCCACGAACTTCTTTGTCTCCAGTGTACCATGAGTTGAAAATCTTGCCCAACTAGCATTAAATTTGTCTAATATAGAATGAAGTAGGTAACCAGAGTGCATGCGCAGACTTTTAGGGCTGTGATACTGAGCAGCACCAGCGATGAAGTTTTCAACCTGAACACATAGATAAGAAAGAAATTTGTGAAAGCCTGTACAGTTGAAACGTTTGAATTTATTTATATACTACTAGCTGGCTTACCCGGCTCCGCCGTATCCGGACCAAACTTGGCACACATACACTTCGGGCCCCGGCGGGTGTCCCATTCCACTTTTCGTTATCGATCGATGTCGAATTTACCGATTTTTATCGATTTTTTTGCAGAGTTCACCTACAGGGCTAGGAGTTGGCAAAGGGGGGGGGAGAAGTGAGCATGGGGATTCCAAATACAATATTAGTTTTCAGAATTATCGATTACTTTTATTGATTTTATCGATTTTTTGTAAATTTTGACATGCGAGGCTGGGATTTTGCAGAGGGGGTAATCGAGCATGCTGATTACGAACACAATATTAGTTTTCAGGATCGTCCATTACTTTTATCGATTTTATCGATTTTTTTTGTAAAGTTTGACCTGCGGGGCTGGGAGTTTGTACAGGGGGGTAATCGAGCATGCTGATCACCCCCCTTGGGGATGATCAGCATGCTCGATTACCCCCCTGTAACAACTCCCAGCCCCCTAGCTCAAACTTTGCAAAAAATCGATAAAATCGATAAAAGTAATCGATAATCCTGAAAACCAATATTGTATTCGGAATCCCCATGCTCGATTACCCCCCTGTGCCAACTCCCAGCCCCGTAGGTGAACTCAGCAAAAAAATCGATAAAAATCGATAAAATCGATATCGATCGATGACGAAAAGTAGCCTATGACACCCGCCGGGGCCCGTAGCGTATGTGTGCCAAGTTTGGTCCGGATCGGTTCAGAAATGGAATTTTCTATTCGGAACATACGTACAGACATACAGACAGACATACATACAGACAAACAGACATTCAGCTTTATATATAAGATGTAACTCTCGAAAGTCAGGATTTTGTTTGTACACAGGTTGTCTCAAGAGTAACCACACACTTTTTAATCGGTAATAACTCTCTTCGCAGGAAGTCTTTTGACCTTCAAGCACCATTCAGTAGAGCAGGTTTCAACTTAGATTTACAGCATAGAGTGAATCACTCAACTCTTTTCATTACTGTATCACGGCAGGAACTTTAACACATCGACAACCATGCAGATTTTTAGTTGCCTGCCTTCTGGGATCAAGGCTTCGTACAGATCAGCCCATATTTTTTAACTATAATTACGCATGCTGCCGTCTACAGCACACCTACAGTAAATATGAAAGGCTGATAAAAAAGTAGAGGCCATCCCTAGGTTCGGTGCAAAAGAAAGCTCATGGAGTGAGTCCATCCCAGGACAGTAGTCATTTTTACAAAATTCAAGCCTTGACACACATGGTGTGTCAAGCGGTCCCACGCGGTAGTCATTGCTTGACACACCATATGTGTCAAGCGGTCGTCAATGTGTTAAAGAGGATTTTGAGCCATTAATGCCATATCTCAACCTAGAATGAGTATACAACGAGCCGAAAACTTTGTCATTAGGCTAATGATAAAGCTGAGTAGCTGACTATAAATATGAAATTTGTACTAATCGTAAAGCTTTTTTTTCATAAGTTAAGCCAAGTAAACCGCAGTAAGTGTTCTCAGTGTTTCTCAAAAATGTGTTAAAACCCATTTAGACTGTTTAAAAAGTCGAGAAAAGGTTAATGAAATCGGCATATCTAAAAACACATCTGCACAGCTTTCAGAATTTCCTGAAATTTTTTTTTTGAATCAGCCTCTTTCATAACGGTAGAATAAATGCTGAAAACTCCTACCGTGAACCTACAGTAATAAGGGCGATGAGGCCTTGCTCCGTACTGTAAACCTAAGCTGAAGCCTATCTACCGAACGGTACTTGAAGTTAAGCAAAAGACTTTGTGGGAGGAGAGTTATCAACGATCAAAAAGTGTGTATTTACCCTTTGTTTTAACGAGATTGGCGGTTGGAAGATGACCGCTCGCTCCCGCGACGCAGTGTGCGTCTCTCAGCCTCGAAGCCCCCTCTTCCAACCGCGAATCCTGTTGAATCAAAGGTACTTCTCTGTATTTATTTCTTCTTACTTACTTCTTACTTACTTCTTCTTCTACTCACTTACTTTTTTACTTGCTTCTTCTTATTTCCTCCTGCCACAGTCTTGCTCAGAAGGACAATTAGCCAACAAAATTTTAGATTGGTGCAAAAATAATGGGTGTTTTGCGAGGTCTCATTTTGACTAGAAAAATGTGGACTGAAAAACAGTCAACTTTTTTTAAAATCTCGTTTTTGGCAAATCATAACTTCCTTTCAAAGCTGTTAGTATAAATGGTAAAGATCTTATCTTGTAGCCGCAAGCCAATAGTACAAATGAAGATGGAAAAAGCTGAGAGAAAGAGCTTTATAAAAAAAAGTCAAAAAACAAAATTGTTACCTTCATGAAACATTTTTTTCATAGGCCTCAAAGTCCCAATTTATGTAGTTTTTTAATTTCCGCTTACTGTAAAGCTTAATATTCCTTAAACTATTGAAAAAAGACCTCATTACGCTTAAAGAATTGAATGAAGTATGGCGATTGCTTTATTCAGTAGAAAACCACGGGCCACAGAATGAACGCAACGACTACTCATGTTGAGATGTCGATATCTAAGCTTAGATGATCTCAGAAAATCTGGTTAAGTGTGTGCATAATGTAGACAGTTTCTACAACATGCAGTAGCTAAATTTTTGAATGAATGCCATATATAGCGCAAGAAGTCTGGACAGAAAAGTAAATGCAATGAAATTGTGGTTGAATGCGATTATGCAAAGCTCGGTAAAGTTTTCTACAAATGTAATTTTTCCAACAACTAAAGCTAAAAGTTTGTTTCAGGCACCGTAGATGGAGCATGAAAAGAGCTTCAATAGTATGCTAAATATCTGTCAAGGGAGGAATTTGGATGAAAAAAAGTTGTTCTGAAACAAGGCTTAGCAAAACGCTCATTACTTTTGCATCAACCCAATATAATGTAGATACTGCGCTTGCCGAGAATCTTGTTATCGCTCAGCTTTATGAGCTTCAACGGAGTTTGTACTTCATGAAGCTGTGTTTCTTTGTGAATCTTATCATGTGCGTACAGTGGGATTCTTTTCAGTTTTCAGTGAATCTGTGATCCAATTCGAAAAAGAGGGCGTTCAGATTATTGAAAAAATTCGAAAGTTGATCTCTTTAATCACAATCAAGAACAGCTTGCACAAATCAGTGACTTTTGTGGTACTTACACTTTCGCTACCTATTCGGGGAGAAAGGAGTATGTAGGTATGTTTCGAGTAGAGCATTAAGTTTGCGACCGATTCCGAAAACATTCCACACACTTGCTTTAGGGTCCGGATAGGTATCAGGCAGTGGCCCAAATTTTTGAAATATACTTACATGGGTTATAAAAATGTGCAAGCGACTTGTTCATTTTTGTAAATAATTGAAATAATTTTTTGAATTTTTTGAAAATCAAATTTAGCTTTATAAAAAAACTTTTTCGGGGGCGTAGTTGGCGCCACCCCTTCTTCTGAAATTCCGGGATTAGGGACCCGCAAAAATTTTAGGAACCATATCAAAAAATTTTTCGGAGTGCGTGGCTAACGCCACGCACTTTCATCAGGAAAAATTTTTTTACCGCCCTCCTCCCGGTCCGAAATCCTAGGACCACCACTGATATCAGGGTATTAAGACCAACTTGCTTTACGTTCGGATCATCTTGATCGATCGGATCAATTTATTGATTTCAAACTTTGAATGGGGGTGGGAATGGAATCTGAATAAGGTAAGTGACATGCTAAAGTTAACGATCTTCTCTAGTGAGCTGTTTATTTTCACAACCTGTGAGCTCATTGTCAGGGGCGGGGAGCTAAGCTTTGGTAAAGGGGAAAAGTACACGCTGATTACAAGAACTGAGTTGTTAGCACCACTCGAGCGAGTAGAAATCAATGCCTAAAGTGATTTCAGGAACATATCCAAAAAACCACTAGAAGAAAATGGATTCAGTTGAAAGCCACTTACCAGCCAATGAAATCAAAACTATTACATTGGTAAGGTTCAAAAGAGTAACTTCTGCAAAAGCAGGTAAATGTGGAAGCATTTGTTATCCACGACGGCGCAGTATAAATTCATGAAGGAGCTCTTTTATTTACCTGTAGGAAGTATTTGTAAATCTCGTCTCTGTGTTCTTCGTACCATTTGGGCATCGGCAATCCGTTTTTGTCCTGAAAGAAGTAATAATCATTTCTTTCATTGAACGTTTCAACGAAAACCATTTCGATCGTAAGAGTCAGAAACAAAGCTAGAAAGTTAGTAATGAAATTTTTCTGCGTGGATTTACTGCTCATTAACTAATCGAGAAAAGTAGGAAACGAAGAGAAATGAATAATTGCAAAGATTCTGAACTTCTTTCAATTTGGAATCAATCTGACTAAGTTTGCACAAAACCCTAAGAGATAGAAAAAAATCCGTATCGGTTTTTTCTTCATAACTTCAAGAAAAGACATTAGAGAGTGATTAATTGTTACTATACGCCCATATAAAGCTGAACGGGGACCACTGACTCACCTCACTAATCAGCGATTCTGCTAATTCGAAACTTTTGCCAGTGGGAAAAATTGTATTGTTCTTGTGCAAGCCAAGACATTCAAAAACGAGTCCTTGGAATTCGGTATACTAAAAAAAATAGAGTGAATGACGTAGGTAACCTGAGTATTTTACCTGCTCATAATGTGGCTTGGGAGTCCGATTACATTTGGCCTGGATTCGTTCCGATATCTCATCACATATCAAGTCCCCGCTCAATAGCTGGAAAATAAATTTTGATTTGCTTGGGGCAGCTTGAAGGCCGTCGTTTTGAGTAAGTGAACTTTCTATTCCCATTCAAAGGCATGCGCTGAAGACGTGAGGCTGTACTTTCTCTTAACTTGCCCAATCCTTCAAATGTTCCTCCAACTCACCCAGTCTTTTGACTCCTGACTGAATATGGGAGCAACTGGGAGGATGTCACTGCCATTATTGAACATGGCTTGAGCAACAAGTGATGCGCTCATCAAGCAGCGATCATTCGCTTTGCTCCGAAAATATACCTGAAAAGTTAGTTTGAAAAGGTTGGTTTCATACAATGAAAAGGAAAAAGACTAAAATTCGTTATTGGTGGATTTCTGGCTTTTTTTCAACGATCAAGATCATGGAATACAATGTATAAAAGGTAGTTTAAATGGATGAAGAAAAGTGAACGTGGCAAAAATTAGATTCATGAAGCTCGTCGCTGACCGCCCGCGCGGCGCGAGTCCCTGAGCAATAGTTCCACTCCAACTCAATGAAGTGTGAAAACACGTCTTTCTTTTCCTATTACTTTTTTCTTCTTCTACTATGAGTTTACTACCTGTTCTGCGTGCAGAGGAGTTTGCAGGAAACCAGTGTCCACGTATCGTTGACGTAAAAATGTACCAAGTTCATAAGTATGTTCGATGCCTTTCTGAAAATTGCGGAAATTTTTTGGACATTCGCCAAAAACCACTTACAGGAGTGAGCCGGCCCAAGCCGTAAGGAAAATAGCTCCTGTACGATTCATTAGAGAGTCTGTCATAAGGCGCACGATCACCATGTCGAAATAACTGAAAATCATTACTATTCATATTCCGTTGAACAATGCTTTTAAACATTTCCATCCAGTTGAAAATTCATGAATTCTGATGGTTGCGAGCAAGGCAACAAGCGCTGGATAGTGTAGCGCAAATATTGAAAGTCTCCGAAAGATTTTTCACAAATTTTTTCATCTCTTAAAATATGCTTTGTGATGAAAGTATTTCATCTATTTGATTATAGAAAATACGCTAGTGCACCAAGCCAAAAAAATTTCTTGGGTATGTTTGCATTACCATCTGCAGCTGTGCCATCAAGGTATATTCTACACGGCCAAAATTTACAATGATCTGCCGGTTATCAATCTCACCAAATTGGAATGTTACACTTCCAAATCAAACTCTGGTGCCAATTTACCATGCCGCAGGGTAGACGGCTCGGTTTCTCGGCAGCGGGAGTTAAACTTTCGATTGCCATCGCCATAGCCCGCCTCATACCACTATACCACTTCCCCACCACCTTCCCAAAAATGTATGTACAGTCGCTTCGTTTCATATGATCATGTGTGCCATTGCACACACAGTCCACTTTGGCGTCCTCATCCTGGATTTGCAATCGCAAAAACGCAAGAGACTTACCGATTGTTATTGATTACATCAATTTGAGGTGACTAGTAACTAAAAAGGAAAGAAAATGCTAAGAACACCTTGGAAACACTTACCTGAAGGCTTGTTTCTCCCACGAATCCAGGATGGGGACGCTAAAGGTGAACTGTGTGTGCAATGACACACATGATCATATGAAATGAAGCGACTGTAGGTGTTTTTCTAACACATGAAAGACTTCTTCATGACTTAAATTGTCTTTGTCTTCTATTTACGTCCTTTTCCTTTATCTCATGTGTTCGTCTAACTTGTCATTTCAAAAAAATTCATTACAACATCTCCTTGACACTAACAACAGTGATTATGGCTTAGAAAGTAAAGCAATCAGAAATTTTCTGGAAGAATACAATTTTCTTAACGCATAGGCAGTATGAATGAAGAGTTTGGGATTCATTAAATTTAGTGAAAATTTTGTGGAGAAAAAAGAGAAAATTAAACGCACTCACCACTATAGCAGAGATCAGTTTATCAGTACTATCGGCGATGATGGGTGATCCAAACACAAGCAGAATATACAACGATAACATCATGAAATCATCTTCATTGGTTCATCTGTGCCTAAACAAATTGACCATATTTAGAAAGACTATTCGTTATGGATACGAAGAAAATACTATGTTGGTTTTGCGGAAAAGGAGCGCAGAATGAGAGAGATTGATAGTAGCTAACCTGCAACGATAAGGAAGTGGAAACAAATGGGTCAGCTAGAGATTCACTTACGCTCAAGTGAAATCAATTCGACTTCATAGGCCACATCATCTCAATCAAAGATGGGTAACATCGCTGATAATATTTTTTTAGTAACGACCTTAGGTTGAAGCGCAGTACTGATATATGAGAGTTTGAGAAAAAAATGTGAAAAATTTCAAAATGAGCCTCTTTATTGCAGTAGCATTCATTTGGAGCTGGTTACTACAGCAAATGCGTGCGTGAAAAAAATTAACAAGTAGAATTTTCAACGTATCAAATTTTCCAGTAAACGAAAAAATTCAATTCTTTGGCTGATGATTTTCTCATCATTTCATAAGCATCACGCTCCCAAATAATCAATTCTCGCATGTTTTTATTCCTTCCCGATCTATAAAAATCAAAAATTTCTTTGAAAAACTGGAAAAAGCTAGCCATTCTAATCTGCAATATGTTGTGCAAGTTCCCCCATAGAAAATCCTAAATTGTAGCAGTTTTTTCATTAGTAAAAAAACATGAAAAAATTAGGCGATAGATTTTTGCAGCATTTTATCAAGTTGCTGGAAAAAGAGTATTACGAAAGGCAATCGTGGAGGCTGGCAGATTGTTGTTTGAGATGATGAGGAGCTAAGAACTTAGAAATTCCTGTGGCTTTAGCTTCTAATAACGCAAAAGAGCGACCGATCATACATCTTTCATACTTTTGTTTATAATTTTCTAAATTTTGATGACATGTGGCATGTTGTCTGCTCTGTTTCCAGGTTCGTATTACATGCTCCTACAGCTGCTTTTCAGCTCGACCGGTCAAATTCTAAGCACTTAACAGCGAATAAATCATTGTATCACTTAATTGTCACATTTTGCGAGAGAGACCAGTGATTTCGTGTAAGAAAATATTTTCACATTTGATGAGTTCAATGAACGGCTTTTACATGACTAATGGGCAATTTGCAACGGCAAAACTCGAGCAGAGACCTTTCGCTAGTTCAGTTTCCATAAAACGTCTTCACTTAGCATAAATTTTATTTATTTATTTATTTAATACGCACAAGGCGCGCCCATACAACAGAAGAACGAAGCATCACACCAAACAACCAACAACAAAAAAAAACAAAAAAAACAAAAAGGCAAACTCCCCACTGAATCAGTTCAAGTCCAGTCCGCAAAATCTTTATGGGAATGGAAAGGGAGTGAGCTTGTTTAGACATATATGAAGTCATCACAGGTATAGAGGTTCAATGGAGTCTGTCTCATGCCCCCTGCTCTTAGCAAAAAAAATGCTCTTACTCAACATAAGCAATTGTATATGTTGGAAGCAGCTGAAGAGGTATTCGTATAACATTGAAGCTCTTCTAATTAGATAGCGAAGTCACGTATTTTCAAAGAAGAAGGGACAGAGCATTTGAATCAACCAATATATGTAAGTTCCAAAAATCCGGCGGTGTCCTGATCAATTATGTAAACTTTGCATTTAAATACATGTGATATCGTACCAATTATCGCTATGCGAATTCAAATGCAAATTAGCGTTCTCGAAAAAAACAGAGTTTTTCGATCGTATAATTTTTTGCTCATTAGCTCCAAACTTGCAGCCACACCCCTACCTGTTTTCTTCTTTCGGAATTGCAGTACAACAAATATTAGGTCGTAACATAAGTTTTGAGACACTTTTTTCATTTTCTTCCGAAAAACTCTAGAAACTTTGACAAAGTCTAATATTTGGTATAGTAGTGGACAAAGGAGTATCTGTTGGCATCATTTCCACTTTTACAGGTATGGGCTACAGTAAATTTAAAGTAAAAATTCTCTATTCTTACTTTATGCTCTCAGATTTTTGTTGGAATCCTAGAGACATTAGTACCAACATGAGGAGTTTGGAAGTTTAGGCTATTTGATGTATATATATAATGAAAAGTTACAGCCCTCCACTTGATTAGGAGGTGAGAAAAAATCTTATTAAGAAGGTTTTTCCTTCGAGTGTAAGGAAACTTATGTTTTAACCTAATACAATGCCAGCATTTAGTGCAGCGAGTAGTACTACCTTTGTAGATCGAGGTCAAAGAACTTTATCATCAATTAGGATGTTGCATAATGTTTTCATAAACTGCGAATAAGAGCATATCTAACCTCAAAATTCAATTAATTTCATTCATTGCAAACATGAGGACATAAAAAGGGCCTATTGGTCAGACTGAGAGTTTCAATGAAGGCATTTCATCGAAACGTCAAATAGCCTCACCGACATGCGTGTAAAAGTTTGGAGCTGCTTTAGAAAGTAAGAAACCGAGAAAAAGTCATTCTGTTGAGCACATTTTTATGCACCATGCATCGGCGAGTTTCTCATCATCCTATTTCAAAACAGCAAAACGTTTCCATGTAACGGACACTAACAGTTTTAAAAAAATCTAATTAAGAGCAATTTCTATAAATTCTTTTGAAGCTCGCAGCTCTTATATATCGTTCAACGCTATTTCAAAAATATGGACATCAGCTTTGGCAGTCAAATATATCTGACGAAATCTTCAAATTTCATTTTCGGTGATGCCATCATCTCGTTCTTCATAAGGAAAAAAAAGCAAAGACGCAGAAGTTGGGGTGGAGGGGGAGCAAAAATTTGTAAACTTTTCTGACTATAAGACAAATTTTAGAATCTCAATATGTTACAGTACAAAAATCGCAGCTAATATATGCAAAAACAAAATTAGCAAAGTTAGCAAAATTTCTGTGGATTTAAGGGAATACAATGAAATCTTCTAATAGCTAACCATGACAATGACATTTGGATTAATCGAGGAGAACTGCAGAATAAAAAATTGTAGAGATCAAACCTATATGATCCGAACTGTCTGATTGTTATCAGGGCTCGGCACAGACTGGATATCGTTTTGGAACGTTTGAACGAGAAGCAAAAGAGGTTTCGTTTTTGTGGCTGAAGAGAGAGAAAATTGGCGACGTTTTTTTGGTCGACGTTTCGTTTTTTTTTTTGAAGAATTTTTAGCATTATGGTTGAGAGTAAAAGAGGACTTCGTAAAATTTATGAAAAGTCAAGGGGGACTTCGCTTGCATTTTCCAAAAGCCACCTCGTGCCGAGCGGTGATTGTTATCCGTCTGACGAAAATGCATAAAATTCAAGAGGTGAGCCCGTCCAGCCTGCAAAGTCCAAAACAGCAAAATTCGAATTCTGGTACTATCAAGGCTGTATTCTGACAACTTGTGATTAATTTAGCAAGAGTGTCTTCGCACTTAAGGAATTCTCATTATTTTCGCGCAAATGCACAGCAGCAATTCTGACAACGTTATTGTGAAATTCTTCGACGTGATCTAAAAAACTGTACTTCTCTACAATGATTCATTTCAGTTACTCTTGAATGAGATGCTGGATGAAAGTTCTTGAATTAAAAAACTTGGTGTAAGGGGGAAACTGCCTATATTTTTGCCTTTTCGAAGTGAAAGCCTTACACCGAAAATTGATAGAATAATTAGGAAAATATTCAATAGGTGTCAAATTGCTTTGCAGTGCACAAATAAGGCTCTAAAGAGAAGCTAGAAAATCTGGGAAGTATGATGAGTTTCAGGGTTTGCAAGAACAAAAACGCACAAGAAAATCCGAAGTAAATCACAGCGGGAAAGATATTCTGAAGCGCTTCTCTTCAATTAACCTATTGTACTTTGATAGCTGATTTATAGTAAAAAGTTTGGCTCCAAGAAGAAAAAGTTCGAAGGCATTGTCTGCGACGAGATACACTGATTTTACAAGACGTCAATCAAACGACACCAGTTCCAAGAGTAGCTGATGAGAAACTGGCAAGGAAAACTGGATCTTATTCAGAGACGCTAAGAAAGTAGTGATTTATTCCAAGTGCAGTGATGGCCCCAATGTTAAGGAGAGCGGAAGTCTTTGCTAAACCAAAAAAGATGTTCTGGCTCTAAACGGTGTTGTCATAGGCAGAAAGTGCCATAACTGACGTCTTTTAAATACAATTTATGACGTGATGATATACAATTGAATGTGAGCATTTGTTCAAGGCTACAGTAACAAAAACCTTAAGTTTTTGTTGTAACAATGTAATCACAAGACAATGGCTATTCATTCGTTGGAAAATTCTATTCAAGGTAGAACCAAGTAAGATTACTTGAACCTTCGCAAGCAACACTGAAGCAGCATGCTTTAATAGAGGTCAGCTAAAAGACGTCACACTAACATAGTACTACTCGAATGTGGCTTAACTGGATTTTTTCGAGCATAGAAAAGCAAGAAAAAAAGGTAGTCCAAAAATGGCAAACTCCGCCCCTAACCCTCTCACATATCATTGCATACTACAAGCTCTGATAAGTTTAACCTTGAAATGTAAACTTTGTTTTTTTTTAGTAATATGCACTTACCATCTCGCATCTGCTTACCATAGTGTGCTAGTAACGTTTCAAAATGATGCCCTGCAAAAGAGAGTAAAAAAGATTCCATCTCTTCATTTGAGTATATCTCTATGCAAACTCACAATAATCACCACAGATCGATTCATTTGTATAAATCAATCAAGAATGAAAAGAGAGGAAGAGACGGGGGAGTAGAGTTTGTGGGAAACTAGTCACATCGTAAATTTATTTTGAGCAAAAAGAAAACGGATACGTCTTACACGCACAATTAAGCAATAGATACATATATATGTATTATACAATACAACGGTCCAGAAAAAAATTTTTTCTGTAGGAGGGGGAGGGTGAATACAGAGACTATTTTGGAATGAAAGCGCGTGGCTTTGGTCACGCCTTCCGGAAAATTTTTCGGATGCTCTTCAGATTTTTTGCGGATCCAAAAATTCTGCGCAATGTGTGCAGCTGCGCACACAGCTGCATCACACGAATTAAGATATGGATTGGCTATACTCAATTTTTCCAATGAAACTGTGCAGGCTTTCCATACAATTCCCCACGACAACCAGTAACCGTCAGTAGGTCAGATGACTTGATTTGGTATTACCTATGAGTTCGACCACAATCTCATGTATTTCTCTACCTTTAGTCTCCGGTAGATAAAGATACAATACGAATAAGCTTACCGTAGACGGGGCAATGTATAAGATGAGAAACGCGTACGAACCCACTACCGCATAGAGAGGAAGAATGGAAAAGGTGAGAATAACGACTATTATGGTATTCAGTGAGTAACAGGTAGACTGTACAATGCTTCGGTATTTCTGTGGAACGAGTTCGGACGAAATGAACCAAGAAATCGGCCCGACGCCGCTGCTGAAACAGTGCTTGGAGTGTGATTCAAAGAAAAATTAAAGAAAAATCAGTTCGTTTTGAATCAAAGTCCTCACCCGTAGACGAAAGCGTAGGCGATTAGCAGCACTAAACATCCATACTTGAAGTAATCGAAGTGAGGACTGATTAGCGCACAAACCACATAAAGAATAAGGATAATGTTGTCGGCAATTGTGAACGAGAGTAGAATAGTACGTCGTCCGAATCTAAAAAAAATCATGATGAGATTCTCGTGATACTGTATTTATGCACATGTCAAGAATTCATATATCAGTGGAATCATGCGATTTCAGTGAGGCGGGCTTTCGAAGCAATAAGAAATTTTAAAAAATGAGGATATTTTATGTTTTGATTTTTGGCGTACTAGGATTGAAGTCTTGGAAAATCTGAGTACCAGGGCTAACAAGGGAACGATACTCAATGTCCGTGGCCTTTCAAAACGTGATTCATACCATTACACTCGTCTTCGAACGCTGATTCCGAATCTGTCTTCTGTTTCTGCTAATCGTTTCTCTGAAAGAAGTTATAGCGAATTTTGAGCCAAGTTTGGCCGCCCAAGGCAAATATGGTCATTGGAACGGCCTCTACTGCGGCCACGTTCTGGTCTAGTAAATAGTGCGATAGCCTCATAAGTTGATGCAGGTGTAGGTTCAAACCTTTTTGTGTTTTTACTTTTGCATTACCTCAATTAAGCTTGTTCGAGAAAATTTACTTGAGCTATGGTCATTGGATACAATTTAGCGCAAATGGTAACAATTTTTCCAAATTTTCACATTTTTTGAAGAGTAAGGGCGTTCACTTAGCTCGATGATGCGAAAGAAAGTTAATTGAGGCAATGCAAAACTGAAAAACACAAAAGGATTCGAACTTGCAACTACATCAACTCATAAGGCTATCGCACTAACCACTAGACCACAGTTCACTGCTAGCGTTGGCGCTTCGACCCTATTTCACTGGACATCCACAATCCGCGCGCATTATAACATTTTTGAAGCGATTAGCAGAAACAGAAATCAGATTCGGAACCAGTGTTCCAAGACGACTGTTATGGTATACATATCATCTTAAAAGGCCACGGACACGAGTATCGTTTCCTTGTAAGCCACTGTACAAACGGCATAAAGAGAGAGAGAGATGAATTCATTTATGAGTGTGATTTTCAACTTCAAACGCTTGCCCATTACCGTACCCTGTAAGCGAACCAATCAGCGTTTTGATTCAAGATAGTGATATTCACATTCATGTATACGAATTCTATACATCCAAAGAATCCTGTCAATTTCAAAAATTGAAATTCATGTTTAGGGTCATGAATGAAAGCGGCTGCTACTGGCTTAGTCAAGGATTCTCATAGTCTAAAAACCACCCTAATTAGCCAGTAAGTCTTGTTGTTAGGTAACGAATGACATTATGCACATAGCAATGACAACCTCTCAATACATGTGGATCCAACAATAGTACCAAGAACGTAGCCTAAAGTCATAGCTGTACTACTCCACGATGCCGCTGCTTGATCAAGACCGATTTGTTCGAGAAAAAACGTTGATGACAGAAGCATCGACCAAAGCGCAACCGTGTTCTGAAAAGATTCAATTCAAAGTTCTGTAATTTGAAATTCGCTGCAACTTGTAGTGCAGAGATGCTGAGAATGACAGCTTTTTGAAGGTACGGCTCTTTAAAAATCTCTTTGAAAGCTCTCCATGATGTTGATCGTTCTTCTTCTTCCTGCGATTCCTAAACAATAGGGCTACATAATTGGTACAGTGAACTCAAAATCATTGAGATGAAAGAGTGTGCCTGAGCCAGCTGCCCAATGACACGAAATTTACCAGAATAATTTCTTTGAGCACCTTGTCCACATTGCAGTGCTGTCCATGATAGAATTGAACTGAGCGCTCTGCAGCTATTTTATCTGCACGAGATATCAAAAGAAATTTTGGAGTCTCAGGCAGAAAGAATAGAGCAACGAAGAAGAGGGCACCTAAATGGTGGTGTCAAGAAGCAATGGCGAATACCCTGCTGATTTTTGTGTCGTCTAGATATTTTGTTCGAAAAGATTGAGATTCCTAGCAGCACCAACAAAACTCAGAAAAAAATTTCCAGTGTTCGTTATTTTTGTAAATGGCTTCTTGCTCAGATTGAAAAGTATTAAAGAGCTACAACAAATCATGCAATTAAAAAATAGCAAACGATTTCCACAATTAAGTTTTTGCATATTGTAGGGTGCGGAAAAGGCACTGTCCCTCAGTTTACCTCCAAAAATCTCACGGTTGGAGAATATCTACGGTTTTTAGATTCCTACACGTAGGCAAGATTTTGTAGATCCGAATAAGATAAGCTTGATTTGGAACGGTTTCCTTCTCTTTATTTAAACGAGTGGTAACAGCGAGCAGCATCCTCGACAATGCGCCGCGTCGTTCATCCTCAATTTTGTTCCGTAAACTATACCACCAGGAGTGATTTGAACTTCAAATCAAGGTAGTATGTAGAGCATAATCTCCTTTTCAAAACTCGTACTTATTACGGATCAGTGACTTGAAATTTTGGCTAAACAAAGAAAATTGTATCCCAAGCAAATTCCAAAATTTCACAAAAAGATGCTAATCAGATCTGCTTTTGCTCAATGAATTGGATCCAAACTATGGTCCGAAACTCCAGATTCAAACAAAAAGTAAGAGGAATAGTCAAAAGAGCATTGGGCTTTGTCTACATCATAATTTTGAGGCACCAAATGATTGTATCTAGTTTCTGTGTCACATTTTCTGGTCGCACCCTGCTGCACCGCAGACGCCATCTCGTTGGAAAATTTCCCAACTTTTCTCCTATAGCAACTGCGGTCTCGCTACTTCCAGCATTCGAAGACACTGCAACATTCCTTGAGCAATAGAAGATTTTTCAAATCCACGTTAAAACACAAAAAATTTTCCAAAAAAATTCACACTTCCTTTACATTTGTAAAAGAAGTTGCAAGATTTGTTGTGGGGTGTGCTGCGAAAGGGGATCCGCCGCCGGGTGAAACCGGAGAATTTTTAGGCCAGTTCTTGTAAAATGCTAGATTACATTCACATCTTAGAATTTACGTCAAATTTACCAGAAAAAACTGAATCACGCCGATTTTTTTGGTTTTATCTTGAGAGACAGTACTTTTTCCGCATCCTGTAGGTTGGCGCGAAAGTTCTTGCAAAAATCAAACGAAATTCAACAACTTTTCAAAAACTAAACCAAAATTCATAGTTCAGTATCTTAAAACATTAGAAAATCTGCACTTTATAATAGATGCTCAACTAATGACATTCTATAAGTTAGCCACCGAGAACGAAGCTTTCAAAACGGATGTTTCAAGTTTTGCGATCTCAAGTTTGGCGCTGGACAATGCAGTTTGCAGTTTCTTCACTGAAACACAATTTCGAGCCAGAAATTAGACTCATAAGGAAAGCTACCTATTTGGCCCGGCCTTTTAGTAAAAGGCTTACGTATTCTGAATCAGCTTTAAATGCTGACTCCAAATATGCTATTCCTGACTGCCACGCACCATTTCGAAGCGAGTTATAGGCTTTTTCCTACGCGAAATTGCATACTACTGAACGTAGAAGACTCCCTAGGGAGTCTTCTACAGCTACTACAGCTGTAGATACAAATCTGCAAGAAAAAGGTGCTGAGGTATCGAAATGGTACAAATTCAATCATTTCTCAGTAAAAAAAAGCTTGACGCAGGTGTATCAGCACTTAAATAATGATACGTCATGCCCGTGAGTCGATGAGCATACCAATTTTGCGCAGGAAAAAGCTCATAACTCGCTTCGGAATGTTGCGTGGCAGCTAGGAATAGCATATTTGAAATTAGCGTTTTAAGCTGATTCAGAATATATCTGTTCCTTGCCAAAAGGCCGAGCTAAGTTAGGTAGCTTCCCTTGTTAGTAACTATCCAAAATATTAGCTTTTTGGAGCGTTAAAGAGCGGGTTCGTTGAAACGAGGTTTTAGTGTTGAATGACACATCACAATTTTTTGTTTCGCTTTACCATACAAGACTGAAGCCTGCCACACCAACGCATGTACTTTTGCTGCATGAAAATCTTCAAAAATTCTTTTCTGCGCTAGTTAGCGGTGTCCGCGATTTTCTAGTACCAAACCAAAAATCGTACAACTTGAAACGCCATTTTTCAAAGCTTCGTTACCGGTGGCTATGTAACTTGTAGAATGTTATGCTTGAACATCTATAAAGCGCAAATCTTGTCATATTTATAGGAAACCGAACTATGAATAGAAGTCTCAACCCCCCCCCCCTTTTTTGCCTTCTAATTACTTGAAAATGTTTGACTTACAAAATGGCACTGGAAATGCTGTCAAAGCCACTAAATCGCGACCGAGCAATTGTTTGGTACCAAGCATCATCCCGACAAGACACATCGAAGAATAGCTAATTTCGCTCAGGAATGTCATCATACCGCGTTTTTCCGTTGGAGAACATTCCTAAAGAGTTGGCACGTTAATTCTATGATAGCGAAAAAAGCGTACCTGCAAGAATAGTATGCAGGACTGGTATGTCACGGCCTCGCACATCGACGTCAAAAATCGTCCAATGATCAGAAGTTCCGGGCGATAAAGACAAATGGCCAAAAGTCGAAGTATAGCTCCAACCAGCGCAAATCCACAACCGACGAGAAATCCAACTAAAAGATTTGTTTTGTGAAGAAAGCTTAAATTGTCACATCACAGCTGTGTTCCTTGCGTTCTCGTCAACAAGCAGTCAAACTGACCTTTTCTACCAAACCTGTCATTCAAAAGTGGGCTGAACCAGATACCAATGAAAAAGCCAACAAACCATATGTTGAGAAGTGAATTCCATAGTAATTTATAGGTACTTTCGCTCATCGTCCTACCCATCCTCTGATAGGACTCGTTCAGGTACACCTAATCGGGAATTGTGCTTAACTTTACTAAGAATACTTGACTTGGCTGACTTTCATCATCCCAAAGCGCTCTCACCTTGAACTCTTCAACTGGTGTGTTCAGATAGGTGGTTGAGAATCCGTATTCAAAATTTGAAGCAAAGGCAAGCAGTGAGAATATGAAGACTTGACGGATTTGGGCTATCCAATATGATGTCATCCTGGGTACACTTCTTTTCGCAAAAGATTTCGATAAATAAAAAATAACAAGGGATAGAAATGAAGGAATTTGAAGAGACTGTTAAAGAAGTAAACGTTAAACATTTTCAAGTATCCGAACCTGAAAAAATGGTTGAGATAGGGGAAGGCAGCCAATGTGAAAAGTGCACAGCATTTTTGTGTACCAAGATACGAATTAATAGTGCAAATTACTAAGAGGAAGGGATTTGGTGGGAGCGAGGATTCTATGCAGTAGAGTATTGCTTATTCCCTATGGAGGGTCGTTTATTTTAACAGGTAAGGTTAGGCCAAATTCGACCATTCATTTTCTAGAAAGCCATTTTTTGCACTATCCCACCATCTAAGGTAATTTTAGGTTGGCCGATAGATTATTTTTCGCTGCTGCGGCTCATACAGTTGCACAAGTTTTTGTCCAAAATTTAGTATCTCTGGAAAGAGCAGTTTAAGTGAAAGTGGAATGTGAATTTTTGGTTGATCGATAAATATTTATTATGGAAAAGGGCGCAAAGAGTCGTGATACCCGATTCTTACATTCGATTCTTACATTGGGCGCAAATGTAAGAAAAATTTTTTAGTTACAGAATAAAAAGGCAGACACTACTCCGTAATCGCTAGGTAGAAAACCTGTCCGTAATCTAACACCAGATTATTCATCTTATTATCAATCACAGCATAAAACGATACCTAGAAAGTGAAAAAACTGAGTGTTTGCGAATTTACCCATGGTGGGGCTTAACCGTCCTTTACTGATGAATAAAAATTCCAAGCAATCGATGTGTATTAGTTTTTTGAAGAAAAAATAAAGAACAACAAGTTGCATGCAAAGCGAACTTATTATTGTCCATTCTGATATTTAAGTGTGGTATCCATGTAAAGAACAAAGATCTGATAGCATACGGTGTTTATATTGAGTCCAACATCTGCTTTGAACCATAGAACATTCATATTTACAAAGACCAAGTTGCACAAAAATCAGCATACGCGAAAAAATAGTGATAGTACATCTCAGACAAGGGAAAACACAAGTGTCTTATCATCTTTGAAGCTACTGATTAGAAAAAGGGACAAAGTACTGAAGGTATGGACCAGTGATTGATACCTCGTATTTACACCAGTGACATCTCATAGCATTGTTCATAGAAGTTAATTTCCGAATCAATGGTGTGCATCGTGCACACGCAAGTCTATAATTTTACACCATTGCATAAGGAATAATTTTGGAAAAGAACACATTAAGCTTCTTACCACAGGCTCTACGGCTTTTTCCAAAATTCTACCCGATGGCATTGCTACTACTATGTTCGGAAAATTTTCTACCACAGCCTTACGACTAATGAAAACAACGTAAATTCTAGTCCAAGGGATCCCTAGCCTAGCGTTCAAAAAAATTTGTCATCTTTTTCTATACATTTGGACTTATTATTCTGGTTTAGATGCCAAAATTCAGACGAACAAAAAAAGTAGCATTCTTTTTTTCTTGCATCTGATACTCAAAGAATCAGGAATTACTGAGCAATTATGAATTTTAAGATCAATTTTTACAAACTTGAGAAGTTTTCACCCTTCACCCTCTTTTCAGCAACGTTGATCTCAATTCTAGACTTTGAAAAAGTTAGTTGCTTACCTTGTCGAAAGTGAATGTTCCAAAATGATAGTCCTTGTAACAGTGGCGTACCGAGGGGGGGGACGGGGGGGGGGCGCGCCCCCCCCCCGAGAATGGGTCGCGAAATTTTTGAAAGTTACCTATAAGGGTTATAAAAATGTGCAAATGACTTGTTTATACTGACTCGCAAAAATTTTGAGAAGCACCCCTAAAAATTTTTCGGAGTGGTGGCTTATTCTGTAAAGCAGCCTGTTGAGACGAAGATCCCTGCATTTTCCATGCTCTTACAGAATCAACATAATCGCTCTTCATTTAAGGCAGTATCCGGGCAAAAACTCGATTTTGAGATTTTGTGCTTAATCGGGCCTGTTCGCTATGCTGAATACGAAAATCCACATTGGAGAGCGCGAAAACGACAAAAAAGGACTCTAACACTTGAGGGAAATCAGCAAGTGGGCGGGGTCTTCCCCACAGTGAATTCACGCTCCCAGCTTCGGGGCGATCTTTTTGATTTCAAGTCATTCGTTTGCATTTGATCGGTAGTGATGTCAGGGCGGCTAACGCGATAAAATTGCTCTGGAAGCTGGAAGCGTAAATTCACAGTGGGGAAGACCCGCCCACCTGCTACTTCCCGCCTGTGTTAAAGCCCTTTTTCGCCGCTTCCGCGCTATTCAGTGTGGATTTTCGGATTCCGCATAGCGAATAGGCCCGGGTAAGCACAAAATCTCAAAATCGAGTTCTTGCCCGGACATGCCTTTAAGGTTATGTGCATTTATACTGATGGGTCCAAAGTACATAGAAACAGATTTCTCTTTTGACGGCGACATTCCAGCTTTGAAAAGCTTTTTACATAACGAATCACAATTGTTCTGCAAAGGATAATAAAATGATCTTATATCGCAACTGCACATTGTACATCAAATTTACCGTGCCAAGCAGAGCCAGTCTCTTACCGTTTCTCAAAGTTGCTGCGAAGTGTGCACTTACACTACTACATATATACAATTCATGACGTGGTGATATACAATTGAATGTGAGCATTTGATCAAAGCTACAGTAACAAAAACCATAAAATTTCGATGTAACAATCACAAGACATTAGTCATTTCATTTATTGAACAGTCTTTCGCGGACAGAATAGTAGCCAAGTATTTGAACCTTTCTATTTTTGGAAGCGAATTCAAAGCGGTCCAAATTGAAAGTAAGGTTCCAGCTAAAATCACCTCTTAGCATCATTGCAAAACGAAGAATACTTGATTTGCATGTAATTTCGCGTGAATTACTCGTTTGGAGCCTCTCTACACTAAATTTAGAAAAATGCACTTGAATCGTTGAGGCTACTACCGTACGGCTACAGAGCTCCTCAATTCTTTACTTCGCATCTATCAACCATCTGTTTACCATATGTATCATGACGCGTCCATCCAAATGCTTTCCTTCAAAACGGGGAAATGAATTAGAAAGTTTGAAGTTTGCTTTGAGTTCTAAGTTTCAATTAAAACTCAATACTTTGTCATTGCAAAGTTCTGTCGCGAACATCAGAACTCGATAATTCTATTACTAATACAGTCCATTACTATTTATACAAATCAAGCATAGCGACTTTTTGAGGGGAGGATAGAAAGAGTAAATTTTGAAAAGAAATACTTATCCATTTGAATTATTGAAAGGAACGTATAGTCTATGACTTACTTTTTGCAATGTATACTTACATAATATGTACAATATTTACTCGAATGTATGGAAGAAACACATCTGATGTCAAACAGGAAATAGACGTGGAAATAGGCGTGTATACGCTCAGTAGGACTAAGGGGGTAGGGGAACGAAAGCCGCCAGTTTGAGCCGAAAAAACTCATGTAAAAAAAGAGCGTGCTTACTTTTTTCCAAATTAGGTGAGGAAAACTTCCAGCTCACATACAATAGCTCACATTCTACACGTACTATATAGTAACATTTTGGTTTTGAAATACCTCCTCCCCTCCTTGCTAGATTCCGAAATAGCAGATTAGTTGCGGCAAGTAAGAAAACGCGCTCCGATCAAACAGCCTTGCGTAATCGAAGGAAAATCGTTAAATCAAAATGGCAAAGGCGTATTCGTTTCACAGAGGTCAATTTGCCACTTTCATGTCCTGAATGGACGCAAATAATCCAAATCCTCATATCAATAGGTCACTTATCCTAGTTTGTGCCACTGCATACACACCACACTTTGCGTGTCCCATTCTGGTTTTTTCACGTTGAGCATCTATGCATAGGCCATATCACCCGCCATCGTTCGCGAGGAACCATGGGACGAGTCTCCGCGCGCGCGTTTTCATTCAAATGCGTGCGTAATTTATTTGCTGCAATGCTTCAAAATAGCATAGCCGTGAACCATCACCCAAGAAGTTTCTTTGCGATCATGGTCTACATCCTCAGATATTGTTGTATTACTGAGTAACCTCACTTCAAGATGAGAAACCATTCAAAAACTCATTTTGAGGATAGGCCTCTTGAGAACGCATTGCACATGTTGATTAACGTGCTCAAACTTTTGTTGCTGGCATCTGAAGTGGCTAATTCAAGCTAAATGAGGAGATGCGAATGTTTTGATCTGTTTTCACAAGTGAGCACCACTACGTTTTCCAGTCCTGATAGTTCAAGAATGAATGATAGCATCTCTCAGTAAGTTTTCTGGTCTGGTGCTCCCTCGACGCCTCACCATCCGAAATGAGCCATAGTTGCAAGCAAGGAGAATGACAGGAAAGGCACGGGGAAAAGCTGAAACGAAAAGAAAAACAGCATGAATGGACTATAAGCTCCTGCAAGACGAAGGCGGTCGGTTCGAGGTACGACGTGGCTGTGACGCGGCTGTGACTCGGCTGTGACGCAGCCATGTCGCAGCCGCGTTGCGCATTGAATCGACCGCCTTCGTCTTGCAGGAGCTTATAGTGCTCATGCTTTTGGTGTAAATAGTCGCGCTCGAGTAGTAATTCCTTACAAGCCTTGTGACGCGCGCGCAGCCTCATCGCTTGGATCCTCGCGATCGATGGTGGGTGATACAGCCTATATATAGCATATCTCTCATCCATTGCTTTCAGAGACTTTTTTTGTTCTTCCGAGTCTCGAGAGAAACATTACACAGAACCTTCCAATACAAATAGGTCAACAAATTTAGAATAGATAAATTGTACAATTTGTGCAATTGCGCAATTCATGAAATGCAAAGACTGGAGTATTTTTCAGGTATAGTCCCCTCCACAGATCGTGCTACCCTTGGCCTGCGTCTCAGACCTGCCACGTGTGGCTAACATGTTGGCAACGTGGCAACAACATGTTTGCAACATGCCCCAACATGTTGGCAGAACATTTTGGCCACGCCATGTTGCTGCATG